TGTGAAGTTTCTTCCCAAGGTATGATGTCTTTTGATAACTATGCTGTGAAGACAAAAATCTTCAAATTAAGTATGTGTAAAAACATTTACAGGGACATTACGTATCCTACAGCCTTTATCCTACAGTGTATTTAAATCTTATTTCATCTGACTTCCTGTGGTCTCCACAAAATATCTCCGTACGATTGTAGTACTACTCTGCTTCAAATATAAAGGAAATTCTGGGAAATGGTCACCCAGAGACATTAAGATATTACAGGCCTTCTAAGCTGGACAGAATAGGAGTAAGGAGCATTTGTACCTGAGCTGACAAATTGATAGGGAGTCTTAAAAATGGCCTATGAGAACACAGAGCTAAGCAATAACACTGTGAAAGAAATCTAAGGCATCTGCTCTGAAAGCACACCCTGAGTCTGGAAAAATCTAGAATACCTCTTCACGAACCAAAGATCTAGTTGAACATGTAAAGCAATCTTAAAATATCAAGGACATAGAGTGCTATTCGAAGCTGGTAATTATGCTCAGAAGGCTGCTAGCTAAATACAAGCTGTATATAAAAAGACAAAAATAAAACACAAGATGGGGAATGTTAAGTGACACCATAATTTTAAACGGAGTTACTGATGATTAGCTGATGAAATAGAATCAATCTGCAAACAACTAAAGATCTTTTCCCCTACAGTAACAGAAACAAGATGTATTAATTACTTCACAAGTTAGGCAGACACATTAGACTATGGCAAGGATTTTGGTGGCAGGAAAACGTTCCTTGAAAAATGTAAGTGTGAGCTCTTTGAATTGATGAGGTTTTTCTAGAAAAGTCAAGCTGCCCTGTGAAAGGTGAAATGCTCATTCCCTTCATAGCAACTTTATAGCTAATCCCCTAGGGTTCACTAATTTCCTCACAATGGAAATGCACTGTTCCCCAAATAAGATGATACTGTGATTGCACTGGCAGCTCAGGCAAATAATACATCTGGGTTGAAATACATACACTCATCACAATACACAAAAAGGTAGGTACAAGAACTTAATGATCACAGTGTTCTTTATATGCTTCAAGGTGTTACTGTCATGGCTACCGAGTAAATGCATAAACAGAAAAGCAGAGAGCTCCAGAACAAAAGTAATGAGGTCTCTGCAGTTCAGAGCTTTATCTGCTGTTTTGCTTCTGCTCAAAATACCTTGGATATTTGGAAAAAGTCAATAGTTTCATAACCAACCTTGGACAAGCTAATCTTTGACTAGCCCAGTCAGCCATGACACAAGCTTTTCTGATAACTGCTGGTGTCATTGATCTTCCCCTCGGCCATCTCATTGCAGCCTCCCACTTGCCGTGCCTGGCTTGCGCTGCCGCTGTGGAGGGTTAACGGCTCTCTGCCAAACCTCTCTCAGCAGTGGCAGCTTACATGATGGGGTTTAGCTTTTCTCACAGGGTTCTTTAGCTTGACATTTGGACCAGCAGAAATAGCATATAAAGATGGTAAATGAAAATATGTATTTCAACAGGTTTGTGGTTTTGTCTTTTAAACAGACAAAATCACCATTTGCCATGTAAATTTAACAGAATAACAAATTTAGTAAATAACGCTCCTTAAAAATAACAATGCAAGAGCCACATCTCATTTTTGTCAAGTAAAAAACTCTTTTTGGTGGTCTCTGGTTTTGGGCAGTCTTAACTTTCATGGAAAATATATAGAAATTCCACATACTTCAAATGTATTTGTTTAAGTTTCAAAAAGTCTGTTGCGCAAAGCAGAATTCCGTTAAGGGAAATAAATCAGGCTTGTTTAACTCTTCAGCTAATGGGAAGCCACACCTAAGAAAGAGAGTTATGTTAGGTGCATCTGTAAAGGCTCCACAGGTATCTAGAGACAGATCAGTCTTTGTTCCTCTCTCTCAAAAGAAGCTGTCAGGAACAGGTGTTCTTTCATCTCAAGTCTTTCCTTTATTCATACACACAGATTGGGATGGAGTCACAGCTTCATTGCCGTGTTGCTATGATAACCAAACTATATTAGAAGACTGAATAAAATGAGGAAAATAATAAAATTTGGCCTGTTGGTTTGATATGTAAACCTTTGCATCAACATCTTAGTCCTCTGGAGTGTCTGATTTTAGTTTATTATGCTTGCTTATATTCAACACAAAGCAAGGCATAGTATAGAAAGATGACTCTGGATAAGAAATGTGTCCCAGATTCTAGGAACACCCATACAATTGCAATTTCCCTTTCTTTGGTTCGTAATGCAGTCACATTGAAGATATACATATATTAGGATTTACATTTATGTTAAACTTGCAGGGTTGTAATCTTTTTTCCCAGAGGAAGAACTCCACATCTTTTCCGGTGTGTGCTAGGAAACATAAGCTTCTGTTACTTGATGAGATCCTTGTCCTTTTAGTCCATCAAAAATTGTATTGGCATTGTAAGAAAGATACTATGGCTTTCATTTCTGCAATATCTTTCACACCTGTCATTTGCAAGGAGCAGTGTCACACTGCTTGTTCCTTGTTCAAAAGGAACAGTGAATTTGTTCTGACAAGATCTAGGACAAGCTTAGACTACTTCTTTTTCACAGAGGCCCAATTTTCCTTGCTGACTCTCTAGATATCCCAGAACTATATTCAGTATTATGAATACGCAGAGCACAGCTGTCGACATCCACAGTGGTACGTAATCTAAGGTTTTTATTTCTCTTTTCAGTTCAGCATAATTTCCCTAGGTTCTTTGTATTTTGTAATTACTTGAGAAAAGATGTCTTTAAATTTTCAATTATGCTCTTAAGTCACCATGGCCACTAAAAAAAAAAAATTTAAAAAAATCGAAGTTCAAATCTTAAATCCTGGTACCTAGGATGACGTACAGCCTGTCAGGTTATGGAGACAAATGGCTGATGCCCATGCACCATGACAGGAGCAGAGGGGGAGCCCCCAGCAGCACCACGAGGCCAACAGAGTCCCCTGTCCCAGCCCCTCCAGGTGCCACAGGAGCCCTGTCCAAGTTGTGGTACAGGGAGGTCCACATATATGGTAGCTAGGTAGGCAAATGTGTGTGCATACAAAAAAAGTTTTTCATCCTGACCAGCCAGAGGGGAACAAAGAGACTCCTGGTGGCATTTGTGCCTGTGTGAGCTCCTAGTGTCCCTGTCCGTATTACTCCGTGTGGTTTTCCATGTTTCCAAGTACACATGCCATACAGTGTGTGCATGTCTGCCTGCTGGCAATGCAATACACTCTCAGCCCTGCTGCTGGGGGCACCTGGGGCATGGGGCTGTGCTAGTCTCACCTCCACTGGGCTGTCAGATTTGGCAAATCTACACAAGCTATGGAATCACAGAATGGGAAAGGTTGGAAGGCATCATCTAGTCCAAATTCCTTGTTCAAGCAAGGCCATCCTAGAGCCCGCTGCACTGGATTGTGTCCAGATGGTTCTTGAATATCTCCAATGTGGGAGACAGCACAATCTCTCTGCGCAGCCTGTCCCAGTGCATGGTCAACTGCACATTAAACTTCCTCCTCATACTTGGGTGAAAATTCCTGAGCATCAGTTTCTGCCTATTGCCTCTTGTCTATTGCTTGGCACCACTGAGAAGAGCCTGGCTCCACCAATGAGATACATGGTCCATAAGACAGGTGTCAAAAGATCGGAATATGCAATGCAAACTGCTGTTTTAATGACTGGACATATTTTTAATGCTGGAGGATACATTTCACTTTATTCCAAGCCAACTGAGAAAGCATGCAGCATCACACTATTTGAAAGTAATCTGAGTTTTTATGTTCTTTTTCTACTACTTTCTCTACTTTTTCACTTAAAAGGCCAAATAGGGGATATTTCAATTTTGATGAAAATGCAACAAGTGATGATGAAAATAGAGTCACAGCATCATAGAATGGTACAGGTTGGAAGGAACCCCAAAGATTCTTCAGAATGCCGAACCTAAATTTCCCCTCTTTCAGTTTGTACCTATTATGTCTCGTCCTATCAGTATCTCCCTTGTGAGAAGTGCCTCTCTGACTTCCGTGTTTTCGCCCTTCAGGTGCTAAAAGGTTATTATGAGGGTTCCATTAAACCTTCTCCAGGCAGGACAGCTCCAGCTTCCACAGCCCTCTTCATAGCAGAGGTGCTCCAGCTCTGATCAACTTTGTGGCCTCCTCTGGACTTGCTCCAACACTTTCATGTCCTTCTTATGCTAGGCTTCCTTCTGAGCTAAGAAAAAGTGATAACACCTCTTTTCCAAATACTTTATTGCAGCATTAGGGGAGCAGAAGGGATAGGGTGTTAAACATGATGTGTGTCCTCTACTCAGCACTGGTGAGGCTGCCTCTCAAGTACCACATCCAGTTCTGTGCCCCTGTATTCAGGAAGGACATAGAGGTAATGGAGTGGATCCAGATAAGGATAATAGAGGCGATGAAGGGTCTGGAGAACAAGTCCTGTGAGGAGCAACTGAGGGAGCTGGGGCTGTTAAGCCTGGAGAAAAAGGAGGCTCAGGGGGGACTTTATCACTCTCTAGGACCACCTGAAAGGAGGCTGTAGCCAGGCTCAGCCTCTTCTCCCAGGCAGCCAGCAAGAGGACAAGAGGAAACAGCCTCAAGATGTGCCAGGGAAGATTTAGGTTGGACACAGGGAATAATCTCTTCACAGATGGGGTGAATGGAATGCCCAAGGAGGAGGTGGAGTCACTATACCTTAAGGTATTTACGGAAAAGCTGGAGCAGCGCCATGGTCTGTTGGTGGTGTTCAGTCGTAAGCTGGACTCGATCTCAGAGATCTTTTCCAATCTGACTGAATCTGTCTTTCAAGGCTGCCTCAGCTGGTGCGCAGGACATGACCGGGACAGCTGCAGCCCTTCCCCTCAGGGCAGAGCAGGGCAGGGTGGCCGCAGAGCCATTCTCCCCGCACACGGCCGCTCCAGCCGCCAAAGACACGGCCCGAGGCTCTCCGGCCCCGCCCCGGCCGGCTCCGCCCCCGGCCCCGCCGCCACATAAAGCGCGGCCGCCGCCTCCCCGCCCCGGCCAGCGCGGAGCGGAGGCGGAGTGCCGGCGGCCGGCGCCATGGTGTTGAACCCGGTGCTGGGGAAGCTGGTCAGCAAGCGGGTGGTGCTGGCCAGCGCCTCGCCGCGCCGGCAGGAGATCCTCACCAACGTGGTGAGTGCGGCCGGGGCCGCTCGCCCCGCACGGGCCGGCCCGGCCTGCGGGCCCGACGCCTCCCGGCCCCGCTCCGTGAGACCAGCGGGAGGGGAGCGGGGAATAGAGGAAATGCGTCCTTTCTGAAAGGCACTAGTGCGGAGTAAAGGAGGCCGTAACCTGTCATTCAGACCTTCAGTCCCTGCGGAGGAGCGTGTGGGCCTCGCTGGGCGGGCTGCGGGAGGATTTTGAGTAGCACTTGGGTATTACCTATCGGACTTCGATTGCTTAGTATTGCCATTCTTAATAATTCAACCGATAAACTGAGCTTTAGTGGAAGAAATAACTTCAAAATACGGATGTGTGGAGAAGCACCGAGGTTCAGTCATACGCTAAGTTATTAGAAACATAGCATGCCTGCCGGGTGCAGTAAATATACAAATGTAGCCTAGAAGCAAAAAGTTGGAAGAATAGTTCGGCATTGTTTGACGAAACCAATCAGAAACTGTTTGGTTTTGTTTTCTGTTTATCATATGTTTAAGGATACATAAAGTGCAGTAAAGCTCCTGTAAAGAATGTGCACTGCTGTTGCATAAGTAAAGTGCTATGGATGGATTAAATTTTAAAAAAGCCAGTAGTATAATCCTCTGTTTATGGAGTGTGTAAGCTTATACAACAGTATAAGCTTACACACTTCATAGTTTTTATATGAAAAGAATAATGAAATTACTAATGTGATTATGTTCTAATAAATAAGGGCAAAATCAAGTATACACACCAGTTTCAAAGTTCTGATTGTTTTGTTTCAGATTGCTTGCAAAGGATATGTATGCACTAAGCACCAACAGAAGCACTGGGGATGTTTTTTTGTGTGTGTTTTGGGGGCAGGTGTGTTCAAGTGTAAAAAACAGATGTCAGATTTTCTATTCGTTTAATGTGCCTTGGGAGCAATGTTTAATGATGAGGTCAGACTGACTGCATCACTTTCCTGTGTTACAGGGCCTGCGGTTTGAGGTGGTTCCATCCTGGTTTAAGGAGACACTAGAAAAGTCATCTTTTAAAGCCCCTTATGAGTATGCTGTGGAAACAGCAAAACAGAAAGCTCTTGAAGTAGCAAACAGAATGCATGTAGTAAGTTACTCTTACAGCAATGAGCTTTTTGTCTTTAGGTGTTGCATGTTACTGTGACTTAATTTGCTTGCACTGCTTAAGTGATCCCTCAGTCCTTTTTCTCCACTGAAGGCTAATGGATGTTTTCCTGTCATTTGTGAAAGATGATGTCTTGAATTACCTAATCAGAAGTTTCATGCCTGCAGTTCAGGCTTTTCACAAACTGAAGCGGCCTGCATCTATTGTCAGCATCATACCTACTCTTGTGCAGGATATAAATCCATAATTTCTTTCAACAGTCAGGTGTATGGTTAACTTCATTCCACATATTTCTTGATTGTGGAGACAGACTCCGCAGAAAAGCATCGATTGATTCCAGTCCTTTGTTGTAGCTTTCACTGAAGGAGTGATAAGAATAGTTCAGAAATTGTGTGTACTGGAGGACAGCAGAAAAAAAAATGCTCTTTCTTTTCCCACAATGTTTTAAAACAGAATTTGTATCTCTAATTTTAAGAAGGGAGAAGTTGATATTATTTCAGATTCTGTTACATGAGGCATCCATTTTGTATCCTAAATTTTATCAAAACCAGTGATGCAACTTACACTATCAGTGGTGTTTGATTTATGCCCTTGGCTGTGATCACTGTTTGAACACATAAGGCTCTTTGCTACCAGAACCTATTTAAAAGTCAAGCAGATTAAATCTCACAAAATGGACCATAATATTTTCTTAATAATATAGCTCTGAAAGAGAGGGGTGTTTGCTGATCCTATTCTAGCGACAGAAAAGGAATGTTGAACACTATATTAACAGTGTTGCCAGATGTCACCATTCTTCAAAGCAAATATTGCATGGTCTCCAATGTAAATCGTTACCCAGGATTCTGTCAACTGCTTTCTAGACAATGGTACAACATAGAAGAGTGGATTTTAAACCCAACCTCACTAAATGACTCACTTTGGGCTTTCATTGCAAAATACTGTGCTGGTGATAATGCTAGTTCAATGGATTTCACAATGCTTCTTCATTATAGGAATTTTTAAAACTAATTCTAGATATGGTTGAGCCATTTAGAGCACATCAAGTCTTTGTCTAGAAGAATTGCCTCCCTATAAATGTTTTATTATAATGGCATCACTTACGGGCAGGTTTCATATCATATTGTGATAAGTAACAGCAGTATACCTTATAATAAGCAGGTAAATCAAAACTTAGCTATAAGGACAGGTACTGTTTAAAGTCAAGAAAGATTTACAAGGAATTTTTTTGTATCACTACTTCTCATATTTAAAAAATTAGACTGTGTTCCATTTTGAGAGAAAAACACAAAGTGTAGCTAAAAAAAAACCAGGTTTATTTTTCAGTAAAATTTTGCTTGGAGAAGTGATCCTAGAGGGCTGTACTCTCTGGCTTCCAAACACTCTGCACTTCCTTTAAAGGAATTGTTTGCTACCTTGAAGACCAGCTTGACTTTTGAGAATGCACTTTATTTCCTGGATGTATTTATTCTTCAGTAACATATGTGGGCAAGTCTGTGGCTTGAGAATGATGTGCTCAAGCCTCACTTTTATGGTGATATAAATGTTGACTATTTCGCGAACAGTGCAAAAGGAGAAATAGTGTCTATACTTGTCAGTGTAGAGCCTTACTTCTAAACCAGCAAACTGTTATTTTCTTACCTTATGTCGTAAAAGATTTTGTCCTCTTTGCATCTTCTAACAAATGCCTTCTTTCTTATGCTTTTGCAGAAGCATATGAGAACACCTGATGTTGTCATAGGAGCAGACACTATTGTGGTAAGAAATCTTTAGTGACTTAGCATTATTTTAGTTTATGACAAGTGTAGAAAATACTTGTATCTTTAGGTTTAAGTTTGAAAGCTGCCTTCACTGTGAAGCTATACCTGCATTATGATACATCTTTATGGGGTTTGTTGATGTGGCTTTTAGGGTTTTTTTCCAACAGCTTTTTGAAGTATTGAGAGCTAGAAGCCTTGCTACTGGTTTTGGGGATGCTAATATTGCCATAAATATTGCCTTGGATCTTCTAATATGTAATGGAAGTTCTGTTCTCAGGTGACTTTTCTGTCAAGAAGTCCAGATCCTGTGAACTGTTCTATGTTGTGCCTTTGCACCTGACCTCTTCACAGAGACAGTGAACTGTTAAGGACAGAAAAAGTTAAATTATCCTTTTGTTTGAGAGGTGCACCCATTGAAGGGTAGAGTATGGGACTCATGTGCTTGACACTTAATTACCTGTTCCACCAAAGTATCTGTGCTTCTTGCTCTACTCAATAGACTGAAGTTTGAGCCCTAGCTGAAATCATGATATGAACATAATTTCTGACGTCACTTTCTGAAAAGTGAGCAAAAGCAGCATGCTCTCTCTGTTTTTCTGTTTTAGTCTGTGGATGAGCAGATACTGGAGAAACCAGTTGATAAGCAAGATGCCTACAGGATGCTATCAAGGTGTGTAGTTTTAAGTAAGACATGAAATTTGAAGATGCAATTTCTCCATCACTTCGATTCTCAAAAGGGTTGCACAGAAGGGATACATGCAAATTTTTGGGAGTTTTGTTTGTTGTAAGTTTAGTAGGTCAATCTCTTAATTAGGGATATGAAAAGTACTTAACACTTAACTTTTTAGAACTCCAAGGAAAAAGGCAGACAAGATGATGTATCTTTGCATATATCCAATGTGTCAAGTGAAAATTTTCACACTCTGTTTCATCTTAGAAATTGGTCTAGAATCTTGTGGGGGACAGAGCACGTGAGATACTTCTGATCTCATCCAGGAATATCCTGGCTAATCTTTACGAGATTATTCCTTAAATAGTCTCTTCAAAGATTCACAATCAGTCCCTTGCCATTATACATCTGTTGCTTACACAGCAGATAATAAAATCCTCAGAACTAATTGGCCACAGCGTGGCACTCTGGAGCTGCTACAAGAGAGAGCTAGGGGTAAGGCAATCTGGGCTCTTCTCTGCACTCTGGTTTGCCATGGGGTCTCTGGGGGCCAGTCTGGGTGAAATGAGAGCATATGCTCTAGTTCCCTATTACATGTTTAGTCTGAGTTGCATCACCTAGCTAATTATGGCCAGTTTTCAGTGAAGATGGCTGTAACTGCAGTATTTATGCCAACTGGCCTTTTCTAATGCACTTGGAATAGTCACTTCCCTGATGTACAGTGAATGAGTTGATAGCATGGACTACTCTTATACAAATGGTATTTTGGAACCTTGAAATGACTGCAGCTTTTGGTAGTTTATGTGGTTGTTTTTAGTTTGTTTTGCCATTATCTTTTCAGTGATACTGAAATAAAATTTATTTGTTTAGGATGCATGTCAGATCCATTGAGTGATACATTTATGTAATGGTCTGCTTCTCAGAGTGTAGCAATATAATAATGTAGAACATTTCATAGGACTGTTGCTTAATGGACATTTTTTTGCCTGACAGGTTAAATGGGAAAGAGCACAGTGTTTTCACAGGCGTGGCTATTATACACTGCTGCAGTAAAGGTATGCCTGATTTTATTACAACTCAATATTTGTTTTCAAAATTCCTCTCATAATAGCGTGTACAAGTAAAGAAACAGGATGAAAATGTTTCATATACAGTCTGAATTGGTTTTCTACTCAATAACTGCCTTATCAAAATATAAATTAAAGACTCCCCACAAAAAACAACCTTCTTCCTGTATTCAGTTTTTACACAGAAGGGAAAGCAACAAGACACAATGGAGATCAGAAATATTGTCTCTGAAATCTATGAGACTAATTGAAAGGCCAGTATAAGTTGGGGAATATTCTAAATTAAATTCAAGTAAGGTATCTACAGATTGAGAGACTGAGCTGGATGTGATCCATATCAACTTCATTCTATGTTGCGCTTAGACCAATTGAAGCTTAATGCCTGAGACTGTTAAGAAGCTGTAGGGAGCAATACACCAATGTTCTTTATCGCATAATTTATAGACGAAGGGAGTCATTTTTATGGAAACTATACCATTAATATAATTTGAGAAGTGCTTGAAGAGCATTGTCTGATAATTGTGCCAGTAGTCTTTCAGTAGAGCTTTTGCAGACATGTCGCTGGATATAGTCCTTCCGCACACAAATTAACAGTTTTTAATCATTTCTGGAATGGTTGCTCTTAACTCTTATAAAATAGAATTAAAGTTAGTGATGCAGTACTGCTAATATGCTAGTACAGTAGAGGGAGAGCTGCTACAAAAGAAATAAAACATGTTACCAAGGAGTTCTGTGAGCAACCCAGCAATGTAAATAACACCTTTAACTGTTTACTCTAGGAAGAAAGTTAAGTGCCCCCAACTGTAATAGTGATGCTATAACAGCACATCTCATTTGAAGTTTACAAATTTGAACTGCATCACAGTCAGATGAATAAAAATATACCTTTAGTCACCATATTCCCCAAGAGATGCAATAGATAGAACAGTTTTGGAGAATTATTATAAACTGTATTTACAATTTATAATTACAGTGTTTTAACTTGTTAAAGATGAAGTTTTTATTTTGAGCTGACTAGAATTTGTTATCAATACTGAAAGACACGGTAATGTCTTCATATGCACCAATTTTTTAAATTTTGTTTGGGCTTCACAGTATCACCATTAGAAATTGATTAGCATTCTTCCTTTGGTCGGTACTTCAGATGTTTTTTACTCCTCCTCAAGCATTTCCACTGCTGCCAGAACTGTGGTAACAGGAGATGCTTGATGTTTATATAAAAGAGTAGAGAGAGGTAATAATCTGTGATGTGCACACTCATTTGTGCAAGGCTACAATGAGCTACCTTATTAGAACCCTGTCATAGGAAGATGACAGCAATGGTTCTTGATGGGACTGCTGGATACCCAAGTCTGAAATGCAGGTGCAGCTGCACGTACGCACTTTTATGACAGCTACGTGTTGGACTCTGATACGTTGTTAAGAGTTCTTTGACAACAGTCATAAAGTTGGAAGCGTGCTTGTAGCCTTCTTTGTACTCAGTGCTAGATGTGTGTGCCAGCATCCATAAAAAGTTTTGTGCAAGGATTGTTAATTTTAAGAATATATTCCATACAGGAAGAGCAGTCTGTTAGCTCTGACACAGGACTGCAGAGGTTGAAAATGTAAACTCCGACTTTTGAGGAAGTTGAGCACACTGTCTGTAAAGAACATTATTAGTCATTTCATACATCTATGCAATATATCTAATTTTTCTCAAGCAAAATTGTCAAATGATTAAGAAATACAACCTAGATGTTATGCTCTCTAAACTATAATTCCTGTTTCTAATAAGGCCTTTTTCTTTTTGTAGACAATCAGCTAGAGATGGAAATCACCGATTTCTATGAAGAGACTAAAGTAAAATTTTCTGAGCTGTCTGAAGAGCTCTTATGGGAGTATATTCATAGTGGGGAGCCAATGTAAGTAAGACCCTGATGCCACCACACAACACTTGAGAGTAGGCCTTGGAGTACATTATTAAGCCAGTGTAAAACATTGTCCTGTGTTCTGTGAAATTTTGCTTTGTGTATATGATAAATGATAGTGTGGGTGATGCAAGGTCACTGTTATTTAGGTCTTGTGCAAAGCTGTCATTTCTCCAGTGAAAATGAGCTACCTTGTTAGAACCCGAATGAACTTGAAAAGTGAAGACTTGAAATACTCTGGATTAGAGCAAGCAATTGTGCAATATACAATTATCTTTCTGTTAGCAGAGGTATTCAGGGATCTTCAGTGCCCAAGACAATGCATAGTTCATTACAAACAGGTGAAAAGAATTAAGTGTTGGATAATCAAGGCATCATGGAACTGTATTGGGAGAAAGCTACAATTTGGTGCATTTAGTTTATCAAAATCACTGCTCTGATGCAAGGAACACCAGCTTAATTTTTACTTATCCTTGTGAAAAGTGAAAACACAGTATGTGTGTTGCTGTGCCAGAATTGTCCTTCAGTTTATGTATTTCTGCTGCACTGGTAATATAGTTACTGACCTATATAGGCAACATTGGCAAAGACAATATACCAGACAACAGTGATTCTGTGGAAGAAATTGGATGAGAACAGAATGCCTAATTACTACTCCTACGATGAAGTTCACTAGATTGCTTAAAAAAAGAAAAAGTACTTATTTGGAGACAACAAGGGAAAGGAATCTGTTTTCTCTTTGTGTTAGCTGAAGCTGCCTGAAGGCATAGTTAGCACTATGCACTGCATATCAGGTGATACGATGTGAACTTTTGTCCCTGTAGCTTCGATTCTGACCGTGTAAGAAATTGTGGTGGTTTTTAAACTCATTTGTGCTATAAAACAATAAAGCCACGTTTTACTGGGGAAAATAAACCAGTGTAGACTTTGGATATACTTCAATGCTTATGTGTAAATGAGGCATACTTTGTGAATATGTAAGGTTCACAGTTTACTGAACAGACTGCTTTTAAATTGGAATATAGGGAGAGAATATTTTGGCAAGACTACAGCTTGTAATAAATTCCTATGTAGGTTTTTGGAAGGTGATGTTTACTATGCTAGTTAGTATGATGTTTAGATTTAGTGGGCCATAAAATTGCAGTTTGAAGGAGAAATGACCATGGATTTTTAGGAAGAATGAGGTTGAAAAATATTTTGGAATATTTCTTCTGGAAGCAAATAGCTTTAGCAGTACTTTGCTGCACCAAAACAGCTTGTGAGCAGTGCTGGGTTGTTCTGTTAGTTCTCCTAAGAACAGTGTGTGACATCAAGGGTTTCTCAGGGACCACAGGTTCAGAGAATGTATTTTACTACTCTCTGAGGTAGAAGCCAATTGATCTTTGTTTATATAATCCTGTTTATATATGTTCCTATTATGTTTATATAATAGGAAGCACTTATTCTGACTTTGCAAAGGAACTACTAAACACAGTGTCCTACAAACTTTGCAAAACGGTAAGGAGAAGTATCTCACAGCACTTTTTTTTTTGTTTAGTTTTGTTCCCTCCATGTCCACTCATACAAGTTACACAATTCTATGCATACAGGTTTTTCTAAACAAAAAGTGACCATTCCTTATTTTTCAATAAAAAAATTACATGGTAAAATAATTTTCTGAAATAATACAAGAGTCAATAATCCCATGAAACAAAAAAGAAAAATTACTAGTTCTGTTGAGAATTAAATTCAGTTCTTTTTCTAGCAAGAAGAAAATTGGCGTATAGTATGTAAGTCAATCACTGGTGATACTAGAAATACATAGCTGATGTAAAGTATGGGTAAGGAAGGAGGACAAATTGCTGTCTCAAGGTAGTCTGTGATGATGCAATAAAAACCTTCAAATTTTGGCTTCAGAAAGATGTTTTGTTTTTTATTTTTTTTCCTAATCCTCTTTCTACTTGCAGGCACTGTTTCTTTATTTTTTTTTTTTTCTGTGTATCTGTAGAAAGAAGGCTGTACCACAGTAATCCTAACTGTTTTGGGCTTATATAATGAGTAGACTTTGACCAGCTTTTTATTTTGTAATCTTTCCCTTATGAACAAATTTATCTGTCTCTGCTTACAACTGCTAGCCTGAAAATCCTATGTGGTTATAGTAGCTCTCCTCTGATGGCAATGAAATCAAAGGGCTCTACTTCAGTCTGGGAAGGAGGTGATGACAGAGCCTTCAGCTCTACAGTTTCACATTTTACTGTGAAGGAATAACATACAGAATATAAGTGTTCTTTTCAGGATCCAATCTCAGAACATAGTGTCGTAGAAAAATCAATATGTAGTCATTTCTGTTAATGTTCTTGCTGGGAGTATGATACTGCTGCTTTTGATAGTTACAATGTTTTTTGCCTATGTGTAAGTATATACCAAAACAACTATAATTTCATTGAAAAATGAGAGGACATTTTAGTCATTATAATAGTCCTAATTTAGTTGATGTAAATCATGAGAATGTTATAAAATAAGAAATAATTTAAATAATGACAAAGTTATAAGGTAGTGCTTACAATTCAAGATTAAAGGAAAATTCCTGTTCCACAATTTGTAGCAATTCAGAAAATCCTACTCGCTGGTATACCGATTCCTCTATTTGTTTTAGCATGCTATTAGAAAGGGAATCCAGAGGTAAGTACTAAAAATAAAGAGCTGTTTCTGATGAAATTTCAGATGAAAAAATTAGCAATATTTTTTTTTTGTGTAGTAACCTTCTTTCTCAAGCAGTTTGTGTATTTTTATACTACCTTAAGTAAATAGATCTGAGACTGACTGACCTTTGGTTTCTAAGCTTGCTGGCATAGGCTTTCAGATTCTGCTGTTATTTAGGAAACATACTTTTAACTGCCTTGTTCCTTGTATGAGAACAGTAAAATTGTTTGGTCTACTGCAGTTTATCTGACTTGTATATATTTCCATTCCAATCTGTGGAATTTGCATAATTACAACTAAAGAAAAATTAGATTTCCACGGTTAGTTTCTGAGCATGTACATTCCTGTGCCAAATTACCAGTATTACCATGACATCTAAGAGCATAGTGTTATGAACCACAACTCTGTTCTATCTCAGATGGTTGGACAAGAGATTGATGGATAGGGCTAAATAGAGTAGTGGATCTCATTTGAATAGGTTGCTATTTTCCAAGAAAATCCTGTCTTCCCAATCCTCATTTTAGGTATTCCTATGACTGAGATCTACATGATGTGTTCTATGATCATCTAAAGGGTCTAAAAGGTCATCTTTGTTGAGCTCCTTTGGGACATGACATTCCCAAAGGCTTTCCAGCCTCTTGTGGAATTGGGTGAGGGTCAGTATGCATCTGGTGACCCAGTGGCAGTGTTGCTCTTGGTGACCCTGTTACATTTTTGGTAGCCACAGCTTGGTAACTTATGACAACACACTCTGACTGCAGTCACCTGCTGCTTAGGTGACTGTTGCACTTGCACTGTCTGAAGCATCAAGACCTTTAACCTCCTCACCCTTAGTAGAAATACTGATCCTTATATTTATCTTGTGATTTACAAATTGAAGTGTTGAGCAGACCTAGTAGATTTAATCTGCCTGTAATTTAGGTACAAGTCTTTATTCCAGCCTCTGCAGTACTGCTGGTTTATTAGTATTCTGTGATACCTCTACTCTTAACTTGATTAGAGCTATGTTATAGATTTCTTTTTCCTTTCTCTCCCCCAGGGACAAGGCTGGTGGATATGGTATCCAGGCCCTTGGTGGAATGTTAGTTGAGTATGTCCATGGAGACTTCTTGAATGTGGTGGGATTTCCTCTGAATCACTTCTGCAAAAAGCTAGCAGAATTGTACTATCCACCCTCTAAGCATAATGTACAACATAAAAAGTATGACTCTATCCCTTCTGTGGACACTTTTGAGAACCTAAGTGATGGAGAAAGTGAATCTTCAAATTTCACAGAGCACAAAGTTGCTAGTAAGTTGGACTGCAGTGGGATGCATTCCTCAGGAGCTGCTTACAATTCTGATAACACTTCTGCTGTCAGAACTGATTTTACAGTACCTTTGGAAAATCAGAATGGAGTGTCACAGAGTGCATCAAAACTTCCATCCAAAATTCTAAAGCTGATGGATGGATTTAGAGCTTCAAAGGTAAGGGGAAAATAAAACTAATCATTATATTGTCTGATACATTTGTTTCACTGGATTTCAGGTATGTAACAGTTATTGTGAAATACTTCAGCTGGGGAAGGGATGTATTAATAATTAGTAAAAAAGGATCACTGATGTTCTGGAGAATGTTAATATAGCTGAATCTTCTGGTGCAGTGAAAACATTGCTGGGTTTGTCTTTTTGTATTTGTTTTTGTGTTCGATGAAATTTCAGTTACCTGTTTGATAATTTTATCTCTTGAGAGGGAAAAGAAGTTGCAGATTTTTCTTTTTTTACTGACCAGAAGAGCACAACTAAGCTGGAATGATATACTCTTCAAAGAAAGCATTTAATGTGGTTAACTCACCTGACTTAAAACTGTGACAAGATTTGTATATATTATATTTCCTTTGTAACTTTTAATGCTTTGCATTAGAATTCTGTGGAAGATCTTAATTTTTTATTGTCTATTCAGAATATTATTTGTTAATAACCTGTTTCATGTCTGGATGTGTTTAACTGGTAATATCCATATTTAATGGAGGCATACTCATAACAGCTCACAAACAAGGTCACATGCTCTGTTTCAGCCAGGCATAATGAGAAATGCATAGCAGGCTATTTTAAGTACTCCCAGATTTTCTACATAGTTCCAGTGTGGCAAAGACAGTAGTAAAGAAAGGGAAGAAGAAATGAACAGTGATCATTCTAATAAATCACTGGTCTCCATCAAGCTGTTTGTGTTTTAGGAAGAGGTGGGAAAGAAGAGCTAAAGTGGCTGTGAAATGCAAACTTGGAAGTAAATATCCAGCAACTTTGAGGTGAATGGAGGGGGGCACACCAGTGAACAATAGTTTTGCTGAAACAGTGGAGAGCTGTGCTCAGCTCTGAAGGAAGACTGTAGTGTGATCATGTGGTGTGGTTCTGTGAGTGCCGCTCGCAGGCATACAAAGCTGTCCTGAGAGGTTTGGAATAAAGTGACTTTGAGGCTGCTGCATTTGTGAACTTCTTGTGTACCTATAGGGAGTGATGTATTTGAATGGGTGAGATGATGCTTAGCATTTCTTCAATTTAAATAAAAATAAATATGGAGAATAATCAGCATGTGGTTGTATATTACATATACTATTAACAGTGATGTGATGCTGAATAGTTTTGTGCAGTGAAAGACAGTGGAGGCCGGAAATAGGAGAAAGAGCTTTACTTTCTCATTACTCCAGTATAAAGTCACATGCTGAGCTAGTGGGATTTTTTTTTTTTCCCACTTCATGGATCTTTGTAAAATTAATTACCAGTAGCAATGAATTGTGATCTGACAAAACTCATCATGTTTCCATATGCAGAATAGGTATAAGTACACAGAAGCATGTATTTCCACAAAAACTCTCAAGTATTTTTCATTTTGATTCTTGGATGAATTTAGTGATTCTTCAAGAACTTTATAAAGCAGAGTAAGTTCTTCAAGAACTTTGATTCTTTGTGATTCTTCAAGAACTTTATAAAGCAGAGTAAAGTCTCCTGCAGGTATTGCTGCCTAATTTCCTCTGAACTGCTCTGTTCCAGAACAAGAGGGGATCAGGGTTAAATACTTGTAAGTTAAAAAACTTTGAAGTTTACTTTGTTCCAAATTTACATAGTCTGATCTGTACTCAGATCTTTGACATTTTTTTTCTTCTTTAAGTCCTTTTTTTTTTTTTTTTGAACTGAGAATTGCTGAATAGGTAGGTCAGCCAAGTTTTCTGCCTTATCTTCTCACCTTCTTTTTCCTGTCCTAATAGTTTCCAGTTGGTATCAGTCCAAAGACTGGGAAGGTCTCGGAAGCCATCTGATTGTAAACTAGATGTAACTGGATCAGTATTGCGAAATCCTGAATTATTATAAATCCTAGCTATATGTTCTTATCAGAATGACAAAGTTGTTATAAAATAGAACAAAAAGATGCAAAGATGATAGAATATAAATACATGCAGTAGCAGACCTATCTTTCAAAGTTCATCTCTTTTTCTCCCTTTGATTTTTATTAAGCAGAATGTCATGGCCCTTCTTTCCTTGATTACCTTTAGATTTAAATTTCATTATAGTTGCTTGCAATTGTAAGGAAATGGATTTTGTGGTTCTGAATTTGATTCCACTGTTGTGCTCTCCATAAGTTCTTTGGTTTTACCTGTTTCAGAATATAGAAACTGTAGAATTACAAATTAATTTTGAATGGAAATGTATATATTACCATACCTTAATAACTTTACTCTCTAGTTTGGTTTACATGTCTTTAAAAAAGTTCAGTTAAGGTTTTCAATTTAAGGTAGCCATTGCCCATGAGCTTTTCTTCACCATCAAGCACTAACTGTTCTTTTGTCCCCATTCCATGTATACACATCCTGTTAAGGTGTGCCTGTAGTACAGTTGTCCTATGATGTTTCATTATCTTTGTTCTTAATAATTTTGGGTTTTTTTCCTTTTAATAAAATAAAGACCTGTATTTTAGCAACTGAAGCTGTTACACTATCTTAGTGGAGAGTTTTGAATATCTTATGGTTTGGGTATATCAAATTTAATTTTTAATAATTATTTAATAATAAACTTTTTAATCAAATTTTGGTATTGGTTCATATGCTTAAGAATGTACTATTATGTCATAGTCATATAGATAGGGAAGTGCTAAATATCTCAATAAAGTAGTGTGTCTTCATATAAAATTTGTTGGCTGCGTTCCAGAATACTGTGAGCTCCCTTCTCTCCCAAACACCATTGTTAAAAGTTGTTACTTGGCCAAGGTACTGAAGTCCTCTGAGAAGGAAGGGAGCAATTTTAGGAGGCTTGTTAAATTGTGTTGCAGTAGTTTACCAGTAGTTGTGTAGAATAATTCTAGGCAAACAATATCATTCTTTTGGTTTTTTTTATTGCAGTCTTTTAAACACAGTATGATAACAATTTCTTACCTACACATAGGCTTTGTTTGTAGCCTCTAAGCTGAAGATATTTGATCATCTGAAAGACAAAGGTCCAATGAAGGCCGTGGATATTGCAAATGATGTTGGAACCTCTGTATGTGGAACTGAAAGACTCCTTGATGCATGTGCTTCTCTTGGATTACTGGAGAAAACACCACAAGGTGATTAATTTACCCTCCCTGTATATGGTACTAAAAGACAGGCAGAGATGTCTTTAAGGTCACAGGTTCTGACTTGATATTGTGGGTAACTTGTATTTGGGGCAGAGGGGAAAGGATTCTTTTGCTTTCATTAGTAGTAGCTGGAATTGTTTCATGTGGGGGAAGCTTTTATGTAATGAACAAATTAAAGTTTCCTTTATAGAAATCTTAGATTGTTTTTGATCTCTGGACATAATACTTACCAAATTTCTAAGAAAAGGTTGCATGGACAGTCTCAGGAAACAGCGTAATAACTCAGATCTGTCATCTGTACTTGAGTCACAACCCCATGCAGTGCTACAGGCTGGGGGAAATGTGGCAGGGAAGCTGCCCAGTTGAAAACCTGGTGGTGTTCAAGAGCAGCTGAACATGAGCCAGTGTGTGCCCAGGTTGCCAAAGAGCATCCTGGCCTACATCAGCACTAGTGAGGTCAGCACGACCAGGGCAGTGACTGTGCCCCTGTGCTCAGCACTGGTGAGGTCACAGCTTGAGTCCCGTGGCCAGTTTTGAGCCCCTCATGACAGGAAAGACACTGAGGTGCTGCAGCATGTCCAGAGAAGGGTAATGGAGCTGATGAAGGATCTGGAGAGTAAGTCTGATGAGGAGTGGCTGAGGGAGCTGGGGGTGTTAAACCTGAAGCAAAGGAGGGTCAGAAGAGACCTTATTGTTCTCCACAACTGTGTGTGAGGACCTGGCCAGGTGGGAGATGGTCTCTTTTTACAAGATACCATCTTGCAAAAAGATGCAAGATAAGAGGAAACAGCCTCAAGGTAGGCCAGGGGAATTTTAGATTGAATATTAGGAAAAATTTCTTCCAAGCATTGGAACAGGCTGCCCAGGGAAGTGGCTGAGTCACCATCCCTGGAACTATTTAAAAGGTATGTAGATGTGGTACTTGAGAACCTGGTTAAGTGGTGGACTTAACAGTGCTGGGTTAAAGGTTGTACTTGATAACCTTAGAAGGCTTTTCCATTGAAGTGATTCTGTGTTTCTATCTAAAATGACTGTCAAATTCCATTTCCTGCTGCAGCAGTGCTGTCAGGCTTCAGCAGAGGATCTGGCTTTTATTAGGGAGAGTTCTGCAATCTATCCCTCTTTGTGGACAGCAGCTTAAACTTTAGTGCTCCTAACTCAAATCAGTCCATGAATGGGTGTGTAAATGAGGGAGTCAGTATTAGGATTAACTTTTTTCAGTCCACACTATGTAGTTCTAAGTTTCCATGTGCATCATTTACATAGTAAGACTTGAAATGGTTAGGTGTGAAGAAAATAAAATAAAGGAGTCTTTTAAACTCTGTTACAGGACAAGGCAAATGAAAAAGACCTAAAGACAAAACGGGGAAAGCTTGAATTCAGGGAAGAAGCAGCCATAATCTGAACAAAAATACAGTCAAGAATGAGGAATGACTATTCTAATACTGTCCCTTGAATATTAGGTATCTGAAGTACTCTGGTTTAAATTAAAAAAATAAATCGGTGTGTATCTATATTTTCCAGCATCTAAATTCTTTTTTGAAACTAAGTACTTGCTCCTTTAGGAACAAGACTTTCAGAATTACTTTTTGTGGAAAATTTTTAATAATAGATCATAAAATCAGGATTTACCAGTTATTCATGCAGGGAAACATGCCTTCAGAGTTTAAACTACAGTTGCAAAGCACTGAAACTAAGCTGGTTACAACTGTGTTCTTCCCATAAGGTTACAGTAATACAGACTCAGCAAATACCTACCTGACCTCAGATGGTAAATATTCACTTCATGGCTACATTATCCATTCTAATGATCACCTTTGGCCTCTCTTCACAAACTTGGAGTTTGCTGTCAAAGAAGGAAGCAGGCAGAATCATCGAGCCTTTGGAAAGAAAGCAGGCGATCTATTTAAGGTAATATAAACTCTTATTAGTATCAAAACCTGTGAGGAGCCCAGAACAGGTCTAGGGGCAAATGGAGACAGAGCTGTCTGAAGAAAGTTTGTCAGTCTCAGAAATGGTAGAAACACAGTGCAATTCACCAATCTCAGGCTTCTGTTCCCTTCAACTTTAGGCCGTGAAGTAGTGGAGCAATCACAGAATATATTGGGAAATTTGAGTGCTGATAAAAATTCTCCAGATGAAGGTTTCCCATCCCACTGACACACTCTCAGAACAACCTCTGGCCCTGATTAATTTATGTTTGTGTCTTTTTTATAATACCAGATAGTACCTTACTATGCATGTACTCCTTCCATGTTGGACACCAGACAGTTGATTGTAATGTGCATCCAGTATAGGCTGTGCTGTGTAGTCAAAGCTGGTTTGTGTTGATGCAGTGGAGAAGGGATCTGATCTCCTTTATGAAGTTTTGTAGTTTTGTATAAGCTTCAATGTGATATCTGTTACTGATAAAATTGTAATTCTTCTGTTTCAATCTGTGGTATTCCTTTTCCAATACTAGCCCAAGTGGATGTGATCAGACTGGAGAATAACTTAGGGGTGTCACTAGCCTAACTTGTCAGTTACCCATCTAGTGAAGCAGGGTGAGGGGCATAAATATTTGTGCCTGTGTAAGCAGAGAGCTGGTAGTGTGAGTAGTCTTTGACAGCACTGCTGGCTTAAATTGTACTTCAGACTACATCCTGAGGTTTTTAATTTGTATTAAACTTCAAGATGGTGATGAAGGCAGTCTCCTGAAGGAGATGTCTACACCCCTCAAGTATAGTCAATGGAGCAAAATAAGGACTTCTGGAGACTTAAAAGCTTTGCTAGCCTCATGTTAGTGCTTAAATAACTGGAGGACAAAAACTCCATTGGAAAATATTCAAAGGGTCTTTAAAGGGAGTTAAGATACTTTGAATTAGGGTAGCTGTTGCAGTAGATGTCTAAATTTATATACAAATTAAGTGGTTTAATTAACCACTGGAGCTCATCCTTGGTTAAACATCTGGTTTATCACCTTTGCTTGGGTAATGCTTGTGTCCAGTTTGGACCTGGGCTCCAAATGTGTACAGGATGTTGTGCCTGAGCAGAATCTATGGGCTGCCTATGGCACTATGCATACCACAGCCTGGAGATACTTCCACTTCATGGTAGCTGTGAAGCCAGCCATAACTTGAAATTTCTATAAAAGTGAAAGGTAAAGGGATTTGTGTGTGTGTCCTTGAAAAGGTAAAGGCATGAGATTCTGCTACTGAATGCTTGCTTGTTCCCTAATCAAAAAAAAAATCAGAATGACCTTTAACATATCTGATTTATGGTATGGTGCAATTATCTAGTTATTTTTCCATCATGGAAGAATAAATGTTTTGAGTGAAATGAAAGCAATTTGTGAGAATATCAAGAAGGAGTACTAGAATTTTTCTTTCATTCTCCTAAATCTGTCCTTTCAAGATGTCTGTGTGATCAGAATTCTTGATGGAATGCAAAAATCTGATTATCACTGCAGCAAAGGATTCGGATGAGCAAATAGTCAGTGGCACTTTTGATGGACCTTTTCATTTTGGGAATTCTCATGTTCACCTACTGCCTTGGTTGTACATAGTTTCAATTAACTATGAAAATAAACTTTAATTACGCTGCTTTTCCCCCTTTATAGGACTATTATCAGAGCCAGGAGGTAAAGCAACGTTTCATGGCTGCCATGCACAGCATTGCTTACTTGACAGCAAGAGATGTGGCTACAGCATTTGATCTTTCACGGTTTAAATCTGCTTGTGATTTAGGAGGTATTGCTTGTAATTGAACTTGTATACAAATTAAAGGGAAAAGCTTGATTTCAGTTCCACATTTTATTACTTAAGACGTGTATTTTTTACTAGAACTGCAGTAATATTGTCTACTGTTATTTTTCTGATATTGCAATGTCAGGATAAAATAACAGTGCAGCTAATTGAAAGCAGAGTCACCTAAATGGTATTAGAATAGCTTAAGATAAGTGATTGTTTGTCTCAGTCAGTTACACAATTCAAGACAGAAAAGAAGATAGTGGCTCAGGTGATACAGCATTGGGCTGGGAGTGCCATTTTCAGCAGTGTTGTTGCTTTACTTAGGCATATGCAAGATCTTCAAAAGTACTGAAAGCAGTGAACCACCACTACTGGGGTGTCAAACCTGAAACACTGCACTGCTGAAACAAAAGTTTTGATTCTTTTTAATGGGTTCGTTTTGTGTATTGTTGTAGTTATTAATATCTAATATGTCCATCAAAATGTTGAAGACCAATGATATACCAGAAGAAACTCTACTTTTTAGCTTTTTACTGTATTTGTTTTTTTTAAAGGAAACCCTGTGATTGGAGCTGCACAGAGGAAGTGTTATTATATAGGGACAGATCCACTGAAGGAAGAGTACTTTATTTAGTGCCTGAGGAGGTGGGCATCTCAGAGGAATTAACCCAGTATTGGTACAAGCACTGCCACTTGTGCAGAGACTCCAGAACTTGATAGTCTTTACTATGCTGGAGAGTGTTTGTCAAATTTCATGTATCAGTGTTTTGTAAATGCTAAACAGTTAGAGATGTTCTTCTTCAACTAATATAAGTATTTGCCTTTTCATTTACATTTTGATACTCCCCAGAAAAACCTTGAGGTACTGATAGCAAAGGTCCCATTTGCAATTCTGTGTCAGTAAGGAGCTCTTGAACTCTGACAGTCTTGGTGCTGTGATCACTTCCCTGGGGAGCCTGTTCCAGTGCTTAGCCATCCTCTGGGTGAAAAGCATTTTCCTGACACCCAAACTAAACCTCCCCTGACCCAGCTTCATGCTGTTTCCTTAAGTCGTGTCCCTGGTCACAAGAGTGAAAAGATCAGTACTTGCCCTCCATTACCCTTTGTGAGGATGTTGAGGACCACAATGAGGTCTTCCATCAATCTCCTCCAGGCTGAATGAAGCAAGTGACTTTAGCTGCCCCTTATAAGGATTTCCCTTGAGACCCTTCACCATCTTTGTGGCCCTCCTTTGGATGGTCTCTAATAACCTAATATATATATATATAATTTTTTTTTTTATATTGTGGTGCCCAAAACTGCATGCAGTACTCAAGGCAAGGCTGTACCAGCACAGAGTGAGGTGTCACCTGTTTAGTGATCACCTGACTAAATCACAGGATTTAGTGATCCTGTGCTTGATACGCCCCAGAAGACGGTTATCCCTTTGGACTGCCAAGACACACTGCTGGTTCATATTCAGGCAGTATTAAAGATCAAAGAAGACAAAAAGCAGAAAAGCCTGACCACTAAGATAATCTGATTTCTTAATGCAACTATAGATCTGAAGTTTGTTTCAGAGGAGAGGATGCAAAATAAAACCTAGTCCATAAACTATAATCCTGATTATAAATTATGAAAGAATTTTGGGTGACTGTCTTAATCTTATAAAAAGTTTGGGTTATGACAGATGCTTACAGGAGTTGTTTGGTTCAAATGAAAGCAAGGCTGAATTTAAGAGCGTAGGCAGAAAGTGATCTCAACTTCTGGAGACAGTGCTCTAAACTCTCCCTTCTTTTTAACAATTAAATGGTTGCTTCCAGGAAGAGATCATTGAAAGTAAACTTCTTTCACTGATTTCCACTGAAGACCATTAAAAAATCGATCTGAGGGGACCTCTGTAATTGCCTCTGAAAAAAAAAAAACTTTTAAATTGAAGCTAAAAATACTTACACAGAACCACCTTTGGTTGTTTTCGAAATGCAGGAAGTGCCTTACTAGTGGCAGAAACTGTGCTTGATGAACAGAAGATGCACCCTTCTGTAGCTGTGCTGCAATCCCTCAGTATGACTGAAGGCAAGCAAAGAAGCAGCTCAGAATATAAACAGCTACTGGAGAAATACGGATTCACAGATGTACAAATTAAGATCACAGGAAACTTATTAGATGCTGTTCTGTGCTTCAAGAAGAATCTGTCACTGTAGTGTGAAAAGAAACAATCTGGATGCTGAATTTTCACCCCTTGTGCAATATACCCATCATCAACCAGCTTGTATTGGCAATTGAGGATCATTTTGGCCCTTTGTCTGAAGCATAGTTGTTACAGTCCTTGGATAGAAGTTGGAGTGCAGCTTCTGCCAGAGTGAATTCTCTGCCAGAGTGAATTCTGTGCATTTTAACAAGTGTCTGGAGCAGGCTGAAACTCAGGCATGTGAAATACCTTAAATGTCCAGTTCTTCTGCAGACTGTATTAAGCTTAGACTTGGCATAACTGTGTATAGCCAGTCAGGTTAAAAATGCAAGCTTGTAGTGAGCTACATTAATACCTTTGTTCTATTGGACCTTAAAATTAAAGAGAATTCCCCCTCTGCAGAGTATTCAGTGGTTACTACTCATTTTTATCAGAAATTAAAAATTAATATTGTACCATCTGCCTGAATTTGGGGATGATAGTCCTCTTTTTCACTGCTGTGTAAGACTTGACTCATCAAGGTTCCTACACAGCATTTCAGGTGTACAAAATCAGGGAAATGTCAGACTTTACCATATTGTGGTTTTTAATTCTTAGCAGAAGGTTTCTATTAATGGAATTTTGACTGATCTTATCTGTACAGACACTTAAAATAGATAAGGCCGAATATTCAAATGAATAAATTTAAAATGTTTCTTTTCCATGTTGACATGAAGCTTGCTCTTAGCTTAACAGGTTTGTATGTTGAGAGAGACTCATTCTGGCAATCAGATGTGTCTCATCGTTACTCATGAAGTTCATAATGCTCTTCCTTAAGCTGCTCTAAGCTGTTTGAGTCAGAAACAATCAAATCCTAAAGTTGGCACTCTTGTAACTGTCACAGACTTTAAAACTGTGCCCCTAAGTACTATGTCTCTGACTGTAAAATTTGAATAGAATGTGTTTGGCTACCACCCAGCCTTCATTTACTCTGTGATTAAACACAACACTAAGCATTAGTCCCTTGGGCATAGTGTCTGTGGTCATGTACCACAGCTTTGCACTCTCAGGATAATTAAGTGTTGGAGCAGATGGTCCAGGGAGGTTGTGGAATCTCTATCCTTGGAGGCTTCCCTGTGTGAAGCCAGTCCTGAAGAAGCTGAGCTGATTGCAGAGCTGCCCTGCTCTGAGTAGGAGGCTGAACTAGAGAGCTCTTGTGGTCTGTTTCAGGTTTAGGTGTTCTACAATCATGTGATGCAGCCCAGTCACCTGAGGAATTATAAGCTCATTTTACTAATATACAAATTAAGTTTTTCAGTTGCTCTGAATATCTTTTGCTGACTGGTAGAAGGAGTGGATTTAATAGTCTTAACACTGAAAAGATTCTAAGCAATATGCATCACTTAAGGAAAGCTTTCCTGACATGAAGAATGAGGAGGGGTTAAGTTTTAAAACTTTTTGATGATTATCGAATGTCTGAGTTGTACAAGTTAGAATGGCTCTGAGGAGATTGTCTTAAAGTGCAGGAAGGTATGAATGTTACACTGCACTTCATAATAAAATCACTCTGAACTGCTGCTATTTTCATCTGAGGTGGTGTAAGGCCAAAAGGCAAGTATGTATCGCAATGCTTTTGTCAGTAGCCCTCTCTTCGGGTCCCTTACAGGTCTGAATATGGAGAAGAAGACTCTGTAAATCAGATCATTTAAGTTCTGCTTTCATCATTAGGTCAGTCCCACCACAAAGAATTTGGGTCCTACAGAAATAACATACAGAATGTATTGAACAGAAGCATTGACTTCTCCTTTGCTTCTGTAATGCTTGCCATCCACTCTTCTCTGCTTGGCATAATTTCAATATGAATGTGAAACAGCAGTATATCCCAAAGAAATGCAACTCTATTCCTGTCTTACTGTTTTCTATAGTCCTCATGCCAAGTCTACAGAAGTCATCCCTTTTCCTCTGAAAACAGAGACGTGATTTGACTTGTGAGTGTTTCATCACTCCATACTGTGAAAGGGAATTTCCTGGGGTTTGTGAGAGGAGTGGATTACACATTGATTAGTGGATTTAATAGCAGAGCAAATCCATAAATGATAAAGGAAATCACCCAGGTCTTGTAGTTTGCACCCCTCTATATGACAGCAGAAATTTTCTTGCCTGATAATGGATTAGAACTGTTGCATGCATTTTTTTTTAAATTAGGCTGTGCAGTTTTGCTGGCTGAAATGGTGTTGGATGATGAAAAGAAGAACAGGAGCACAGCTCTGCTGCAGTCTTTGAACATGCTTGTGCAGACAGAGGGAAAGGAGAGAAGTGGCTCTGAATATCAAGTTTTGCTGGAACAACATGGATTCACAAATATCAGAATCAGAATAACAGGAAATTTGTTAGATGCCATTCTCTGTGTTAAAACCTAGAAAAAATGTATTAAGCAGTAGTCTGGATGCCTTATACTTATGTTTGATGTTTTGTAATTATCCAAATACAAGAAATGTAACAAGAAATGTCAGCTTTGTGGTGTTACTTCTCAAAAGGGGGGAAAATTGATTACATTTATTTTAGACTTCAGTAGAATGATGCCAGGAGATTCTGTGGCTGCACGACATGTGTAGGACACAAATGGTGTCATCAGCCTAAGGGCAGCATTCACACTGCTGAGAAATCACTGTTTCTTCATACTTGGTGCAAGTAGAATAGTAGAGTTTTTAGACCAGCACACATTGCTTTGCCCCTGTTACAGGAGGTTAATGTTGGTATCATTTTAATGCTCCATCACCATCCATTTTAGTATCTTTTGATATTATACCCTCTACTGTAAATAAATATACTCTAATCAACTCTGGAAACTGCTACTGCAGTTGTGTAAGATTGGAAACAAGAACTGGAGCAGCAGCTTCCTGAGAGAGTCAAGACAGACTGCTCTGCTTTGAGAGAGGCTTCCAAAAAAAGGCAGTTATATAAAAGCACAAGTTTTCCCTGTGATTGTAATTTGAGATTAAATGTGAGGGCACAGAGTTTGTTTCAGGAACATCATCCCACACCTTTTTAGCTCTACTTAATTTGTGAGCTCTTATACAAGTGGATAGCAAAATATGGGATAAGGAGGAAATAAAAGGTGAAGAAACAGAACAAAAAACATGGTGATGGAGAAGAAAAGGATTCCCCCCAATCATAATGCAGATGAGCTCCCAAGCTGAACAGAACATGACAATTACAGACTGAACAAGTTCCCCATTACAAGTTATGTGTCTTTTATCTTCATTTTTCACAGTGATGATACTCAAGAGTCTTAGAATATGAAGTTCTTTTTAAATCAATAGAAAATTTTATGGTGAACAAAATCTCAGTCTTGCAGACAAAGTATTGTGCTAAGAGAGTATTAACATTCAGCTATGGGCTTTTTTAAAAAGAAAAATTACCACACTGTGTGTGCCTCCCTGAATGAATGTACCACACCATTTCCTAAATTATGTTTAGAATATGGTCTTCTAACACCCTATGTGCAAAACCCTCTGTGAGCACAGGAGTCACTTCAGTCTATCTGTATTATGCTTCAGAAGAGCACACAGTTTACTTTTGATCTTCTGGTGTGCAAAAAAAAAAGTATAGTGACATATATTGTACTAGAGCAGAGACAAAGACTATGCCTGGCACCTTTTCTTCTCACAACATGCTCTCTTGAGAGACATACTCTCATTTTGAAATCCTGCAAAGTACATACATATGTAAGCAGTCGTTTTTGCCATCTCAGCTACTGCAGCTTTGTGGTTCACCAGTCATCTGTTTAAAAAAAAGGTTTGGCCTTATTTACTTTGGTTGGAAACACCCACTAAAAGTGAAAGCAGGTGATGTGTACTAATGCCCTCCAGCTAGAGCAATTTCAACACATATTAGAAAGAATAGGTATAACTTCAGACAGAAGTTTGACAAATTCAAAATATCAGTTTCAGCATACAGTAAAATTAGCAAAATTATTGATGGAAACCACACCTGTCTTGGTAGGGCCTGAGTTCCTGCCAGGAGAGCTTGCTCTGACAGCCTGCAGAGGAGGTTTTCACAACATCTAACTTCGAGTGCCCATACAAGAAGTTGGAACCACCTGTCCTATTGTCCCACTGGAAACTGAAGCTAAGTCCTTTGGTATTCCATTGTCTTGGATCAGTTCAGCGATACAGAGAAAAGCCCCATGATGTGACCCTTGGCACTGGCAGTGCTAAGGAGGAGGTGGGAACAAGGATATACCATGGATTAGCATTACCCAGAAGGTAGTGAGAATGGAGCAAAACTGACAGTGCCTGAAATCTGCTCCCCTCCACCTGAGAGCTGCTGCTGCCCCACGGGGAGCCCATGCAGAAAGCTGTGTCTCCCTCCTAGACTGGCTTCCAGCAATTGCTGCAGAGCCTACCTTGTGAATGTGCTGCTCATTGACTACTGCCTGGGCCCACAGACCCACACCCCAAAGCCAGTGCTCCAGCAGCTCACACTCAGCTTCAGAGAATCACAATCACATAATCAGTTACGTAGGAAAAGAAATCTCAGATCATTAAGTACAACCCCGATCCAAAACCACATCAGCAGATCATGGTACCAAGTCCCGCATCTACTGTTTCCTTAGATACACCAAGGGACTTCGACTAGGCTGCTTGCCTGGACAGTCCATTCCAATGTCTCACCACCCTTTCTGTGAAAAAATTCCTCCTAAGGTTCAACCTAATCTTCCCCTGGCACAGCTCGAGGCTGTTTTCCAGGCAGCCAGCTGTCCTGTCCCTGGCTGCCTGAGAAAAGAGGCCGACCCCCACCTGGCTACAGCCTCCTTTTGGGTGGTTCTAGAGAGCGATAAGGTCACCCCTGAGCCTCCTGTTCTCCAGGCTAACCAGCCCCAGTTCCCTTAGTCGCTTCTCACAGGACTTGTGCTTCATTTCCCTTATCTGGATCCACTCCAACACTTCAATGTCTTTCCTGGACTAAAGGGCCCAGAACTGGGCACAGTACTCGAGGAGCGGCTTCACCAGTGCTGAGTGCAGGGGCAGGATTACTGCCCTGGTCCTCTTAGCCAGGATGCCATTGATTTTCCTGGCCACTCGCTGGCTCATTTTTCGATGTTGCCACCAGCACCCACCGTCCCTTTTACGCAGGGCAGTTTTCTATCCAGTCTGCACCAGTCTGTAGCCCTGCACGGCGTTGTCACCCAAGTGCATTTGGCATTTGGTCCTGTTGAACCTCATACAGTTAGCGCCCATCGATCCAGCCCGTCCAGATCCTTCTGCAGAGCCTGCGTGCCGGGCGGTACGGGGACCCGCTGGGCTGTGCAGGCTGGGGGGGCGGTACTGGCAGCGGCAGGAAGCGATGGCGGAGAGCGCTTGGGAAGGGGACCGCGGGGGGACAATGGCGCGAGCGGCGGGCGGGCCCGCGGGGCCGTTCCGCGGCGGGTGACGCGGCGCTGCGACACTGGCGCCGCAGCGGGGCGGAGCGCGAGGGGCGGGCTGCAGGCGGGCCTACGTCACTAGCCCCGCCCCGTGGCGGGCTGGCCAATGGGGCGGGGGGGCGTGGCCGGCGCGGCCGGCATTAAGCCCATGCGCGGGGCCGCTCCCGCCCTTTCGGCTTGAGCGGCAGCAGCGCTTCCTTCCCGGCGGCTCCGGCGCGGCGCGAACATGGCGGACCAGGCCATCTCCTTCCTCAAGGACTTTCTAGCGGGCGGCGTCGCCGCCGCCATCAGCAAGACGGCGGTGGCACCCATCGAGCGGGTCAAGCTCTTGCTCCAGGTCAGCGGCGCGGGCGAGAGAAGGCAGCGCGGGCGGCGCCCGTCGCTGCCCCCGTGGACGCCGGGCCGGGCGTGGGCAGACGGACGGGCGGGGGCCGCGGCCAGCGTGGGACAAAGGGCGCGAGCGAGGCGGCGGCGGCTGGCGGAAGGGTCACGTGAGGGCGGCGGGGAAGCCGAAGCCGGTTCCGCCATGCGGGGCGGAGAGCGAAGGGAGGGCCGGGCCGAGGGGGGCGGCCGCCGATGGTGTCACTTCCTGCCGCCCCCGCTCCCGGCGCCCGGGGCACGGCAGGGAGGGGAGGGCGGCCGCTCTCTGCCGCCATCTTGGCGCCCTCCACGTGACGCGCGCCCGGGCCGCGATTGGGCCGCGGGCGGGGCGGGGCCAGGGCGCGGCCGGCGCGCGCGGCCCGGCGTGACCCGCGCGCCCCAAGGTGACTCGAGTGACCTTCGCCGCGGCTCCCCCGAGCCCCGGGCCTCTGCGGGCACCTCTGCCGGCCTGACACGGCTCTCGGGCCACTCCCTCCCCAGGCCCGGCTCCGTCAGTAAAGGCTCTCATCTCTACCTATGCCCGGTGTATTTGTCGTGCTGTATTTGTCTCATACTTGCCCTTGTACCTCACCGAATCACTTTGGTAAAGACCTTAGAGAGATCATGAAGCCCAACCTTATGCCACGTAGTCTAATTTAAAGTAGACTGTGGCACTAAGTGCCAGATCCAGTCTTCAACATTTTCAGGGATGGTTGCTTCACCAGTCCCTAGGCGGTTCGTTCCAAAGTCTAAACATTTCTTGTGTGAAGAAATTCCTCCCCTGCTTCCCTCTGAACCTTCCTTGGTACAGCTTCTTCTTTTGTCGTGTCCCTAGTTGCCTGGGAGGAGAGGCTAGCCCCCACCTTGCTACAGTCTACCTTCAGGAAGTTGTAGAGGAATTGCTCACAGTTTTCTGTTCTTGTTTTGCCAAGTCCTGATTTCTGGAAAAGCTTGAAAGCAATTTTAAGTTTTTTTCTTTGTAATAGCAACAACTGCCATTCAGAATTAGCAACTTTGTTTTATAGTAGAAGCAGGTTTAAGCCCAGCTGCAGCATAGACCTGTCAAGGCAAGTGATCAATATTTGTATTTTTATTTGCAGGTGCAACATGCGAGCAAACAGATTGCTGCTGATAAGCAGTACAAGGGCATCATCGATTGTGTAGTGCGTATTCCAAAGGAACAAGGAGTGCTGTCTTTCTGGCGAGGAAACTTGGCAAATGTCATCAGATACTTCCCAACTCAAGCTCTTAATTTTGCCTTCAAGGATAAGTATAAGCAGGTGTTTTTGGGAGGTGTAGACAAGCACACTCAGTTCTGGAGGTATTTTGCTGGTAACCTGGCATCTGGTGGTGCAGCTGGAGCCACTTCCCTCTGCTTTGTCTACCCCTTGGATTTTGCAAGAACCCGTTTGGCTGCTGATGTTGGAAAAGCTGGTGCAGACAGAGAATTCTCTGGTCTCGGGGACTGTCTAGTCAAAATCACCAAGTCTGATGGTGTGCGTGGCTTGTACCAAGGGTTCAATGTCTCTGTCCAAGGCATCATCATCTATAGAGCTGCCTACTTTGGGATCTATGATACTGCAAAAGGTAATATTTCAGAGGGAATCTGAAAAACCTGTTTTTTAGAATTGTATTCTCTGGTTTTCAATATGTGAAGGTGAAGGGTGATATCAGTGCCACATCCCTGATACTGCTGTATACAAGGGAAAACCTGTGCATGTATTAATGGCAGCAGCCTACCTGCAAGTACTGGTTTTGTACTTCAGGCAGTCACTACTAAGGCTAGGAGAGTATGTTGGTGACCAGACAGAATTAGAATCAATTTCTTTTTTGTTCAGTGCATACTGAAGTTACATTGGACCAGTCCAAGTGTGTTTAGCAGAATGGGACTGAGCAGTGCTTTTGCAAAGTAAATTTTAAGATTGACATCTGGGGAAATAAGCCATTGATGATAGTTTGTAGTGTAATGTTATCCACAGGGACAGTGACTTTAAGTGATGTATCTTTACTAAAAGTGTGTAGTGAATAGTCAAGTCTTCTCATGCCAGTCTAAAAAGAATGCTTGTGCTTAAATCGCTTAAACTGATTACTGAGAAGAAAGTCTTCCAAATACAGCTTCAGTATGTTTAAAGTTTGTGAAATGTTTTGCTGCAATTTACAGTGGGTTTACAGTGCTTCATACTAGTTCATCTACTAAAATAACTGTCATGCAGTGAGTGCACGAGAGGAGGATGTGTGAGGTAAAAAGCTAATTGTCATTTTTGTTTCACTGTAGGCATGCTCCCAGATCCCAGAAACACTCACATTGTTATCAGCTGGATGATCGCCCAGACAGTGACGGCCGTGGCTGGTGTGGTCTCCTATCCTTTCGATACAGTGCGGCGTAGAATGATGATGCAGTCAGGACGCAAAGGAGGTAGGCTCTAAATCCATGGAGCTGTTAATGCTGTTGAAACAGCTTTAACAAGATTAAGTTATTTCTTACTAGTAGCCATCCTCAGAGTTACAGTTCATTGTTCCATAAATCTGGTTTCTTGCATTGTACTCAAATGAGGAAATGCAGTAAGGCTCAACCTGAGATTATCGGGAATTATGCTGAGGACTTTTCATTATGGAACATGAAATTTAAAAAATGGACTGCCTGTTTGCATTGTTAGATTAAACAAAGGTATGAAAAAGGAGGCATAATATTTTTAGGTTGTATTGTGTTACAAGTTTTAAATTGTGGTTTGGGACATCACAAAGCAGTTAGCTGAAATAGGGCAGTTAAAATTATCTGAGATAAAATAGGAATTAAGAATAACTCTTTGCCCTTTTCCTGCAGCTGATATCATGTACTCTGGAACAATTGACTGCTGGCGGAAGATTGCAAGGGATGAAGGAGGAAAGGCCTTCTTCAAGGGTGCATGGTCTAATGTTCTCAGAGGCATGGGGGGTGCTTTCGTGCTTGTGCTGTACGATGAATTCAAGAAAGTAATTTAAACAGCCTAAATAGAATTGGAAATCAAGTTGAGCAGATCATGTAGAATAACTACCATTATGGACCATTGACCTTCAAGAAATTCCTGTGAGTCTTATTTATCAGAGCCAGATGATACTTCTGGATGGGGCTAGAAACTGACATAGAGGACTGATCCACTTCTCCGTAACACACATGAAAACACTGAATCTGGCAATTCAGTGTGACAGTTTTTCTTTACAGCAGTAAGGAAAGTGTTGGTTCTGGGACCAAAGTTGTTAGGTCCAATTTAGGCAGAAAAAAATCATTTGCCTGTGGATCAGTCTTCAGTTTCAAGTCCTATCTTCTAGGACCATAAAATTGTTTTTGAAAGCATTTGCTAACAAATCATGTTCTTTTCCACTTGTACTGAAGCACTATGTACCATTTTGCACAGCTGAACATCTAGCAACTTTGTTCTTAAATTGGGGCATTCTGCTGTAAACAATAAACATACTTACTCGGTCTGTGTTGAAATTATTACATAAAAGCTTTGGAAAAGCCTCTTGAATTTGAAAACTTGTTTCAGATAATAGGTCCTCTGATACCTTTACACAAATAAGCTTTTTTTAAAAAATCATTAAATGTGAGATCTTTAGAGAGGAAGGGTGGGGAAGCATGGGTTATACTAATAGAAACCACTCCCATTCTTTGTGCCTGATAGTGTTTGATGGGCTGCTACAAGTGGCTTTTTGCATGATTCTTAAAAATTATTTTACCATTCCTATGATTTAATATTATGGGGTGGGGATTCAGTTGTAGTGCTAGGAAAACCCAAACTACCAAGGACTGTTAAAAAGTAACGCTCTTGTCCTTGGTAAAACAGCCTAAAATAAATAATTGAACAATTTTTTTTGTCAAATCAGTATGGAAAGCATCATGGTATTCATGCAAAAACCCAGGAACCCAGTAAATGCCTTCAATTTCTGAGTGACCTATGTATGGTATTGCTGCTGGTTGGAAATGTTGATTGTGCCATTCAGGATACTGTTTGGCCTCATCTGGAGCAGTGGTCAGTAGCTCTGTGGACAGTTGAATTTAGGTTGAAATGAGTTGCAGTCTAATAGGTGAAGTTGAAGGGTTTTGGGGGAGGGAATGTGTCTGCTTCTATGTAGCTGTAAAATAATAGATCAAAGTAGGTCAGCCTTCAGTATTAACTGATTGATATTTAGGGATGGTCAGAAGACCAGATGGAGTAATTTTCTCATAACTGCTCTTTGAGATAATGTAATACCTATGTGCCGTTCTTCATATGTATATAATCTTTTGTACTTTGTAATCTGCAAAGACATAGTAGAGGGACCAGTAGAGGAAAACAAGGTGTTAATCTTCATGTTTTAAAAGCTCTCCCTACATCTTGAGAAAGGAAAAGTGTGTCATTGTATGGCTCATTGAAGGCTGACTGAGCTGTCTTGAGTTCTTCTGTGTGCCTTCTGAGATTGCTATTCAAGATGAAGTATTTAAATTGCCTGCTTGGCTTTGGCTGGTTATTACCTTCCTCTCGAGTGTACTTTACCTTCTTCCTTTCACTGTTGCACAAGCACTGCTTTCAGCATCTGTATGTGAATGTAAGGACATTACACAGCTGCTCTGTACACAGGCTACTGACAAACTTCATGTACCTACTGCAAGTGGTTTTGCATCCTGTGTGGCAGTAGCAGTTTCCCTCTGGTGCAGGCAGGTCATTTGGTGTTAACCCCCGCAGTCAATTATCTGGGGAGCAGGGGAAGATACTTTGTCTATATAAACACATTAATCAGGTTTCTTTCTGTATCAGTGCCTTGCAAGGGTAGAGATAATGATGCGATACCTCCCTGTAAGAGAGCCCAAACTTTGGGAGAGGAAGCAAATGTGGAAGTTACTTCAGCAGCCCCTGAAAGGGACAGGACTTCTACACCCAATCTCCCCTTCAGAACAAGGTTTAACCAAAAGAAATAGGTAAATAAACAAATCCTCTCAAATTTGCCCTAAACCAGGACAAAGAGTTTTAAGTGGAACTGCAATTTCCCTATCCTGTACATTCAATATGAACTAATTTATGGTGTTCAGGTTGTTTGTTTTTTTTTTTAATATTTGGCTTCCCTTAGTCATGCAGCAGCAATTTCCAGTGTGTGATGCAGTTTAGGGATATAAGAGGCAAACAATAAATGCGACTTTTAAAAAAAACACTGTTTGTTCTCTGTCTTATTGAAACACTGACATTTATTCATTCTGAGAAATATGAACAGGAAAACATCCAACATCTGTAAAAGAAAATACTGGCATCTAAAGCCTGTGTTATTTTTAAAAGGCATTGGAAATATCATTTCCACCCTTTGAAGGAAGAAACTAAAACACATTTGTGAGGAATTTTTGCATATAAGATGTAGCTAGCAAATACTAGATTTTATTTAATTTCTCACGACTGATTTTTTGAACGTTTTTAGTGCTATTTGTGTTAATTAAAAACTGCACAGGATCACAGTGTTGCAGAGGTTTATTTACAGTTGCAGTACTGAGCTCATGAAATAGCCTACAGGTCAGTATTAATAGTTTTAATTGGCAAGTATAATTTTATTTTCTGTTCTTGCATAAAGTTAATTGCATGTATTGGAGTAGTTTGGTGTTACTGGCTGGAAGATCAAAGAGCAAATTTAAACACATTCTAAATAGCTGGTTTGTGCTTTAGAAAATTACAGTAAAGTTACTGTGGCATTATACAGCAAGTCTTCCATGCTATAGGAAGTCATAATGAGAGGAAAGAAGCTGCATAGCAATGACCACAAGAAGTAACAGCTTTATTCTGGTTTAAGAGGGCTTGTCTCACTTTGTGAATAACCTGTTAGCAAGGTTTAAGCACTTCTTAAAAATTAGGTCCCTGCAGAAAAGCTTAGTTGCCAGGAATTGTGGGTTTGAACAAAGGAAAAAACAAATTTCACTGATTTTTCTCCCCTTTTTTTCATCAGTTCCATTTAAGTGGATTTTAAGGGGACAAACATTTTTATAGGTGATTATATTCTTTTATAGGCTGGTTTGAGGTACTTGTCAGCAGGATCCATAATTTTCTTTTGTGTAGAGGAATCAGGTCTGTTTTTGGAAAGTTGGATCATTCTTCAGCTGTAGTTATTTCTTCAGTATGACATTTTGTTGGTAGATTTACATATTCTGTCTAAAGAGAGAAAATTCTGTACCATGCAGTAGGCTACAAGTTGGTATCATTCTGAACTTTAGTTTCAGCAGTATCAATGGCATCCCATCTTGGTCTTTTAATACTTAATAAATTATTGCAAGGTAGGAGAAAAGAGTTCTAAGGACAATTAAGGAATGTTTCAATATGTCTGAGCAGTACTAGCTGTTAGCAGGAGGAAGAACAGAAGCTGGTTTAGACACTGGATAACCTTAGATGAGACAATAGAAGGAATTTATTCAGTTAGTATTGGCTGAATTTTCCATATGTAGGCATTGGCTAGACATGTAGATTTGGTTGCTATCACACATTTTTACATTGGCTAACCTGGAGTTCTAGGAGAGTGCCTGCTGCCAGGGAGCACTTGGAGTTGAAAGTTTTGAGGAAACATAAATAATTAAAAAAAAAAAAAAAAAAAAAAAAAGGAAAAAAGGATAGTACTGGTGGGGAAAGCAGGTTAAAAAAGCAAGCTGGCTGTCATACTGGGGGTATGTTGCAGAATATCAAACCAGGGTGTTCTGGAGACATTTTTCCTAGGAAAACTGAAGAATGGGTAAAGTACCTCAGGGCTTTGTGGTCATGTTGTTTTGGGCTACTTTACTGTTCTCCAAGGAAAATGCACAAAGTACGTGTCTTGCTAGTTCTTGGAATATATTTAACTCCAGGGAAGAGGTGATAAAACTCAGTGAGGAAATCACATGGGGAGAGAATGACTAGAAAGTCATTGGTCTGTAGTAAGATGAGTAAAGTAGAATTGATTAGACGAGTGCAAGTTGTCTGATGCACTGAATGATTTGGTTGGGAGGATCTTAAACCAAAAAAAATTGGCAGTTCTTTAACATGAGTGTTTTAAGGATGCAGTGCAGAAAGTTAGTTTTTTTTAATCATGAGCCTTTCTAGCAATCTCAGGAAAAGTATTCTGTAATAGGAGAAAAGAATGAGAAAATGTGAAAGGTCATTGAGTAAATAGAAGGAAAATTAGGAAATGCAAGCTTTAAAAATATGTGATTAGCAAAGGATATTATAAGTTTCAAAACAGCTCAAAAATCCATTAGCACTAAATGTCAGGGAGAATGTGTGGTATTTAGTGGAGAAGAGTTTTTGAAAATGTACTTTTTGTACTGTGTTACTATTTTAATAGCTTTGAAGAATTACAGCATTCAATCAGTGTTAAAGGTACTGAGTTTGGAGAGAAGAGGTAAAATAAAATTAAGTTTTAAGAGTAGATCAAACTTTAAACATGTCAAAATCATATGAATTATTTTCACAGCGCTGGTTGGAAAGTGTGAGGTAACGTGAGGGCTTCATTTAACTGGCAAGTGCTGCTGCACTGCTCCCTGTGCCACAGTTTGCAGACCTCATCCACAAAGGCCTCTGGCTTGTAGTGGAGTGATTTGAGTGTGTTTGGTAGTGTATATTCACAGGAATTTGGAAGCCAAATTTGAATTTGGATTCACAGGAATCAGGAAAAGCAAGTAAACAGTATGCAATTTTCCAAAAACTGCTTGTTACTTTCCTAGCTATTGTTATTTAATATGATGGATTGTGGACTGCTGCTGCTCTGTACCCTTAGCCCTGGCAGTCTTGTAGGAGGTGAGATACCAGGTATTTATGACTTAAGGTGTATGAGGAAACCTATCTAAGTCACACTCCTACCTGCTTACTATGAAAATAAATTATTTTTAGTAAGCAAAATACCACATCTGTCAGGAACAAAGCTAGTAGGGCCAAAGACAAATTAATCAGGACAGCAAGCTGGTATATAGTTACCAAAACAAGAGAGTTTTAGTAATCAGAGATTTGAGGATTCTTTGTAAAAAATTGAAGGAAAATACATGCGTTACTTTTGGAATCTTCATTGGAATGTGTGATATTGCCCACTGAATTTTAGGCAATTAATTACTAACCTGATTTACTGATTTCAAGTATGTCTTTGCTTTAGCCAGCTGAGGGAAAGCATCCCTTCACTATGCAGTCACCATACAAACCACTGCTCAAATTGATGGATTTGGCAAGCATGAATAACCTGTTTGAAGCCTAGTTGTTGTGATGTATGCAGATAGACAGAAGAGTTACTTGCTGTTGAGAGTGTGCAGGTGTGTTAAGATTCTGTAAACAGGAAAGGAATAAGGATAAAAAATGATGGATTTTAGGTGCACTAAACCAAGCTATTAAAAAGGCTTTTTTAAAGTAAGGCTAGATAAACACACAGAATAGGCTGCGCAGGGATGCTACAGTATATTGGTCAAATACAATTCACACAAAACACTGAAATTGCAAATCCCGTGTTGAAGCAAGAGGGCTTTAACGGTTAAGTCTTTCCAGCCCTGCGGATTTGCACTAAGTGTGACAGGATTTTTACATGGGTGTAGGTCAGGCTTATGAAATATTCACATTACCATTGATGTTTGAAAATGCTAATGGAAAATGCAACCTCACTTAGGTTATTTTTAAAGTGTGAACAACAACCTTGTAAAGCTGATACATTCAGAAACTACGAGTCTAGTAAAACTGAAAACTCTGTTCTTAAAATATGTTTGCAAATATGTCCAGGACAATCTTTTGTTTTAGTGTTGGCATAGAGCATTTCAGCTTTCAAAGCAGCACTGCTTGCGTGACAGAAATTAGTTTTGGACCAAATGATAACAGTTCTTCTAGTCTTTGACCTGTTGTGGTTTGTAGTTAACAAATTTGACTGAATTGAGAAGAAATCATACCTGGATATCTTCATCAGTTAATGCATTGAATTTGTCTCTTGGTTGTGGTATGGGAGGAAATATATTCTTGAAACTGCAGTACCTTTGGGTAGAAAATGGGATTGTGGAGAAATTTAAAATACTGCTAATACAACTTACACAAACATTTTATGGTGTAACTTATGGACATTTTTTACTTTCAGGGTTGAATATCTATTGCTTTACAAATTAAATAAGAAATAAAATATTTTCAGTGGGGTAACTGGTGGGTAACTATTATTACACTTAGCATTTGGGTTATTAAAATTTATTTTGTGATTAGAATCACAGTAAATACATTATTAATAAATTACTTTGAATAAATCACGTGACATAACTTTCACCACTGAGTGAGAAGTTTTCTCAAAATAACAGTACCTTAATTTGGATTCCCTCTTGTCTGGTATTGTATATAGCCAATGGCTTCAAAGCTACATGGATGTTAAATGCTTAAAAGTAACAACAAAAAAGCTTTTGTAGAATCTGTTAGAATCAATGACTCAATAACATCAACATCCTTTCCCCCTTTTCCACTTAGTGATTTTGCATGCCAAAAGGCCATCCACAGCAATCCTGGTGGTAATAGATCATGACATTGACAATCAGATTCTTTAGATTTGCAGGTAGGAAAGAAGGAGGTTGGAGGAATGTGTTTCATATAGATAATACTCTGTCAATAGTGTCTGGAGAAAAAAGATTGATTTACCTTTTGAAAAGACAATACAGGAGAAGTGTAACTGAGATTGTTCCAAGTGCAATCAGAAATAACATCACAAAAACAAAGTAATCTTTCCCTTGACCTGAAACAGCCAAGAGAGAAATATTTTAGCATGGTAAAAAGCTGCCTTTGTGACTGTATGATATAATGAATGTGAATTTCACTACATTTTTTGAATGTTCTAAAGGACTTCAACTTGACTTCATTGTAGAATTTTTGTCCAAAAATGCAGATGGGCTTGACACATTTTATCAAATATTTAAAATTTAGAGAATTAAAATTTCAATCTTTTTTTTTTTAATTCTGGAAAAAGAGAAGAATAAACAGACTTGCAGAACAATTAAGAGAGCAAAAATACTGTAAAGGGTGAAAAGAAAGATGCAGGTAGGTGGAAAGGGATGATATTCATGTAAAAACTTAAGAGACTAGAGAGGCAGCCTCATCACAGCAGACCAAAGACAAGGGTGGGTGTGTCTCAGTCTGTTTCTGGTGCCCGGGCATCTGAGTAACTGCTGCCTTCACAGTCCCCGCTCATCAAAGGCTCTGCTGCCACAGCATTGTAGCTACTCCTCCACGTTAAAAAAATCCCCCCAGTTCCTTCCATGTAATTGGGTAAAAACTAAGATTTTATTCATTTCTGTGACTGTGAGGAAGAAAGGGAAGCAAACAAGGTAATATTGGGGGAAAAAAAAATCATTGTCTTACCAAACTCAATGGGTTCGCTCCATTCCCCCCAGTTTGAGCTTACAAGACAGTTTTTTCCACGTGCTCTGATTTTCAGAGTGTATCTTTTTTTCTCATTGTAATTTTGGAATTCATAGCTGTCATTCCTTACCTAAAACGAAAGTGATAAGACTCTGCATTTCACCTCATAGGCAAATATTAACAAAGTCAGTGGGTAAATTTCCTGATACAGTTTCTATTAAAAAAAAAAAAAAAGTATTATTTTGTTTAGGTATGTACTATCTTGCCAGCAAAACTTTCTGGTTTTTGAAGGTTAAATTTTTTTAAAGTTTATTTTGTCTTTGATTTCTCTTATTATGCTTTATGGACAGGGTTGTGATTTTTTTGCAACCTTGTTTGTGGACCCTAAAGAAATCTGAAAGACACAAAGCAGAAATTGGGGAAGTACCCTGTAAACTCCCCTTGCAACCTTCATGGGGATTAAAAAGGCATGGATGGTGTCTGTCAGTGCTAAAAAGATTTAATGTTCATGAGACAATAAAATAACAGATAAGTTATATTTGGCCTCATGATACTTTATACAAAGTCTGGAATTTGTCAAGCTCTTCTAAGGCTTAGAAAACCACTAATTTTCAAGTGAAGACTGACAGTATTTATAAAATTCCCCAGGCTTTGAAGATTGTTGTACTCCCTTTGCCTAGCTGTCCTGAGCTATCAGTGGTATTATTCCAATGAGAAAGAGTGTTTCAGATTTTTAGTAAGCAAAATGTCACATCTGTCAGGAACAAAATCTATTTGTGTAATAGATGGAATGTATGAAGTTTTGTGAAATGCATGGAAAATTTTGCCTACCTCATCCAAAAGGGATGTATTAAGTTTACACTTAAAGATATCACAGAAACATATTTTTCTGAATTCTCATTGCTACATTGATAAAAAATCTGTAGTTCTATAAGTGTATTTTCTGTAATGGTATTTATATGCTTAAGTAGGCAAAAGCACAAATTTGTATGTGACAAGAATACTTACACGAGGAAGCTTTTTCTCTTCTTTGGGCTCATCCTGCCAAAGAAAGACAAATCTTCATTTTTGGTTTTTTTTTTTTTAATCAAATATTTCTCTATATTGTTCTGATTTTCTTGCTTTTGAAGATCATAAGTTATTTTAAACTGAAAAATCAATCAGATGTTATTTTCCAGTCATGTCCCAGAATAACAGCATTTTATTCAAAGTTTTGTCTACCTACATTTCTTTTACAAAAGGAAGGAAACATTAGACATTAATCAGTAGATGTGAGAAGCTGTATTTACAACTAAGGGTATTTTTATACACACTATACATTCTCATCCATATCCAAATTACACAAGCAATCACATCATCCTACAAACACAGCAGATCTGGAAGCTGTGATTTCACAAATCAATTGAGAAAATTGATGTGAATAGCGAATTTATCCTCCTTCCAGTCCAAGTATCTGTTAGACTTATCCATGCTCAGGGGCTTCGTGCGAAGAGCTGCTTACACATCCTATGCAATCAAAATTTAATTAACTGGAATCAAACATTGACCTTGGTCAAAGAACATAAAAATGTTGAAGAAAAGGATAGGTTCAAAAATGAGTGAACAAATTCAACAGCAGTGACTTTCAGCAATGATCTCAGAAAGCATTGAAAGGCTGAGGTCCTGGAAACATCTATCACATATAACAGCAGGATAGCCAGCATTATGGAAAAGTCAGAAAAATAACTGGAAGGAATGTCTCATTACAGAGAACACACAGTGTGTCTTTTACTGTAAACCAGACTAGCATTTCCTCATCACTCATTGTCAACTGAGTGCTTTCATTTTAGGACATGATGGAAGTCATCAGCCTGTGCTGGGAATGGGCAGGGTGTAAATGAGTTGCTTAAACTTTAGATGTGCAGTGCTGCTTTAGCTGTCCTACCTCTGTTGGCCCCTCCTGGCAGGTGTGAGTTCTAGCTGCCATCTCCATGTTAGTACTGCTGGCACCTTCAGCACCTCAAGGGCTGTGAGGTACCTGCTGCCCCACAGCAGGGAGCCCCAGTGTGCACACTGACCCTTAGGAGATATTCGTGCTCCTGTGCACACACCTTCATTGAGGTGTCTCAGTCTAGGAGATGAATTTCCTACCCAAATGTAGAAACCTACACTGGACCCCACCCATTCTGACTGTGGCACAGCATTTTACAGGAAACAAGAGTTAACATGTATTTCTTTCAAATAAATGTTTTGACAATATTGCTAGGTTGTGATCTATATCTTTATGTAAATCTTCATAAGTATTTCACACAAGATCTTACTGTCAAATTACACCAACTAGCTGGAAAGTTACATTGCTGCAATTGCATGTACTGCAAGTGCTCCTTGTACCAATCGGTACCAAGGTAGATACTGTTAATGCGCGAAAGATCCAAAATCCAGATAATCCAAACAGCCTGCAACTTGTTGGTCTTGTTTTTAAGAAACAAATTATATTTAATGATGTGTTGCTTTATTGCAATTTTATATTTATGTTTAACCCTTAGCTGATCTTTTCTGTAATGATCTTGTGGCTGAGCAGTTGCTACCATAGTAAACTTCTAAGTTGCAGAAGTTCACGAGAGGTGGGAAACTGTAGCAGGAGGACACCACAACTTATGAGAGAAAAATTAACAAGAAAGTCAGAAATGTACACATTATAAATATGCATGAACATAGGTACAGTATCAAACACAAAGAAAGATTGTTTTTACCTTATTTTGTATGCTAATTTCATACTGAAAACACTTTCTGTTTTCCACATGACTTGTAGGGGGTGGATGCCATGTAATTATGCAACCCATTGGATTTCTGGTACAATGGACAGTGACATTTAATGGAGCAGTGAGTATTTCTGGGGAAAAAATTGAATAATTAATATAGGCATGGTCAGTAAACAGCTACAACTCATGCCTGCACAGCAAAATGCATGTGAAGGTGAGGCAGCTGATGTACAACTGTGTGCTGCTGGTGCTAACTGAAGTTATCTGGTAAACAGCAGTAAAACACCTTTCCAAAACTTGAGGCTATATCACTGCAGTTTTTGGACATCTGAAGTTAATTAAGTTAATGTAAAGAAAAGGTTTGAGAGATTTTGTATAATTCAGTAGTGCAATCAGCAGCGTGCCATTTTCTTCTATATCTGTTTTCCAACTCACATTGACAATGTGAGTTTCCATAGGAAAAGGGAAGGAGGTTTTTGTATATGTGGTCTTACTCATGATGCATTCAAGGCATCTGAATTGGAGTGCCGATAATATAGTTGATTCAGTGGGACCTGATTTCTCTTGGGGTTTAAAGTCACCCCTAACTCACAGAAGTACCCACATATTTAACTAATGCTGTCCTAATTTGGAAGCTGAAGCCTCACTCTGGTTTTAGGACATATAGCTCTTGTGGCTAGCAGAGTAGTGTGAGATTAAGGAATGGTAAAACAATCCCTTAAGAAAGGTGGCCTTGAAAATCTGGCCATTGTGTTTCATTACTTGGAATCCATGACTATGTCCACACCTTTTGTCTCAGCAGTTTTTTCAGGTTGCCTCTGCTGGTTTTAGTCAAGTTTTGGAGCTGTATTCTGTCAGCTGTTAGAAGCAAAGTCTGCCCTGCAGTGCAGAACCTGCAACAGCTACAGACTTTGTTTCAATATGCTTTTCAAGAAAAAATCCCCACTTCCTTATTTTATAAAAGAGTAATAAAATAAAATGTTCAATTACTTACCAATTTTATACAGGTCAATGTACTCATCATAAAACTGGATCAGAGAATCTTTGCTAGACCCATTCACCAGGAAGTAAGCTTTTTCAATCCCTATGCTCACATTTTGGAAGATACATCCCATATTTCTGTAATTTTCATCTTTAATGTAAAGCTCACATTCCCTCTCCTCTTCATCTCTGCATACAGAAAAGTATTTTAGTGAAACACAGGTACTGTGATGTGTTGAATGAGAAATCAGAATTCCCTGGACCAAAGAGATCTACTTACCTTGACTTCTGCCAGTAGAGAAAATACTGTGTGTCTGCTGGAGCATCCCTTCCTGCCTGCCAAGTGCAGTTCATGAAGAAGATGTTATAAATCATACAGGAGAAGTTTTCAATGGCTGACCCATTCATGCCTGCAAACACAGGAATATCCATGATGAGAAAAAATCATGTGACTTCTCCAAGCTGGGGGATCATAGCACACACTTAGGTATGTTAGATACCTGCAAGCCTAGCTGGTTATTGCTTGGGTTAGGAACGACAACTGAGAGAAAACTCCCCTTTCACTCTACTTTAACTGCCTCTGAACTGTGAAACTTGACAGTGAAGCATTCCACAAGTAAAAGAAGGCACATTGCCTTTTAATGACATCCATGCTGCTAGAGAGAGAAGTATTTCTCCTTTTGCAATTAGTGCCCAGGAGACCACTCCTGACGTGTTTACACAAAGGATTAAAAGAGCTGAGACTTTTAAAAGTAAGGTTGAACTTTTTCCTGTTCTCCAATCAGGAAGGCTCCTCCTTCGATCTTTCCACCTCCATGTGGGTGACAGTGACTTGTTTTTTGCTTTTCTGGATCACATTGAAATGGGAGCCTCATTTCTTTTGAAGGTCCCTCATGGTTGTGCAGCATGCTCAGCCTTTTCCTCTCTTCTCCTTCTACCAGTTTTCTGCATCTTTCTGTGCTCTGTCCTAAATTCAGTGAAAGCATGGAGGCTTCCTCTGATACTGACTCTAGCCCTCTCCAGGGCCCAATAAAGTGGGCAACCTTATGGAAGAACAGGGGAATCCTCTGGGGAAGCTGCACACTTGGAAGGTAGGGCCAGCTGGGGAGGCACACTGAAATCCTGGCTTGTATTTTGAGGGCCACCATGTTTCTGCTGGCAAGTCTACAGGAAGAGGAGGAGAGCAGTGAGCATTTTCTCTGCTCAGACATGAGAAAGTTGCTAATCCGTCACCTCTGTCATGTCTGAAATACCCCTTTTACACACAGCTGATGCACCACTGGTGGCTGGGGAATTTTAAGGGAGAACTCTGAGCTGAGAAGGAAGGGGAAAATGTGTCACAACAAACTCATCAACAGCCCAGTAGAAAAGCGTTCAATAAATAAGTACTAACATCTTAATTTGTAACAGCCAGAAGAGTTATTTTAATCCACCCTTAAACCACTGTAATTTATTAGCATTTTGGAGCTTAGTACAAGAGAGAATAATGCGTTTATGGATACATTTGTTGTAATAGATCTCTTACAGAATGATGGAGACATTTATTACAGAGCAAATAATTTTAACAGATCTGAAAAAATAAACTTTTAATAGAAAATATAGTTACCTACTATGTAAGTAACTATTTTTTAAGGCAATGTTTACCTTTAAGATTGCAAATGCATAAAACCTTAGCCAGACCATATACATTACCTCCAGGGAGAAAGTTGCATTGTTTTGAGATGTTTTTGTTTGGCACTTCAATGGTAAAGGTTACCCCTTTGTGCAGAGGCATGTTTAGTTCTGCTGGAAAGCTGCATAGTGGACTATCCACCTGAAAAGCGAACATGTTGATATTTTATTTCCCTGCTTTTCCTCTTCTGATGTTAGATGAGTCTGGCTATGGAAGTGCAACTCAGGAATGCAATTGCATATATATGTATGGTTTTGGCTATCTCTCTCCTTTAGCACTTGAGGGTGATATAGAATGGAACAGAGGGATCAAAAACATAACTACACAAAAAACTTTGCAGCTCAGGAGTTGGATGCTACACTAGTGTGCAACTATTTTAGGAGACTAATAGTAGCCCAGTGGCATAAAAGAAGATAGCAAATACATAGGGGAGCCACAAAGGAATTTAATCAAAGGATTAAGCAAAATAAAAGTCATCATCTGACCTGCCCAGGGGTTAGAAAGTGTCTGTGGTGTTATACATATAATCGTCAATAAAGATGTGATGTATTTGGTACTGTGTATTTCTAGGGCACCTGCTTGGCTAGGCTAAACAAGCCATCTCTATTTGTTGAGCTTCCCATTTTCCTCTTTGGATAATGTGGGTTTATAACATAGCATGTGCTACAGGCATGATCCAGTTTACTGGGAAACAAGTGAAGAACTTCAGATAACCATAATCCATGGCAGTGTTTCTGGGATTTTTTTTTTTGTGGGGGGTCTCTTGCTATGTCTCTTTAAAGTCACTGGAAGTCTCACTTAATCTCACAGCCCCTTTTTTTTTCAGCAGCTACATCCCTACTCATGATTCAACATAGCTGCAGTTCAAGGTTATCACTTTCTTTCTACTTTGGTGTCAGAACTTAATTCTTTAGTATGCACTGGGTGCTCATCTCACAGTAAATGCACCCTGGCATTGCTCATGGCTTTCCACAGCCCCTAAGAGATCAAGCTGTACACTGCAAACAGCCACGTCAGATGTTATCTGCAACATTCATTTTTTTCAAAGTAAGTGAAATTGAGAAAAGGTACGATTATTTATTTCAATGAATAGCAAGTTTACCTCTGTCTCTATATATTCCATGTCTCTGTCCATGATGATACATTTGTACCCAGTGAAATTCCTGCTGCTCTCCCAGGATAGTTCCATTTTTCTCCAGTCCACATTCACATTTGTAATAGGTGATTCCTTTGCATCTACTGAAAGCATTGCAGCATAAATTCAATAAGGATATGCTATTGCTTTTGTTGAATACAGAGGATGGTATCTGTCAGGCTTAAGATAGCAACTGCAATTGCAAAGAGTTAAACCTTGTTTCTCAGATTATATCTGCAAAAACATACTTACACTCCATACACTGGATGTCAGCATGCAAGGGATGAAATAGCATCATGTACCACAAAATCATACAAATGAGTCCAAGAGTATCAAACATATTTCCTTCTCTGGAAAGAGATAATGAAACCGTCAGAAAGAAAAAGGAAAACATTTAAAATAATGGAAGGAAAATCATGTTGAAGTGTATTTTGGTTTTGCAAAATTTATTTTTAAAAAATATTCTTTAGAAAAGCCAAGCAGAAGATGTGCTTCAGGCACCTCTTCCTTGAACTAACTGAATAGCATGATACTGCCTATAACAAAGTAGTTTGAGATAAAGAAGCCACAGACTCTCATGATGATAAATACACTCACTGTATTCAGTGCAGAGACCATGACTGAGAATTACTTTTTCCCGCATATCTATCCTAACTATACCATCAGAAAGCCAGTTTTTCTTGCTTTCTGATCCTGTGAACATCACAAAGCTGTGCTTTGTATTAGCAGCTAGGATGGTGTTGATAACACACCGGTGTTTTGGCTGTTGCTGAGCAGTGCTGGCACAGCATCAGGGTTGTCTCTCCAACCTCATCCCACCAACTCTGCAGAGGCCAGTGGGATGAGGGTGAACCAGAGGCTGGGAGGGAACATGGCCAGGACAGCTGACCCCAGCTGATAGGAATATCCCATATCATATGGTATCATTTTCAGCAATAAAACCTGGGAGAAATAAGGATTAGGATGGGATGAGGCATTTCTTGTCCAGACACTTGACTTTCAAAGCAACTGCTATATGTACTGTGGCTCCCTGTCCCAGGGAGTGGCTGAATATTGTCTGCTGAGGGGAAGTAGAGAATAAGGAAGAGTGAGAGAGCAGCTTGGTGGCCAGCTGAGGTCAGGGCACTGTAGTGTTTCTTCCTGTTTGCTATCACAAATGGGTCTCCACTTTTCAAACTACATAGCTCCCACTGGTCTTAGAGGTTTGCAAACATACAGAATAGTCTACTTCAAATTTTATCTTGCTTCCGTGTCAGAAACCAAAAAGTCAGGTGTCCCAGATCACTGGAAGCAATTTAAATTACTGAAATGTGAGCACCTGCAAAGGGTGACTCCACATTCATTCATGTGGTGTGGTGGACTGAGCAAAGCTAGTCAAACATTGGCATCAGCTCTTGTCAAACATTTCTCATCTTATGTACAATTTTCCTTTTATGATAATTCTAAAACTGAATTAAATTCTTTAAAAGTCATGAAAAAGAGAAACGTGATAATATTTTGTTACTAGTCAACCCTTCTATATTAATTTTTATGGTCATCTCAGAATGCTGATTTCAAACTGACTGCACTTGTGGTGAAAGCAAAAACCTACCCCGATGCTGAAAGCAAGTCATTCTATAGTCTTGAATATTTTCAGAAGTCATGTCACATTTTCTGAAATTGGCTTGATGTTTCATATCCACCACGTGCCCAGGATTCAAGCTAGGCCAGTATACCATGCTGGAGTCACAACAGAGACAGGCTCTTCACTGTAACCTGCTTATCTCTTGCAGCATCCATATTTGTAAATCATCATACTACAGTAAGGATGTGGCTAAGGCTGCTGGGAAGTGATACTGAAGAATCTCAAGTACAAACAGTGTGGAGGACTGGCCTTGAAATTCTCAGTGAGATATTGTCTCGATAGTTATTTCCACTTTTCCCATGCTCTCAGGGACCTCCCCAGTAATGCACATGAGAACCTGAAGACCTGTTGTCTTTCTAGTCAGCCTCTGAATCATTTTTTTCTATATTTTGGCCCTTGTGTTCAGTCACTCAAGATTTTCCCCTTCCTTTCCTCATCTTATGTTCCTTTTCTAGGCATTTTCTTTTTCTATTCTCTGTCAACTGTCTGCTGACCTTTCCTTTATTTTCTTAGTTTAATTTTTCTTGAGATCTCCCTCTCTCTGTTTTGGTTATTCCTGCTCTTTCAAAACCTCCCTCAGGTTTCCTACACATGACTGCAGCCCCATGCTGCAAGTAGCCTTCATGCTTTCTCAAGGAAATGCTCATCTGGAATAGGAATCATCCACAGCCCTGTCTGCTTAGAGAAATGTTTGCTGGCATCATCTCCACACTCTGGACATTTCATCTGACATTCAGTGGGAATAGCAGGGCATGTAAGCATTCACTTTGCTCATAAGAAATGATGACCATGCCAGCTGAATGCCCCAACACATAGCCAGGTTCTCTGTTTTTTCTCTGCCTGCAGACAGGATGAGTGATGTTGGAGCTGTGGTGAGCCCTAAGCCATTCAGCTGAGCAAGCCAGACCTCCTGTATGGTGGCCAAGTGGATCCAGCATTGTATTGGTTGGAATTTTCTGTCTCCAGGACCTCCACCCTCTCCCAGACTGGTCTTTACAGACAGGTGTGGTAAAGCTCTCTCTGGTCTGAAGTCACCTCAGTATTGAGGTACCAGAAGGTACCAGAAGGTACCAGAAAAGACAATCACATGTCAAAGTGATTGTGAGTGTTATTTGGAGGATCAGACAAGAAGAACCATACATATTCTGCTGTAAGAAGCATTTCCTCATATTTCATCAAAATAGAATTTATTAGGATGAAATGCCCAAACTGGATGATTTTTTTCTGCTCTTTCTTCCCTGGCCAGCCTCAGAAGTGTGTTTCTATCCTGCTACACAGGGGAGGGCCTTGGGGGGTACTCAAGCACCTGGTTTCCAGACTCCTCAACTCTTAGCTCACTCCCTCGCTCTCTCCAAGGCAGTTTGTTATAAACTCAATCTATCCACCTTATCAGTGTGTCAGAAGTAAAATACTACCAGGTAACCTGTAGTGGTTTCTACAGAAGGCATGCATTAAATACTGAGTTAAGCACTATCAATTCTTACCCTCTTAGTCTATTGTCTTTGTTCTTAGGCTGTGAGTGCAGGATGGTACCAGAAAATGTCAGCTGAGACCAGTGACTTATTTGCTTCAATGTCTCCAGAAAAATTACTTTTGCCCATGACACCCTTCCAGAAATGAAACTTTGTATTTTACACATAGGGTAATGTGAGGATAAAATGATACATTGCTGAGATATGGAGAATATCATACACTGGCTAAGCCTTTCTGGAAGCATTGAAATACAAATAAAAACCTTACAGTGCATACCAAGCAATGAAATATTATTATCAAATTGCTGCCTAAATACAACTATTTCAGTTTTTAGATCAGTATTCTGATTCCTGTAGATGATACAAAACTGGGAGAAGTGGGTGCTATGGGTATATTTTTGCTTCAGAGTGACCTGGAGAAGATGGAGAAATGGGATGACAAGAATCTTTTGGAATTCAGAAAAGGAAGGTGCTGAGTCCTGTGCTTGGGGAGGAACAACCCCTGGCACCAGCAGAGGTTGAGATCTACCTGGAAACCATTTTGCAAAGGACACAGGCTGACCAGAGGCCAACAATGTGCCCTTGCAGAACTGGAGATCAAAGGCACCCTGGCCTGCATGAGGCAGAGTGCTGCCAGCAGGTCAAGGGAGATGTTCCTCGAGGGCTGGCTCTTGTTCTGAACCCCCAGAAGAAGAAAGATATGGAGCTACTGGAGGGAGTCCAGCAAAAGGGCTCTGACATATGAGACGGGGCTGAGAAACCTGGGATTGCTCATCCCAGAGAGATGAAGGCTCAGCAGGATATTATCCATGTGTACAAATACCCAGCTGTGGGGAATGAGAAAGAGCCAGGCTCTGCTCAGTGGTGACAACTGACTGGACAAGAAGCAATGGGCAAAAACTGAAATAATGGAAATTCAGTTTAAACACAAGAGAACATTTTTTGCTCTGAGGTAGTCAAGTACTTGAATAGGTTTTCCAGGAAAGCTTTGAAGACTCCAGTGTTGGAGATACTGACTGGACAAAGCTCTGAGCAACCCATTATAGCTGACCCTGCTCTAAGCAGCTCTAAGCAAGGCTTGGGATAGGACAATTACCAGAAGTGCCTTCCAGCCTCAACCATCCCATGATTTTGTGATCTCTCCCCCCCAAAAAAATATTTCTAGTTAGAGCAATTTATAGAAAGGGTACAGAAAATAGCATATATTTCAGTTCTTGAAAAACAGATGTCAGGTAAAAAATGTTAAATAGCGCAATAGATATAACAGAAATTTCATAGTCTTCCTTGGATCTTGCAGAAATCTTTAGAAATATACACATTTCTACTTTTAGTTAAACAGGTAAAAGAATCCTCAAAGTGTTCTCTAGAATTCCTTAAACTCAAAGGACACTAATCCAGATTTTGTACATGTGCAAATATGACTGTACCTAACTTAATCCCTGGAAAATATTTCTATCCTGCAAAAAATCTTCTGTGGCACAAAAAACTCAACACACAACATAGAGAGACATACCTCCTCTTTGAAAAACTCTCCTCATTTATCTGTTCAATTTTGGTTCCCAGCAACAAGGACGATTTAACGTGTAGTTGTAGTCAAATGCAGGATTCTGTAAAAGTTTTGCTCTGTCAGTTAGCTTTGTTTTACTGCATGACAATATTAAGTAACAAATGCTGCAAGTTAGAAAGCTTCCCTTATCATTTCTCTTACTGCTTTTGAGCTTCCTTAAATTTCCTGATTGGCAGATGCTAACTTCACATGAAGAGATCACGCAACTAACTCTTCCTTCCTTCCTGATATGTCAGATGAACTAAGCATTAATAATCACAATACGCAAACACATTACTCAAAAACACATAAATTCTCACTAGGGTCACAGTATGTCAACATGCTTATAGAAATACTGCTTCTATAAATAAATAGATTTTCATAAATAATATGTTCTGGAAATTACAGCAGTGTTGTGTGATTAGTCCATGTTGAAACCATGTCTATGTTTAAACCATGCCCATGTTGGTTATGGCACCTGCACAAGCCCAGGTTCTCCTTTGAGGAAGATCAGTCCTTAGCAGGTATATACAAACAGCCAAGAAAGTTCTGGTTTGCATATTTGCAGGAAAAGAAATGTCAAGGAAAATACCAGATCCAAATTTCTGAACTTTCTTACTGCTGACTATGGGTTGTTTTTGTTCGGTTCATCTTAGGCTACAATATCATGTTAGGTGAAAAAATGTTTGACTGCAGAAATTAAAAGAAAATGTCCAAAGTGTTTACTGAATAATATAATGTTGAATTTGCAAAAATCTTTGCAGTCATGTCACTGTGAAAAGCATAATCCGTTTTGTTTTCTTTAACTTCCAGCAAGTTCAGATGTGGCTCTGTTAGTCACTTTCCCATATGTTCTACATGACATCTGACATGCAGTTATGTAATCTGCATGTAATGTTGTTTTTTTTTTATTATTTCCTACTGTTCTTGGATGCTTTTAGCAAACAGGAGTTCATTTAACCCCTACCTTCCTCTACCAACACAGGCACAATAGCAGGAAGGTGAAGAATTCCCTAGGCTTCTAAGGAGTGATGGAGGATCCTTAGTAGTAAGTCTGTTAAAGGAAGAACTATTCTTAACCCTGCTACCATTGAACCAAAATTGTAGGATGGGTTTGCTTTGTTTTGTGTGGTTTGTTTGTTTCTTTGTTTGTTTTGTGGGGGTTTTTTTTTGTTTGGTTTTTTTTTTTCTTGCTAGTGTATGTGCTCAGATCCACCAACAGGAAACTAATTTACAGACTTCAAATTTTAATGTCTTTGCTTTTCCGTCGACACTCAGACTTGCCCACTTTTACCCAGTGATTCTCACTAGAAAGGCATATTATTTTCCCTTTCAAATCATTGGGTGAAAAAACCCAAGTTTTTTAACAGTTTAGTCAGAGCATGTGTGAGGCAGGGCTCAGCTGCAGAATTTTGTCTCTAGAACTACATACTGGCATTGGCTCAGTCCTTGTCAGCTTTTTCAGTACCTTGGGAACAGGACATGCATGTTACAAATCTTCCACTAAGTAAAGGACTTAATTTACTTATTCTATGTAGGCTAAAAGAAGCACATCCAGTACATGGGTAGTCCCAGTTCAGCATGATCTGAAATTGTCTATTCATCAAATGTACTCTACTTGGGTACCACCTCCCACCTTGAGTAACCTTCTGAAGCATCATCCTTCCATGTCCCACGTATTTGTGATGCAAGGTGTGTGTCAGTGTTCCTGATTAATTTTGATGAGGGGATTTACATGCTGTTGTAATGGCATGTCTGGTGAAGTTCTAGGTGATGTGAAGGTGGTATTACAGTAACACCTGACCAGTACCTTCAGGCTGCCCAAACAGTGGCTAAATTAGTTTTAACTCATCCATTTGTAAGCTGTATGAGCAGTGGCTCACCATCCCTGGAAGTGTTCAAGAAATTACTGGATGTGTCACTGAGTTGCATGGCTTTGTTGAAAAGGTGGTGGTGTTAGGTCAAGGGTTAGACTTGGAGCTCTTTTTCAACCTTGATCATTCTGTGATTCTGTGATTTTACATTGTAGCCTGGACTACTTCATCAGAGTTCTGTCTGTAACACCTTTCTTGAATCAGATATTCCTTTCCAGGAGAAAGCAGAAAAAAAATTGAGCAGTTTGTTTTGGTTCTTCTTAACTTGACCCCCATGCCATCTCTTGAGCGTCTTGATGCTGTCTTTATTATACTTCACACTTCCCTTCCTCAGCTTGAGCCACTGAATGGCTGTTCATAGCTTATGGCTGAGTTTTGGTGGACTGGAGCCAAACTATGCCTCCCTGGCAATTTTGCCCAGGAGGAGAGTTGCTGTGCAAGGTTCTATAAACCAGTGCAGTCTGTTACAATCCCATTGCTCTTTTAGCAAGTTATTGTGAGTATTTACACTCTGACCACTCCTGCATACTGGGAAAAATACAAAGATGGTTTACAAGTGTGTCCAGCATGAATTCAGCCTCTTTTAGAACTTTACTTTTTTTGTCCTGACTAACTGCAAAAAGCTTCCCAGGTGAGTCTTTGGCCAAAGGGTAATCATTAACTGTGTCAAAGGCAATAGATGTGCCAAGAGCTGTTTGTGTTCTGCTATGGTATAAGCTGGAGAAAGTACAGCACTGGAAGGCTCCCCAGCACTGGAACGTGTCCAGGAACAACTGTTCCCAGCACTAGTTCAGCCAGGATTTACAAGTAATGTCCTGAACAGCTCCTGGACATAGTCCAGAGGTTAGTTCAGGCCAGGGCTAATTTCTAAAGGTAGTTTGCATGTATTCACTTTTTTTAAGGGTTTAAGAAAGTGTGTCTGGACTCTTATATGTGAATTGGACCCTGTGCAAGAAAATAGTTCCAGGAATATTTAGTCTAATAATAAAACCTCTAGTACCATTATAAAATTAGTCTAACAATCAAATAGCAATGTTCAAATGTCTAGTGTAAAAATCTGAGCAAATCTCATTTTGCTAGTTTCCCATGTGTACTTGAAGAGCTTTAAAGAAATTTCTAGTATGAACTGACCCATTTTTGACAGTAGAACAATGAAATTCAGGCATCAGAATTTAAAAAAATGTATTCATCTCAATAAATTAATCATTAATCTTTTTAATATGAGACAAAAAGACAATTATTTTTCCTTAAGATTAAAATGTAACTAAAACTTGTTGAATAAAATATTCTAATTTTATTTACAAAATAGAAGATATCCAATAATGATAACTTACCTGAATAGTTAAAATTAGCCCAAACTAAAAGCAAATACAATGGCATTTAAAACTATTGCATTTGTGGTATCATTCTCAATTGGCTGCATCACTCTTTTATGCAAGAAAAAGAAGAAAGTAAAGAAAGCTTATATATTATTCCAGACTTTCCATAGGGATATACAGTTGTCTAAGAAATGCACTTTCAGACTCCTCCATTTTTCTTGGTTATCTCACAAGGTACTGATACTATCTCTTCATTTTCAGATGATATTGACTGTATTTTGCTCTCCATCAGCTGAAAGGAAAATGAAAACTTTCATCAGTTTTATACATAATGTTAGGTTGGCCTTGACGTACGCACAATTCTGAGAGTATTTCACCTGTTTTTGCTCTGTGTGACCACCACAGTCTGTCCTGTTTCCTTACAAAATCATATTTTGAACTGTTTTCTGTGTCACCTTATTTTCTTTCCTGCATGTGTAACTTGCTAGTGGGTAAGTAGGTGAGGTGTGCACCTGGAGGGATTCAAGGGGACAGCTTGGAGGGGGGCACATGGAGGGACACAGGGCTCAGACACTGGGGTGAGGTGTGAGGAACTTTATGGTGGTTGTAGATGAAGAGAGCGAGGAGATGTGCTAATCTTACTGGCGAATTCAGCCCTGCTCGGCTGGGGAGTAGCAGGAGGACTGTGATATCTAGGACCTATTTTAGACACTGCTGCTGGTATTGATGAGGCACTGGTAGAGGCAGCTGTGCTGGTTTTGTTTCTGGCTGCCTCTCTGTGCCCTGTTGGGACATTGTCCATGTCCTTGTGTTGGGAAAGTGAGCAGCCCCTCCTGCTGCCTGGATCTACCGATGGGAGCATGAACCTCTGCACCCGTGAGACTGGAATGGGAGGAACTCCGTGCTTCTGCAAGAGCACTGCAATTGACTGTCCTTAAAAAACTCGCCTGCTGATTTTCTTTTATTTTTCTTCAGAATACAGCAAAGAGAAGAGTGACCCTCTATAATGAGTTCCTTATCGTTTACAAATTCAGCCACTAGAATCTGTATGTATTTCACACATTTAATATAAAAATAGAAAGAGAACATACCTCTGGGTTTGTATCAGCCAGTGTAAAAAAATCAGGTTTTGGTCCTGGGATCTGTGGGAATGCTGCCTTCCAACAGCCAGTCCTGGAAATCAAAACGTATTGAATATAAAATTAAAATTGAATAACTGTAATGTGAAAACACCATTGCATCCTTGAACCAGCTCTCATATTCCTCTTCACTCTTAGAAGTGACCTGAAAATATAGCTAATCTCAACACAGAATGAACATATGACAAAAATTTAATAATTTGGATGGTAATAGATTCATTTTTAATTAAAGATTTACTAGTGGTAAATTTCCTTCTTTGACAGAAAAATAATTTTTTCCTGCTATGTTACTACAAACAGTGAAAAATGGGGGTAAAATTTTAACTTTTAAAAGTTTAGAGAGACGTATCTTCTCTGAATTACTGTATATTTCTATGCAAAATGCATCATATAGGAGAATATACTTTATTTTCTGTTTCTATTTCACTTATGGGGTTTCTTTTACCTATCCTACAGAGACACCTCCACTTTATTTGTTTAAAAGCTTTAGATGTTACACACACAGAGAAAATAAGATAAATAAATTACCTTTTGCAGAAAAAAATTGTGATGATCGCCATTAAATATGTTGCAACTGCTACCCCAAGAAAAATCCATATTGAAGAAGATATAATTTCCTCACTTCCTGAAAGAGAACCATTCATAAATTAGTAGTAATAGCAGTGGTAGTAGTAGTAGTAGTAGCAATCATATGAGGAATAGATCATAGAATTGCAGAACATAGAATAGTTTGGGTTGGAAGTGACTTTTAGAGATCGTCTAATTCCAGCCACTCTGCCTTAGGCAGGGATGCCTTCCACTAGAGCAGAGCCCCAGCTTAGAGCCCCAGCCTGGCTTTGAACACTTTCAGGGATGGGGCACCCACAACCTCTCTGGGCAACCTGTGCCAGTGCCTCATCACCCTCATAGTGAAGAATTTCTTCCTAAAATCTAACTTAAATCTACAGTCTTTCAGTTTAAAACCATTTCCCCTTGAACTATAACTACATGTCCTTGCACAAAATCTTTCTCCAGCTCTCTTGTAGCCCCTTTAGGTACTGGACAAGTGCAACAGGGTGTCTCTGGAGCCTTCTGTTTTCCAGGTAGAATAACCCAAGCTTTCTCAGACTGTGAGAGGTGCTCCAGCCCTCTGATCTTTCTTGTGACCCTCTGGACTTGCTTCAACAGGCCTTCCTGTGCTGGGGCCCCAGGGCTGGATGCAGCCCTGCAGGTCTCTGCAGTCTCACCAGAGCAAAGGGGCAGAATCTCCTTCCTGCCCCTGCTGCCCACGCTGCTTTGGACACGTTTGGCTCTCTGAGCTGTGTGTGCTCATTGCTGGGTCCTGTCCAGCCTCTCATCCACCAACACCCCCACATCCTTCTCAGAAAAGTTACTGTCAGTTCCTTCATCCCCTAGACTATATTGACACCAGCTGTTGCCCTGACCCAGGTGCAGCACCTTGAACTCAGTCTTGCTGAACTTCACGCTGTGTCAAACATCTGCTGCAGTGATTGACTGTGGTGAATGTCAGTCTGAAAGTTTTCACTCAGTATAAAAATGAATTCTGTCATTTATCACGTTAGCAAAAATATCTGATGGGAAGATCATTGATCCTACTTGTCCACCCCCTGGAGTAAGCAGGAACTTACTACAGCTGCAAAGGTGAAATTTTTAATGTTATTTCCAGTGTTAGAATGTTAAGAGAGTGATTAAGTCTCTTCCCACTCTTCTCTGTTGTGTGGCATGAAGCAAAACGTTTGCCAATCCTTTTTACACGTTTGCCAATACTTTTTACATGTGTGTGTCCATAGGTGTGTGACAATGTGTGAGGTAGACAGGACATTGCTGGGGGGAAGAGTAGCCCAGGGCATGGATTTGTTCTTACCAAATTCAATAGGTGCACTCCATTCCCCCCAGGCTGGGTTCACAAAGCAGGCACTGCCAGCTGCTCTCATTCTCAAGACATACTTCTTTCTTGTATTTGATCTTGGAAATATGCTACTATTTCCCCCTTCCTAAAAAACATGCAAAAAACTGAGATGCTTTTCTTTGTTCCACTCCTGTGTTGACAATATGCATGTGCCATTTACCAGTGAAACTTTTAAGAGGTTATGAAAACATTGTTTATTAAAGAAGACTGCTGTTACAGAGAAAAAAAAAATCATTATTATTATTTATATAATATAAAAATTTATATACAAATATGTATCTCAAAAATAACGTGACACTCATGTAACTTTTTACATCTAGAAGCATTTCATCTTTTACACTATAAAAGTATAACCTGTGATTTCTTATGATATGGTTTGATATATTGATAACTTCCCTAAGCACATAGATAGGTAGAAAACCATCTTTAACCATCTCATTTTAGTGCTGCTAGAACTGAGAGATTTGAGGAATAAGGTGTCTGCGCACCTGCCTCAGTCTCTGCATTATGAATTTTCAGAAAAAGCATAACTTTCCAGCCAAACCTGTAAAATAAGTAGATGACAGCAATACTCAGTGTTACCAGAATTTAATGTAATACTCTTGCTCTTGGTGTCTTTTTCATAGAGGTGGATGTGCAAAAGGAGGTGCAGCATACCTGGATGACAACCTTCAACCCAAAAGGACTTTTGTGGTCTATGTTTTTCACAAACAAAACTGAATTCCTAGGAGATACTTTACCTTTTCTCTGTAGTCAGTGATGTGTAACTTCAAAGTCTGTTCCAAATATTTGAGAAGGAGAGTGGACAGTATAATGAAAAATGGGAGATATTTCAAAATACTTACAGAACAGCAATAAAATTCTTACCCTGAATGTATAATAAATTGCACATGCCATGATGATTTAGCAGTTTGATGTATTAAGTAATCCATAAATAAGGTTTCCATAAAGCATAGGACACTGAGCACATACTGATTTAAAGGTATTTGCAGACTATTTATTTTTCACAGTTGACAATGAAATGAACATGTATTGCTGATTAATAAAGAAATAGACTCACTTGTGTGGAACTGTATATGGGTTTTCTTTTAGGATTATCCTGTAAATTGAAAGAAAAAGAAAAGCAACTAACTTTATTTTTATAATTGCTTGTTTAATGTTTCAATCATAATTAATTTTTCTCTACTGTCCCATTTTTCTGCATTCTCTTTCTTATGTACTTTATGGTTTGTTCAGAAGAACTGCGATTTGTCTAACATTTAGTATCTAATATCAAATTCATCTACAATGCCAAGCTTATACAGCAATTAATTCTGCTATGGAAAGATATTTGTTTCCCTTGTTGTCACAGTTGAGATATAAATTTTATTTCAGATTGAAACACAAAGCAAACCTGACCTACATGAAAACTATAAGTTTATTCTTACAGACACCAGGAAAAAAAAATCTGTGAAATAAACTTTTTTTTTGCATCTAATGTTTTAACATTACAATAAGTGCCATTTTATGTAATTGCAAATATTATGTAAATATTTTGTTTTCTTTTGGATGAAAATATTTGCAACTAGCATGGATTCACAGATATTTTAGGTTGCCCTCCACTACATTTTTGATAGAAAAAAAGTTGCTCATTTCATTTGAATAGTCATTAAAACTACCACATAATATACTGCCAACACACAACAAATGACTGCAGACTATGTCCTCTCCATTAGACAACTAGATATGTATTTTTGTAATTATTTTGCAATACACCATTTTAGAATAAAACTCAATTAATCCAGACTTATTTTTTCAAATAACTGCATTCATGCTCATGTGGCATCTGTGCAGAAGGCTGTTCAACCTGGAGAAGAAAAGGCTCTGGGGAGAGCTTCCAGCACCTTCCAGCACCTAAAGGGTCCTACAGGAAGGCTTAAGAGGGATTTTTTCACAAGGATATGTATTGATAGCACATGGGGGATGGCCTTAAGATGAAGGAGGGTAGGTTTAGATTAGATATTAGGAATAAATTCTTTATGGTGCTGCTGGTGAGGCACTGGGACAGACTGTCCAGAGAAGCTGTGCATGTCCCTGGAAGTGTTCAAGGCCAGGCTGGATGGGGCTCTGAGTAACTTGGTCTAGGGAAAGATGTTCCTGCCATGGCAAGAGGATTGAATTACATGGCCTTTGAGGTCCCTTCAAACCCAAACCATTCTAAGATTTTATAAAGCAATCTGCTTCCCAGACATCTTCTAGTATCTGCAGTCAAGCTAAATTATGCCACTACTTGGCCAATGAACCCTTTTCTTCTTTATTGGTGCAGGGGTAACCTGAAAGTTTTCAGGGGTGATTACAGAGCACTAGGGGGATGGTGAAGAGCAGGAAGACCAGATGGTGTCTCCTCAGGCCTTCCAGTGAGATGGAAAGCTTGAGCAGAATTGCAGTCATCCAGCAGGTCAACACCTGGCTGATAACTGCTGTCACAGGCAGGGCTTTGCCTTCTATGACCTTGGGCTCCTTTTTGAGAAAGAGGGGCTACTGTGCAGGCATGAGATACATCTCACCAGGGAGAGTGGTTGTGTCCTTGCAAACAGGTTTGGGCAACTGGGCCTTCTACTGTGTCTAAAGGAGTGCCTTGTATGCACAGGGCTCTGTCTTGGCATAAGTAATGAACCAGTAAGAGAACTTGTGTGTAGGCATCAGAGGACAGACCAGCAGAGCTGTCAGTGATAAAGCAATAAATTTGTCAGAAGAATTTTTTATGGATAAATCTTCCAAAGTTGTTATTATAGCTGCATCTGATAAGTGTCAAAGGAGCCTACACTGCTCAATTGCTGGAATAATTGCTGCACCTTGACATAATTAGCTCGGTGAAAACTGTTAATGATGATGAAAAAAAGCTAGAAAGTTCAGACAAGGTATGAATTGAGTATTTTTTATAAAATGAGTATTACATATATTAAAAGTTATTAAAAAGTATGTTTTGCTTTACTGCAATAGATTTTATTCCAATGTCAGGCAGAGTTTTCAATAATGTTTCTTTGTTACAACAGCCAAGTGATTCAGAGAGGTAATGTTGTTTCACGGCATTTAGCTGGGCTTGCAAAGACACGTCTGTGAAATAGTAAACCCAACCCAGAATAAGAAATTCCAAATTCCAGAATGCCTTCAATCAGCCGCTAAGTAGGTGGCCAAATCTGGTTGTAGCTCAGGAAGGTTTTTTTTCCTTTGTAGTCTCTGTCTGCCACCCTGTGGTCTCTTGGTGCAATTCTGCCGCAGTGGTTTGCATCTTCCCCTGCAGCGGAGCCCGGCAATCTCATCCCTTCCTTGTTGCTGCCAAAAGACTTGTCAAGTCCTGTCCTTAACCACACTACCTTTCTGCTTTCTGTCACATTTATTTTCCTTTTGTTTATCATTATAAATCTTCTACTTTTGGACCATAGGTGTGATGCTTATATCTGGGTAAGCTGTTTTCATTTCATACATGGAGTTATTTAATTCATTTATATTAACTCAAAATTCTTATGTGAATACACATTTCTTTTTCCACTTTTTAAAGCCCAGCTCTGCCCTTCCACAGAGATCCAGTTTCCACTGGAAATACTCCAATCCAGGGCTACTCCAACAAGTTTTAGTGAAAGAAGTGCCTTTTCTAAGTGCTGTCACAGACAAAGCTGTGATATGTTTGAATCTTGATTAACCATGCTTCTCCTCTGGGACTGTCCCAGACATCCAGTGTCTCTCCAGCAGTGTCTTACTCAAGGAGGCAGGGATTAAAAAATATAAAAATGGGGCAGTATGGCAGAGCAGGATTTGATATGGACCTGAAAAGTGCAGTCACAATGAATAGGGTGCTATGTATGGGGAAAGCTACATTGTAGAAGAGAGACTTATTTACTGTTCACTCATGTGTTTTGGTAAATGAAAATATATGAATTAATGTTAAGTGTATGTGAAGACATTCTTACCTTACACTTTATGTCAATTCCATATTTAAAACACATGTCTTTGTTAGAATGACTTATTTGGGGCCGTTGCCATTGAATTATGCAATCATTTTTAATTTCATCACAGTTGACTGTGATATTTGATGGAGGCATGAGCTTTTCTGAAATGATATAACCAAGAATTCAAATAATTAAAATCACTTGATCACTTTTTGATTTGATGAAAGAGAGTGAAATTGCAAGTAACACCTCTATCAAAGATACTTGTTTGTATCTATTTTCTTAGGACCTATTAGAAATAGTTGAAAGGCCAAAGTTTTCTAAATCATGTAAACAGGATCATAGGGGGGAAAAAGGGAGTAAGACAGGGAACATGATATAGGAGCATAGAAAGAAACAATTCCCTCCATTTATTTTTCTAGAGGAGCAAGGTAAAATACTGTCTTTGTTTTAGGAGAATGTTTATTACTGTGGCTCAACTAGGTGCTGCTATCCCTAAAGTAAGAAATGCAAAGATTTTTTTTTTTATTTAAGCCTCCTCATGATTCTTCTGTGATATGAAAGTGTTGCCTTCAATCTGTTGTGAACTATGCAGTTTATTCCCTCCTTGCAAAAGAAATAGCCATACAAATTTAAGAAAGACACTCCATTTTTAATAGTCTAGACAACTTCTTCATCCTCATTTCACAGATGTGAGCAAAAGTATGAGGACCTTTATATTTTGATCAATGCCAATGACTTGATTATTGGAACAGCAGAAGACAGTCACTCATGGCAGAAGGGGTGACAAAAGGTTGATAGAGGAAAGTTTAGCAACAGCTAGAATACTGCTTTACATCAGTCTTTAGGAACAGGCCTGACCCGTGTTTGTGATGGGCTACTTGGTCAAAGAACAAACTTGTTTTATCTGCCATGAGTGACATTACAGCTCAATTTCTTCTTATAGAACAAAGCCTTTTTTGTTCAATCTTTTAGCACAATAGCAGAACCATCTGTGACATTTCCAGTGAGACTTTGCTGCAGTAACAGTAACTGCACAGGATACTTTCAAGTACAGCACCGCATGCCTAAGGTATGTTGTACATGTCTTAATTCATTTACTCCAGAGCATGATGTCCTGTATATCATCCCCAATGGCAAAGAAAAGCAGAAATTAGTGCTCAGATAAATTTCTAAAAAGTCTGCTCTCTCTTCTGTTGAGAGGTGTTTGGCCATCACTGAAAGGACAGCAGGGGAAAGTGCAGTTTTTTAAGTCCTGTAGACTTTGCTTGAGAAAAACCTAAAACTCATAAGAATAAGTTGCTAAAGAATATGAGACAGAAATCAGCTGTGGAGCTTTCCTGTTTAATTACCCTCTTTGTCCTTTGCTTGGGGAATAGGTTTTCTTGAGGAAGCCACAGTCTCTTACTGAGACAGGATACACAATTCCTTCTCAGGGAACTGTGTATCCAACTATTTTCATACAATAATTAAAATAAAGCTGAAATAAATTATTTACTTACCAATTTTATACAGGTCAATGTACTCATCATAGAACTGGATCAGGGAATCTTTGCTAGACCCATTCACCAGGAAGTAAGCTTTTTCAATCCCTATGCTCACATTTTGGAAGATACATCCCATATTTCTGTAATTTTCATCTTTAATGTAAAGCTCACATTCCCTCTCCTCTTCATCTCTGCATACAGAAAAGTATTTTAGTGAAACACAGGTACTGTGATGTGTTGAATGAGAAATCAGAATTCCCTGGACCAAAGAGATCTACTTACCTTGACTTCTGCCAGTAGAGAAAATACTGTGTGTCTGCTGGAGCATCCCTTCCTGCCTGCCAAGTGCAGTTCATGAAGAAAATGTTATAAATCACACAGGAGAAGTTTTCAATGGCTGACCCATTCATGCCTGCAAACACAGATGAGAAAAAATCATGTGACTTCTCCAAGCTGGAGGACCATGGCACACACTTAGGTATGTTAGATTCCAGCTGGTTATTGTTTGGTTTAGGAATTACTTATTTAATTTTGTTTGCTAACACTGAAAGATATTTGCCCTGCTAGATTCAATGAAGAATTTTTTTATGGATAAATCCTCCAAAGATGTGATTATAGCTGCAACAAAACAATTTGTGTGATAAAAGAGCTGGTGATCTTAGGAGCACTGCATAAACTTTATAGACATACATTGGATGGCTGCTATTTTAAGGTCTAAAGATTGTTTTTCTGCTATATACAAAGTTAAGGATGAATAGATGTCAGGCAAGTGGGTAAATATCTGCAAGCAGAAAATATCAAAATATGTCATAGTCATATCCCTCAACTCAAGTTACCCAATGTTGATTGTCAATGTGGTAAGTTTGCTGAGGGTGTTAGTTCATGTGTTTTCAAGGATGTAGATCAGATACAAGGGAGAAAACCATTACTGTGAGGCAGTGAGGCAATGGAACAAGTTGCCCAGATAATCTTGGATGCACCATCCTTGGAAGTATTCGAGGCTGGGTTTGTTGGGGCATTGAGCAACCAGGTGTACTGGAGCCCATCCCTGAAGGGGTTGGAACTAAATAAACTTCAAGGTCCTCTGCAACCCAAATCATTCTGTAAATACGATTCTAGGACTGAGGAACAGTCTCTCACTTCTAAAAATTCAGTACTAAACCCAGTAAAAACCAAAAATTTGTCTGGGATCTTTCTTAGCATGCAGCTGGTACTTTATTTGTAAAAACGACTTCATTCAATTTAGTTCCATATATTCCTCTGACAGCTTTTTAGATTTTGTCTCGGTCATCCAGACACCCCTCCAGTCTTGGACTTCCTAGAGACTCAGTAAATACCTCAGCAAACAAAATAATTGGAAAGAAAAAGATGGACCTACCTTTTATTTCAAAATGTCTTTACCTTGTTTATCTTTCTATTATAATCTTCAGGTTCAGAGAAGATGGAAAGACTGTATTTTAAAAAGCTGTATAACTATAAATAGGGCTGTCTCCCTTGTTGCTTGTGTTTTGGGGAACCATCGGAACCATCGGAAGTGTTGCAAAATAAATGTTCATCACTTCCCCCATGATTCATCACAAATTTTGTGATTGCCCAACTCGGGATTTCTTATAACGTGAACGAGAAGTTAGCTGGTTAAATTTCCCCTTTTGTTGCACCAGAGTATGGGGGTGCTTGGGAATCCAGAAAGTGCATAAATTTACTTTTACAGGTATTTCTCTCGAGCTCTAAACAACACTGAGGAGTACAAAGCATCTCTCCGTTCAAGCCATCTCTGGGGGATGGAAGATGGGGGTTCTCCATGGAGGGCAGCTGTGGATCCAGGGCAGCCTCAAGCCTGACCACCAGGCACATCCTTGGGGACTGGGATGGGCCATGGGTTTGAGGGTGGGCCCAGGTTGGCAGGATGGGGGAAGCTTCAGGGACTGGGCAAGGATAGCCAGGTCTGTGGGGGTTCTCAGGGAAATGACAGTGTAAACTGTAATTATTCTCTAAGCAGATGGACAAAAGGGGATTTCAAATCTTGGATATGATGTCTTCAGATAAGATATATCACTGTCAAAAAATGTGATGTGCGTTTGTCCTCAATTCATTTCTCCCGGTGCGAAAATAGCCAAACTACAAACTGCCACTAAAACAGAAAAAAATTGAGGTAGCAAACTTCCAACTACAAACAGATGCTCCAGGTCCTGCTGTTGAGCATTTTTTACCTTCTTGGGGCACAGCCATGCATTTTCTAAAGAAGAGGGTTATTATAAACAGTATAAAACATCAAAAGCTCCTATATACCCTGAAAGGCTTTATTTCACAGAAGGCAATGTAATCTGCTTAATATGGAGATTTAAAATCCATGTAAAGTAATTTCATTTTTTCACATTGAAATTGAAGCATCACTAGAAAATATTGCATTTTTCAAACACCAAGATATGTCAATATTTTCTTCTTAAAAACATGCAGATCCTTTCTGCTTTGAGTTAAAAACTTGTAGGAAAGAGAACAGTCCATGTACTTTTCTAACACTCCCATTTCTTGGCTACTATATTTGGACAAAATCACCTGCTGCCCAACAATCTTCCAGGATGCTCCAGGAATTGACTCTATCAAAATGCTGAGGTCATTCCAATCCTATAGATTCTGTATTGGCATATGGAATGATTTAACCATATCAGCAGTAGTTCTTATGTATCAGCTATTCACAGATGTCTAGGATAGAGCTATGTCCAAGAGAGGAAGCCAAAGGTAGCTCAGTGCCGTCTTTCCTTGAAGACAAAGAGAGCTTACCTTCTAGAGACCCAGAAATGTCCAGGCTTATGAGTATTTCTGCTTCCTGGATCTGGCTGGAGTGTGAAATTGATGACTGATGTGCTAGAAGTGGGCAGTCATTTTGTGGGTTCATTATCTCATGTTGATTGTAAATATTAGTTATACTGAGTTGCTGAGGCCAGCTAACACCACGAAGTGCATATCTGACATGCCTTCTTCTCCTCAACACATGTTGTATAAAGTGAACAGGTGAAGTGAAGCAAGTCTACTCATCATATTGGAAACTTTTTGACTGCAATATTATTGTCTACGACAAAGAAAAAAAAGGAAAAAAATTTACCTCACTTCTGCTCACATGCAGTACTCAAAACATAGAGCAAGGCACAAAAAAAGAACTGACGTATTGTCACTCTCTGGTTGTGTTCATGCATTTAATCACATCTGTTAATAATTCAGTGTTAAGTGAGGAGATGAGCAACTCACTTTGAGCATCCAGAACATCAGTCATCCATAGAATCAAGAACCATGAAAGAATCAACAGAGCCTTGCCTGGTCTTTGTGGTTTCAGAGGTAAAGACCTAAGGCAATGCTGGCTCTACAAGGACCAGTTCATGGACATTCACTCTCTTCACATGCTGCGACAAAGTTTTTCTGGAGCATATCTAAGAGACAAAGGGTGGGAATGACAAGCATGTATGTATAGGTGGATATTCTACCAAAAAGCAGATTTAATAAAATGCGCAGCTCATTTTGGTGAGAATCATTATGATTACCTCTATCACATTATAGAAGTCTACAGACAAAGCAAATGAAAGCTTGGACATCAGGTCTGAGCCCATTACAGTTGTTTGGAGGAAAAAGCAGTCCTTTTTCAGAAGTTTCACTGTACTTCCAGATTAAATAAATTCCATACATAACCATGTACATATTTTTTTTTTAACACTGACTGTGCTGTATAGACAGAAGAAAGGACTTCTGATCACAAAAAATGTAAATCCCCACAGTTCATTGCGTCCTCATCTTTGGAAGAAAGCACTCAATTTTGTGGTGGTAACATACTGCATTTCATGGAGAAGGGGAGTGACAGGTACCCAAATAATAACACCAGAGCTGCAAGAAATGTCATGGAGAGTCAAATGGTACTCTGGAAACTTAAGGAAGTCAGAATTTTCGTTTGCCTGCTTTTCCATACTCCCACTATGAAGATCCCTTGAGCCTGCAGAGAAGGCAGCAGGGAAGCAGTGTGGTTTTGTGTGCTCTCTTAGATTATGTATGTCTGAAACACAGTGAGGAAGAGTGGAGTTTGAGGTTTTGATTCGGCTGCTTTGTCTTCAAACTGGAATTACTGCAGCAGAACAATCCAAACACCCAGAAGGTCAGTGGTGTTTTTGCAGAAAAGGGAACTGTCCTACCCAGGGGATTTCTTTACTTGTCTATATTTAAGCAAACTCCTTACCTAAGGCTTTCAAAAATGCAAACAAATGAAATATATTTTAAGAATTCCCAAGAAAAGAGGGTTCTACTAAGGGTGCTACCAAAGGCTGTCATCTTTCAGAGACCAGACAACTTGAGTGGCCTTGATATCACTCAGGAGTGGGAACCAAAATAAGAAGGGAAAGAGAAAGAGGAAGAGGAAGAGAAAAAAGAATAAAGGAGGGAAGAGAAACCTGGGCAGAGACACTAGGACTGTTTACCGACTTTTGCCTCTACAGGGAGTGAAGTCATTGCAGAAACAGTATCAAACCAAATGTTGCTTAAAACTCACAAAACCTTGAAGAATAATTTATTGCTCCAACAAAAACAGGAGTGTTCAGAAGAGCTGTCTGGTGTTTTGCTGTACTGGTGTGTTACAGCTTTTGTGTATGTCACAAAAATACAAATAGTAGAGTAGACCATTAAATATTTCCTTGCATCAAGAGCTTTCTAGCTTTTAGAACAGAACAGAGGAATAGCCATAGGACACCAGAATAAAGGACTTCTTCCTGTGTGAGCATCCAAGTACCTTAGTTAAAAGATTCTAAAGCCTGACCATTCTTCCCACTGATTTTGAGGTCTTTGCCCAGGGATGGGAAAGTGATACCTTAGTTCCACACCTACTACCACCTCCAGTATTTCATAGATATATATTAGTATGCTGGTAGTGAACAAGTTTTCTTAATGACTTTTCTGTCTCAGCAGCTTTCACAGTGAAAGCACTGGGGATGTAAAGGGTGCACCAATGGCCGTGATCACTCTGTGTGAAGCAAGATGGAGAGGATCCAATAGATTGTATCTGTTTAATTGTCCTTAGATTACAGTGAGTGTTGGCTTTAGTTTTCCAATTAATGCAGGTGTTTTTTATCTTTTTTCAATTATAACTTAAGTAGAAGGATCCTTCTTTGGTTCTGTTTTAAAAAGACATTAAAAATAAATTTTTATGGAAAGCTCATTTAGAAACACAGAACCATAGAAAAATTTAGTTCCAAAGATGGTGTCTTGACAGTAACCTGATCTAGTGGAATTTTATCACTGAGAAGAATTTATTTTCCATGATGAGATTTCAGCTACTTGAGATGACTTTAACCATCTTGAGACTTGATGGAATTATAGAATACCCTGAGTTGGAAATGACCCACAAAAGTAATTGAGTTCAACTCTTCACCCAGCTCAGGACAGCCCCAAGAGTCACACCATGTGCCTGAGAGCATTGTCCAAACACTTCTTGAGCTCTGTCAGGCTGGTGCTGTGACCACTTCCCTGGGGAGCTGTTCCAGTGCCCAAACACCCTCCGGGTGATGAACATTTTCCTGATACCCAACATAAGCCTCTCCTGACACAGCTTCAGGCCATTCCCTTGGGTTCTGTCACTGGTCACCAAAGAGAAAAGATCAGTGCCTGCCCTTCTGCTTTCTCTCACAAGGGAGTTGTAACTGCAATGAGGTCTCCTCTCAGTCTCCTCCAGGCTGAACAGACCAAATGGCCTCAACTACTTTTCATACAGCCTCTCCTTAAGGTCCTTCATCATCTTTGTAGCCCTTCTTTGGACACTCTCTAATTGCTTTATATCTTTATTATGTTATGGCACCCAGAATTGCCCCCTGCAGTTGGGGTGAGGCTGCCCCAGTTCAGAGCAGAGCAGGACAATCCCCTCACTTGCCTGGCTGGCAATGCTGTGCCTGATGCAGCCCAGGACAAGGTTGACCCTCCTGGCTACCAGGGCAGGACTGACTCATATTCAATTTCATGCAAAAGGAAAGTCAAAGTATGTGATTAGCACCCAAATTGAGGGTTTTCTTTCATATCTTCTTATTCGTTGGAGGATTCAGGCAGTTATGCTTCTGTTTCATCCAGATGTTGTAAAAGCACACAACTAGCCTGTACCATTTACAATTTAGCAAGTGACAGGCCTCTGCTGGAGAGTTCAAATGCTCAATTTCCAATATTTCCCACTCAATACATATACATATATGTATATACATCTGCTACCTGTTAGCAATCATATATTAAGTAATTTTTTCATCTAACACAGATAGGAAGGGATGAAAAACAGGACACAACAAATAGACTTATGAGAAGATTGTATCCAGAACTTTTTAATAGTCTCCGTATGAGCAAGTGATCTTTCTTAAGAGGTTTGATCTTGGCTGGTCTTCATACAGCAGGCTTTCATGCAGATGTCAAATTTCATCCCTGATCACAATCTCAGTATGGCTGTACCTTTTTTGAGACACTGAACCAATGAAGATCCTGAATAAACCCCTTACGTTTAGTTGTTATTCTTTTGCATGTTGTTGAAAAAAGAGTAAAATAGCTTCCAAAGCAATACTGAAATATTTTTCTTCTGAAATACTGCAGTATTAATCATAATACAAACAGAAATAGTTCAAACTTAACTGTTCATAGAAAATATAACCAAATATAAGGAGTATTTTAGAGATAAGATCTTGGAATTGTCTTTATGGCCAATGCTCTTCTCCCTGCTTCCAGGAGTGAAAGAATATAAAAAACCTCTTATTTTTTGCCAGTAAGGTATATAAGCTTGAAAAAAATCAAGTTGCTCATTTCACTTGCATTCTTCAATATTTGCTATTTCTTCAGTGTCTTCTTGTTTTAATAGATTAATATATTCTGTCTATTAAAGGAAGAAGGTAACATTTTGTTAGTGTTTCATGCATGAGATTAGTCATGATTTAGGAATCCCCTGTCATTCAAATTTGTTATTTATTGTATAAAACCTGTAGCAAGACTCTGTCAATTAGAAGACCAAGGTAGACATGTATAGGTCTTCCCTCCATATAGCTCCCAAAGAGGAACAAAGTCTTTTCAACTGAAAAGCTGGAAAAATCATCTTTTAAAATATAGAGAAGATAACATGATGAAGGAAGAGAAAATAAAAGTATGTATAAAGGCTTCCCAGTAATTCAGCGTATTTCTACAGACAAATTTTGTCTTCCAGACTTCCCTGCAGCCAACCTAAAGACTTTGCAAATTGCAGCAAACTGCAACATGCTCTCTAGAGGGCAGTTCCTGCAGTGTCTGTCTGTTTGTTCCTTCTCATGAGTCATTCCAGCATTCCACATAAGTTTAGCACCTCTCAACATTATGCTCTATTTTCTCGCTTAGCATACCCTAGAAACGCTTACCACCTTTAGCATAATTGCCAACTACTAGCATGGCAAAACTACTTCTTTGTCCCTTCTCTCCCTGACTGCTTCTGCATTATTGTTGTGCTGAGAAACTTATGCTCAGCATTATTTTAGTGATAGCATTTGACTTATAGGGATGGCAGGGTGAAACTGCATTTTCTCTGATTCTCCAGGTAGACAGATGACAATTATTTCATAATGGAAAAGGTAAAACAGACAAGTTATTTGTGTGTGGACTTTCTCTGTCCATATCCCAAGAACAAGAAAAAGAAAGAAATTTGATTCTTACTTGTGTGCATCTTTCTGACAGTTAGGTCATGCCTTTGAGACTAAATTTTTAAATTTCAGGCAAATGGAAACAAAGCATACCTGGAAGTTCATTGGAGAGGGCTCACGGAATGGGTCTCTTGGCCGTGGTACTGTATCAGATGTTTTTTTCAAATAAGCCCTTCTACAGTGACAAAAAGGTTTGGTGAAGAAAAGACTTAGTTTGCAAACACATGAACACATACTATATAGTAATACTTATGAAGTACTATTTTATTTCTCTAAGACAAAAGTAGTATTCTTTGAATTCAAAAGTAGCTAAAAATTACACAGGCTGAATACAATATTATAATTTTGTTGTTCAGAATTTACATGACAACAATTTATTTTATGACTTACTAAGGACTCATAGGAAGTTGCTTTTTTAAGTATGTGAAAAGGAAACGTTGTCAAAACATGGAAAAAATTTCATGCACCACCCCTCTACATTGTAGGGTCTGATGGTGGGAAAGAGGTACTGATATAAGGCCTTGGCCCGGTATTGGAAAACATTGTGTTATATTAATCAAGTGGATAAGAAAGTTGGGAATCAGAAGTATAGAGCATATTTGAGGAACATCCAGCAGATGATTCCTAGTATAGCTCAGTGTCAATTTTCTCCCTTCCTTGTCTCCTTTAAAAAGAAGCCAGAAAATTTCTGTTGGTGGAAGAAGTGTTATTTCAACTATAGATTAATTATTTTGCACAAGAAATAAGGCTTACACTGTAATGTAAAGGAAAAGTGTGAGACCTGCTGCCAGTCCTGGTATCAGAAACAGCATATATGATGAAGTAGATGTGAGTTGTGTTCCTGAAAACCAAGCAATCATCAGTGTTGGTTAGTATCACAGGACATGAATGATTCCACAGCTATGTGCAATCTGCTTTACATCAGGGTGTGAAACACTGGATGAAGGGATGGCTTCTTTAGCTCAGCACCTCATTGCCCTGTAGCATGCAAAGGAATAGAGTAGCTGAACAGTATGTGGACTGTCCACAGGAACCTGAAACCTGAGGAACTGAGTCCTACAAAGTATTTAGATATCCAAGGTGCCAGAGAGCAACACCAGGAAAAAGGAGATTATAAAATCAGGAGCAGAGATGGAAGAAGTAAAACAGCTGGCAACAGACCTCAAAAAGATCTGCTTCATTCACTACCCCTGTGCAAGAAGCACTGTCTCCCAGGAATGATTGGAGAACCCCCTAATAGTAAGAGATATGGCAATTCTTCGACTTCCTTTGTCCTAAGAAATTAATGTGCAATTATCAATGTGGTTCCATCTTTAAGCATGAAGTAAAAAATGAGGCAGATAGGTAATAACTGAACAAGGTCAAGGAAGGGATTTTTATTCTCACCAAACTCCACAGGTGTACTCCACTCTCCCCAGTTTGGGCTTACTAAACAAAAGCCTGCATCTCTTGCTCTGATTTTGATGCTGTACCTTTTTTCTGAGATGAAGCTTTCATATAGGTAGGAGTTACTTTCACTGGTTTTCTAAATGCAAAGTAAGTAGAATGAGAATTTTTGCATTATTTTTATATAATTATGATAAAATTTTATATTTTACATGTATATAATCTTTCTGTGAAGAGAACAGAGTGAAATAATTAGAAAACTATCATTTAGTAAGTTAGATTGTTTAATCTTAGTTCCTTTTGTTTGAACATTTTTATTATTGGGCAATATGATGAAATGAAGATGAAATTTGCTGGATGCTTCCCTGTCTCCATAGACTCTGCCAAGCAAAGGGACTTAAAGGAAAAAAATTCTTTAAAGATCTGGCACTTTGTTACAGAGGATATTTCAAAACTGAAGTAGAGTTCAATAGCCAGACTATATAATTTTTTTTCTTCCATCTTTATATTGGCCTAATCTTTGAGGTAATATTTTATGGCCTCTTACATCTCAATCCTTTCCAGAGAGTATTAAAAAAAACCAAAACATTCCCCACATTTTTTGTGTTACACAGAATCATGATCCATATTTTTACATATATATGAATCTGTTAGGATGTAAAAAAGAATGCAAAATGGAAGATTTTGTGAAGTAATATCTAAGTTCACATGTGCAGGTGTTTTTGTACCAAATTTTATAAAAAACAGTTTAAAACTTCAGAATTAGAAAACTTATGAATAATGAGCATGTGCAGTACATTCAAACAGGTAGTGTGAAACCAAACCAATTTGGTAGGAAGATGCTCTGATACAGAAGAAATTTCAATATAGCATAAATTTTCGATTAATACATACTTACTGTTTCAGATGCGTTTTTGGTGTTTTTCTCAGCATCAGCCTAGCAACAAGAGAAAAGTTTAATTTTTAGGATTATTCTTTTGTTACTGTGCAATAAAAGGTCTCTCATGGATGTTTGATTTTCAAAAAGAAAAAAGTGTATGTAATATTTTAAATGCCTTCTTTTAAAGACTGTGAAATTTAAGCTGTTCTTCCACTAAGTGGTTTTTCCTCTCCACTGATGCTCTGAAATATTGCACCTTTTAAATTTGATTGAAGAATTGAGCATCAAAGCACTAAACAAAAGAAAAAATTCCTAGGCTGACAAAATGTTTACATTTTTATTGTTAAAACAAAGTATCTTAAATTCTCAAATCAACTCAGACATTTTTCCATTGTTTTTTTGCCTGTGTAACTTTTGCATTCTTAAATATTTAATTTAGCTAAGTTATGTCTCATTTTTTTTTCAATTTTTCCACTGTTGGAGCAACAATAATCTCACAAATAATTTGAACTTTATTTTTGAAGGATGCAATATTACTTTCCATATTCATTCAAGCTTTCAAAAGGAGGGGATGAGAACAGGGTTGCATGGTGTTATGTGTGGAAATAGAGAAAAACAACATGCTGTTAAATCTCATAATTATTCTTACCTTGTTTTCTATGTCAATTTCATATCTGAAACAACTGCTTCTTTTCACATGACTTGTGTGAGGTGGTTGCCACGAAATTCTACATCTGTGAGAAGCTTCTGTACAGTTCACTGTGATATTTAATGGAGGGGTGAGTTTTTCTACAATAATATAATCAAAAATACTATTGATTAGTAATAGCTCGCTTCATTCTGCTATTTTAAAACTATAGGTGGATGTTCAGGCAACTGATCTAAAAAGATGTAATGCAACTTTAGCAGAATTTCTATATTGTCCCCATATTCTGAAGCAGGAACCCCCTGATTTGACATTTCAGTTGAGGAGCCTGGAGGACCAGGTGCAACAGTAAGGAAAACTAAAACACAAGCCATTTATTACATTTTATTGAATTCAGCTTGTGATTTCTGCAGGTTTGGTTTTATTTCTTGGGTTAAAGGTTTTTTTTTTTTTTTTTAATACTATATTCAAATTAAACAGATTTTTTAAATTAACATTCTTCCATTAAAAAAGGGGAGTTTTGGCTCACAGCATTAAGGCATTAAGGTAACTAGTTCTTTTCATTATGTGGATGAACAGCATTACAAGATAATAAGACCAAGATCTAGAGAGTCCCACTTAGGAATCCTTAGCTAGTTAGTTCTAAAAAATGACACCTTTCTCTCAAAGAATAAATATTTAACTGAAATGTTCAAAATTTTCTGACCTATGATTCCAGATTGTTTCTGTATTCATTAGTTTTTGTCCATTCTTATACTTTAGGGCTGAGAAAAAGTGAAAAAACTCCAAATCTATTATGGGAAGAAATATTTTTTTTAATGTTTTCTTTTTCCCAGGGATGAATTCTTAATTCTTTTAACATATAGCTGGAATTTAAATCAACAAAAAATGCTTACCAATTTGGTATAGAAGTATCTTCTTCTCATATGACTGAATGCTTTGTCCACTTCTGGACCCATTTACCAGGAAATATGCATTGCTATTTTCTATTGTCACATTTTGAAATCGACATCCTATGTTTCTTCCACAGGTATCTTTGATGTAATTTTGGCATTCTGTGACATCTTCTTTCCTTTACATGAAATATTGTATCAATAAAATATTGACAATGTCATATGTTCAACCACAAATCACAATTCCAGATATTCAAGCAGACCGACTTACTTTCGGGGTCTCCAGTAGAGGAAATACTGGGTGTCTTCTGTAGCAGTCTTGCCCACATGCCAGGTGCAGTTCATGAAGGAAACATTAAAAATGACACAGGCAAAATGTTCAATGGTTGTCCCATTCATGCCTGCAAACACAGAAAGAATATCCCATGTCCACTCTGCAGAAAGACTGAGTAACTGCTCCAATAACACAGATCTTTGCAGGCTCGTTTAGCAATTTTTTTAGCTATCGCTTGGCAAATATGACTGTACATAGTTTTGGTCTTGTAGTTTCGTCCTTACTTGAAGATGGCAATGATTTTATTTCTGTTGAGCCATGGATTATCTATCATGGTTCCCGAAGACATAGATGTGACTGGGATTTAACTGAGTCTTTAATCAATTCAAGCATAGGGATTTAATGGAAGTTAATAACAGAGACAGTCACTGTGGTGTTCGTTGTTTAGACCCGTTGCTTAGTTGGGGCCCAGTCTACAGTGGAATGTAAATTCTACAACCATGAGCACGGCGGCAAAGTTCTCTCTGCTGTGCTTGTATGAAGTGCTCTGACCCTTAGTTACAAAGCACTAATAATTTAAATAAGATGTTCACCACTTTCTTCTGTGTGACAGCTGGCTGTTTACAATCTAACCCTGAGACTGTTTCCTGTAGCCAATCCCTGCAGAAGTGATGCATTTTTGAAGAGAGAATGATGTATTTTTCTAGTGTCTTTTTGCTTAACCACTCCTATTTGATATGCTCCATATTTGTCATTTGCATATGTTTATTCCCATAAAAAATGGTAGGACCATATTCTTATTAGTCTTTTCTGTGACTTGTGATGCAAAAACTAATTTAGTTTCTCTATATTGTACTCATCCTTCTAAACTGCCTCCTGTATTATTTGACGATAATAATAAAATACATATGCAAGTATGTTAATATCTTCTGAAGCATCCTTTGTTTCAGACACAAATAACTTATTTTCACATATTTTACTCTCTTTAGATATATTTGAAAGTTTGACATTATTTTCATGAAAGAGGTAAGATACTTAACTGAGATGTGACAATTATGATTGCATGCAACTGCATAACAATCCACTATTTCAAGTACATATAGTGCTTTTATTTTTTTTTCATTTGCTTGTTTATGTCTATTTTGTCAACTTAGATTATCTCCGTCTCTTGGCAGACATCTGAAACAATGTAGACACCTTCTCTTAAGAAAAATATCAGAGATAAGAAAATTTGGCTCTGCAACCATTTGTGGTTACCAATATTGCTAGCAGGGAAGGACAGGATCTCCCCTTTGGGTCTTGAGCCCAAAAGAATTTTTACTTTTATTCAGTCATTCTTCAATTAAAAAATGCATAAACTGTTGCATCCTAGACATAATTGACCAGATACTTTGTAAAATATGTTAAATAACAAATTTGATATTGGAAATAAAAAATATCTAAAAATTTTTTAAAGTAATTAAATTACTTTAACCTTTCAATCTAACTCTGAAGATGCTGTTAGGTATGTGGTGGAGTTTGTCTTACCTTAACCTCCTGAAAAGCTGTATAGATGCTCACAGGGGAACCAGTAATTCTATACTGCCTTAACACTGCCTGGAAAAAAACCAGCTACTTTAGACCATTGTATTAAATCTAGTCTGGGACAAGATGAATGAAGGCTTCACTATATTTACTTTTTGCAATGCACCAAAAATATAGCCCAGAGGAATCTCTCTAATTCTGAGCTATCCACATTTGTCAGCTAAATCGAAGAGGATTCATTCCTTTTCTTTCTTACATCATCTGGAATTCACATGTAATTACTAAACAAAAATACTGCCACTATTATTTTCTCAACTGAAAATTTATTATTGAAAATGTCTTTTACTCCTCATTCTTATACCTGTGCAAGTATCATGTGCTGCTTCTCCTTAGAAAAACAGTTGCAGTAGCAGAACAGTCCTATATTCCCCAGAGATGTTTCAAACTTCCTTCCATATCTCAAATAGGCCCTGTGCAGATTATTGATCAAAATCTTTGGGAAAATGAAAGCATTTTTGTGTGAAGTAATTTCTATGAAAATTGGCTACTGCTACTCTCTGTTCTACAGAACAAGGTATTTCTCAGAGAAGCCTGAACCCAGCACACTTCCACAGGGGATATTCATGTCAGGAATTCAAAATTTGAAATGCTACTGCAGTTGATTAGAGACGTGATTAGATGAAAATAAAAACTGTCCAGTAATCTGTTGATGAGTAACACATAGCCATATATTTTATCATATTTTGATCCCTCTATGATTTTTATAGCAAATGAAAAGAAAGGTTTGTAAGTGAAAAATACCCCAAAACTTATACTTTGTTTTTTTATATGACCATATTTTGTTAAGGGAAAGTCTGTGTTGAGTAATAATACATTAAAGTAGACCCCTGAGATTCATTTCTCAGCTTTGCTCCTGAAAGATTTTGAAAGACATCATTGTCAGCTGGAAAGTATGGAATGGAATTACTGCTTCCATGTTGGATGTGCTATGAGGCTAAGACTATGACTGCATTCCTGCAGCATTTTCAGGGAATTGGGTGTATGAAATCTTCTAAAGTATTAAAATTGTTAAAGAGAAAGGACACTGACATACTTCCATTCTACTCATGCCTAAATGCAGTACTCTTAAAGAAGTTCACTCCATTTAGTGATTTTACTCTATGGATGCAAAGACCTAAAATCCAAACATTTCCAATTTGACTGTGTTTTCAAGAGAAAGTAACACAGGGTCTCAAATTCTGTAATTCAGGTTTAATTTTACAAACAAAATACTGCTATGTGGATGTGACCAGTAATACTGGAAACTACGAATTTTAAAATACAATTATACAATTATTTTCAGATTGTGAAAAAAATATGCCATCAAAATGCTGTCTGAGACATTCATCAGAGGAAAGTAGGCATTTGCTATCAGGTAGTATTATCCAACACTCACAGTTATTTTAACATTAAAACTATAAGAAATTACAAAACTCAGTATTTCTTTGCCTAGCTTCTTAGAAGTAAAAGAGAAATAAAAAAGAAAATAGAAAAGAAAAACACACAATATCAAACCTACCTTGTCCTTGAAAGCCTGTTTCCCTGTGGTGCTTACAGTAATGGAGAACAAAATGGATAGAAACTATGACTTTGCCTTGGTGTATTTTTGCATGCTTTGACAATGTGATTTCATTGCCTCATTTCCCTTATCCTTACTTCCTTTAAACCATGGGGAGAAGCAGGGTCCCTCCCAGCCCTGGGACAGAGTCAGAATAGAGAGGCGCCCATTTCATTACTTTACTCACATAATTTTCATTAATTTCTGTCACACATTTTTCATATAAATGTTTGTACAGGGCACCACCTGAAAGATATATGAACATGGGTCTTCCTTCTGGCTCGGGTGTAGGGTAGCTATCATTGCTTCAAGCCATGCCAATGTTTTCTGCTTATTGCTTAGGAACGCTGCCCTGTGCAGGAGTATCAGCCCACTGCTCTGGCCTGCAGAAGAGCTGCTCCCAACTTTGAACTAGCCAGCCTCATTCGCTGTAGGTGGGTAGCAAACCATGTCACCAGTCTCGACAACCTTCCTGCTTTGTGTGCACATTCTTCTGGGTTGGGTAAATTCGATGCACGGATCAGGAAAAGTTTCTGTATGTATGAAATGTCCTGAGTGTACCAAACCAACATTATGTCACTTGTCTGTGCTGGTGTCCTGGAACTCAGAAGCATAGAAACTGCCTCTTCATGTACCCCACACTACAGTCTGAGTACAGAGCCCCTTGTCTTCTTCACCTTTAAATATTTTTAACAGAAAAATGAAGTCATTAAAGTAGACAACAACATTTAAATCTCATTATTTATAATGTTCACTGAGTGTACTACTATTCAGTGTTATATCTCATTGGAAGAGTGATAAATCATATAAAATCTGTCCTCCTTCTGTTTGTCTGTATGTTGCACATCTTCATTCCCATCAGTCTTTGTTTTTGTTGCTCTTCTGGGCAGAGAAGGAATAGGTAGGGGATGGTTCTGGAGACATTTCCTCTTCTTTAGGTCTCAATTCCTCAATTTTATTCATAGAGTAAACAGCAAGACACTAACATGTACCCTGATATGACATTTCGTTTCAGGACCTGCAGAAGTAAGGACTTCTGATTGCTGCTCTGTAGAGGAATTGAAAGAGGTCTGCTGGAGCTCTGCGATAATGCTGAGACTTTTGTAATTACTCAGTTTCTGTAATTCTTGAAACTGGACCTTATTATGTTCTCAGAACAGAATTATTCTTGGAACCCTGAGTCTCAGCACTAGAGAAGCTGGGTGATGGTATAACTGCTACAGGGAATTAAGTTACCGGAAGCTGAGCTGGAATTAAAGTCTTCATTAATTTTCAAGTAATTTTTCTAAATAAATTTTTTCATATAGATTGGAAAAGATAGACTCTTCAATATTTATACAGAGTAAACAACATTCTATCAGTTTCAGTGTAGGTAATTTAATTAATTTTATGGAATGTAAGACTTCTTGCTTATACCCAAGATCACCTCTGCAGAGGATTTGGAGTACTACACAAGCATCCCAGTCTTGTCAGTTAGAGTTTCATAGCAGTGTTTGACGTAGACATAGATGACTTCACCAGGCCAGGCAACCTGATGATGAAGTTCTCCTTAGCTGCTATGCACTCTGAAGGAAGATCGATTTGATTTGATTTGATTTGATTTGATTTGATTTGATTTGATTTGATTTGATTTGGTTTGATAGGGAAGGAAGTTGCATCCTTTTAAAGACCAACACATTTTACCACAGACTTTTTGGGTCAATCTGTATTCTTTTTAAAACCAGAATAATTGTACAACTTTTATATGAATAGTTTTGGAGCCTTTAATTTAAAACATATGAATTCCATAATTTTCATTTAGCCTTCTTCATAGCTAATGCCAAGAGTGAACACTGCAATTATAATAATGAAGAGGTCAATAATCAAAATAGAATCTTTTCTTTATTTCTGATTTCTTTGCTCTGATTGAATCTATTTTAAACCAGTCACCTTTTATGTGAGGTGTCTAGAAACAGGAAGGAAAGTATAAGCAGGAATTTGCTAGATATGAATTTGTCTATAAGAGGACCAAAGATCTCCAAATACAGCACGTCTCAGTACAGGGCTATCCAGTAGGTACACTTGGCAGTTCTGTTCTGGATATTACAATATCTGAAAGCTGAATTAAAGCTCAGGTCCTCACTGTGTGGGGATGATGCATCCAGACATTTATTTTAGTTTACAAGTATTAGGTTTCCTCCTTCTTTCCTTTACTTTCTTGATTTAGCTTGTTTGTACCTAATCCTAGGCTACCATCATGTGGCCACTTTGAGAATCTTCCCAAAAACCGGAAACAAAGGCTGATTACTCAGAGTCTGGAAAACAGCCAGGCACTGCCTGCACACAAGATGAAGGCTACTTAGAGATTTCTGAGGGCATAATTTTACTTCTTGACGGCAGTCATCCCTTATTTAGACATTCTATTCTTTGGTGTGTGTCTGTTTTATTCTGCGTTAATTCTCCTCCCCTGCAAATACTAAAAAAACCACTCTAATTTCAGAAGGAAAATTTTTCTGTAAGTAGCAGCCTTGGGTCACACCATGCATTAAACTCTAAACCACATTTCTACCCACACATTTCAAACTCAGTTTCAAATCATCCCCATGTCGATCCCTTCTGTAAGTCCTCTGATATGGTCCCCCTCAACAGCCTTGCCTCTAGGTTGGACAGACATCAGTTTGACAAATGGATGGTTAGATGGCTGGATGGGCTCATCCAAAGACTAGAGCCAGGGCCTCAATGCCCAAGTGGAAATCAGTAACAAGTGGTGTTCCACAAAGGTCCATGCTTGGTTGAGCACTATTTTACCTCTTCAGCAGTGCCACAGCCAGTGAGATCAAGCGCACCCTTCAGTGAGTTTGTGGATGGTACCAGGCTGAGTGGTGCAGTTGTTGCATTAGAGGGAGATGTCACCCAGAGGGAGACTTGAGGCCTGACAGCCTTGAGACTTGACAGCCTTGAGGAATGCGCTCATGTAAACTTCATGGAATTAACAAGGTCCTGGTCCTGGGCTGGGGCAATCCCCAGTGTCTGTGAACAGGTTGCTCAGAGAAGCTGTGGATGCTCCTTCTTTGGAAGTGTTCAAGATCAGGCTGGGGGCAGGGTTGGACTAGCCAATGTTTGAATATGCCTTCTTATCAAAACTATTCTTCAATTTTGGTATTTTATAGAATATTATTGCAGTAAACACTTTCCAGAGCTCATGCATCTGAGCTAGTATTTCAGACTGTTACTCAGCTATGGACACATCTGTTTCTATATATGTGCAGCTGTCAGGGTAGGAACAGAGATCTACAGGTCACACAAGTCTATATTGTGAAGGAAGACTTTGCACCAAGTAAAATACTTATGGTAGACTCATTTTTATTCATTCAATGATAAAAACAATAATTTTTTAAAAACTACATGGTTAATATATTCATTGTAGAACCAAACTGGTTTTCTTCTCTGAGCACTTCATCAGGCAATAATCCACACTGGAGTTGGAGTCTACAACAATTTGAAAACTAAATCCAGTCTCCAACCAAAGTGGACATTTATTGTGGTCTTAACATTTCACCTTAGCCTTTTTCTCGATGTACAACAAATTTTTAAAAAGTGGAAAATTGGAAATAGTTTTTATAAGGACAATAGAGCAAAACAGCATTTTCCTCATTTGATAAGGGTAGTAGAACAGAACATCTTACTCTTATCAAGGACAGTAGAGCAGAAAAACACAGCCTTGAAGAAATAGATAAAGGATATAACTTAGGCAGACAGAAATCATGCAAAACGCAAGCAGGATGCCAGCTCAGCTCTGCCAGGCTGACAAAACAGAAGTTATGCAGAGCAATGATATTATGCTTACTCAAACATGGGGACTGAGGGACAGCCACGTAAAAAGGACACGGGGCATGGAAGACAGAACCCAAAGAACCATGTAAGGGCTTCCCATGAAGGTTGTGATTATGTAAAATAAAATCAAGGAGGTGGGGATATCTAATGAATATGTAATCAGTGTGCATGGTACAATCTCTGTTCACCTGATACTCAGCACACTTGATTAGAGGAAATATCCTTGGGGTGACCAGCATGCTGCAATAAAGGATGCCTGCTTTCTAATATGCAAAACTGTGCTAGAAGGTTTCTATCCAGCCAATTTCTGTATCAGATTAAATAAAGGTTTTTAGCTGCAGATATTGTTAGTTCCTAGTACTAGATTTCATTTCAGTAATTTTAAAATAATTTATTATTTAGTATTTTTTCCCATAATTAAAGCTCCATATAGTGGATGTTAAACAAGACTTCAAAGATGGGATTAATTCCTAAAGTGTAGATTAAAACTGCATATTATATTCACCTATAATTTAGTTATGAGATTCCATGCTAATTTTAAACTCTGTGAACAGAAATTGATTCTTTCTGGCTGAAAATGAAGAGTGAGAAGAGTGCTGTTTTATCAGAATGTGTTTATTTTAATTGAAAATAATGACAGCTGAATTTAATTTGTGTAGTTAAAATTATCTTGACAGAAAAGATTGAAAATTCTATATTACAGAATTCCTTTGCCTTTCAAGTTACAGTGACATTTAACTGATTATTCCTAGAAAGGTGATATGAATCAGTCTGAAATTGTGGTTCTACAGCACATAAGTACTTGCATTTCTTTCCCATTTAGTATTGTACTCTCTCTCATAGAGAATTGTTCTAAAGTCACTTCCAGTCTAGGCTACTCTGAATTTTGTGTGAGAAAATATTAAGGAAGTAAATAAATTACTTCTGCCTTTCTGTATTTCATAGAAGACTTAGGCTCATCACGTTCTACTAGTGAAGTTTTACATTTGAAATATTTTATTCTTAGATGTACTTCATTCATTGATTCATTGTTGAAGTTTGTGAGATATACTATCTAAGCAAATTCTGCCTTTCTTTTTTTTCAAGTCTTTTTAACAACTATTTGCTCTGCATTTTATAATTTGTTGTAATTTTTCCTATGAGATGTTTAGAAAAGATGCAGTGCTCATAAACCACTAAATATTTAATAAGTCTTAGTATGCTTTCTACCCATATTGAGGGCAGTCATTCTATTAAAGCAACTCTGGTTTTAGCTGCATACGAAGCAGAAAAGATCCCAAGTCTGACTGCAGTTCCATCTTTGCCGCACTGACATGTCCTTCTCAGGTTTAGCAGCCTTCTTTATTGACCTGTTGACCACAATTTTTCCTGATTTGGCTTATCTTTTTTTTCAAAGGACATGTACAAAACTCAGCCATATAATCATAGGTCTGAACTAATGGGAGATAATCAATATTAATATTTCACCCAGCAGAAGGGATGGCTCCGAGAGAAAAATACCTCCTTACCAAGTTCTCCTGAAGGTATTGGTAAACCTATGTGAGACAGGCAATGGTTTTAAATTGAAAGATGGTAGAATTAGATTGAATATGTTTGAATAAATTCTTTCCTGAGAGAGTGATGAATAACTGGAACAGGTTGTCCATAGAGATTGTGGACTCGCCATTCCTGGAAGTATTCAAGGCCAGTTCGGTTGGATCTTGAAGCGACCTGATTTAGAGGAAAGTGTCCCTGCCCATGGCAGGGAGTTGGAACAAGATGATCTTTGAGGTCTCTTCCAACCCAAACCATTCTATGATTCTATGCTTCCTCAGAAATAATACCTTGATAAAGTAAGGAACAATGGTTCAAAAAGAAGATAAACATTTAGCCACATACACTTGCCAGATAAAAATGAAGTGGAAGTGGCTAAATTAGTGTGATTCAGCCTAATGTAGGGAACAGTTTAAAAGAGTGATGACAATCCTGAATCAGCAGGGCAGACGTGCAAACTCTGACATCAGTAGAACTGGTGGTGATACTTGCATCATAAAGTGCACTGGTAAGGGTTGGGGGGAAAAAAGTACCGTCTGTGACTGAAAGGGCAGAGATCTGACTGATTTACCAGTTAGCTGATCTGATTGCACACAGGGAGGTGAGTAAGCTGATCTATGGGAAAAAGAGAAGTAACATTGGACAGAATGCAGGAAAGGATTTGAAAATGTTAATGCAAGCTTGATCCATAGTGGAAGTTAGAGTTTTGAGAAATCATCTCAGAATGAAAAGTATGTCTCACTGGGACTCCCCAGAAGACTAAATGGGGAATTATATAAGCTTCACAGTCAAAATAGCATCATAGAGGGCTGCATCCTCTCATCTTCTCCATCAGAAAAGCATGTGTCCTTCTTGGGACACTGTAAACCATGGATGGACTGAAACGGCTGTGAACCTCTGCCAAAGGTAAGTCCTAACAACATTCCTTTATAAATGTCAGGAAAATTCACTCTTTTCTCTCAAGTTTCCAGAGGCAAAGGCAAGTTTCCCTCCCTTCTCTGTGCTAGAGAAGCCCTTCTCTGTCTGACAGATTTAAACCCAGCTCCTCCTCCACCTTCACTGTTTTTTATCCATCCTCAAGCCAAAAATTATATTTTAGATATTATATATCCTCCACTGGGATACTGAAAAATAACTCCCAATCTGCACTCTCAAATTATTTTGAAGCACAGATGCACATTTCAAATGGCTCTTACTAAAAATCTTTCTAAAATTTAGAAAAAAATCCAGATTTATTAACTATCTAACATGTCAGGACTTTATCAAAATATTTCCTGGCTATTTTTTTTTTTTTTTTACTGATGACAAACAACAGTGTCTGTAGACAGGTCAATCTTTTGGGTGAGAATATAGTTCTTTCAAAGCTCATTGCTGTTACAATCCACCCCAGAATGTGAGGGTAAGCCAGATTCTTGTTAATATATCTCTTTGGGGCAGATTAGAGTGAAAAGACACTGACTGATAGGTAAATATAAATATAAATAATATAAACCATAAATATTCAGGGTTTATGTTTGCTCTTGATTGCAATAAAAGCAGGAATGTACATGTTTTGGTTATTATCCATAGTAATATAAAAGCATAAAAATAACACTTAAGAAAATGTATAAGGGAAAAGGAAGAAAGGATAAGAGTAGAACGATATCACCACCCATGGATCCCAAAACAAGACTTGATTATTGCAGTTTCGATATCCCTGATGCCCATTGGTCAAAGTGATGGTCACAGTCTTGATCCATTGGGGATGGTGGAAACCCAAAAATCACAAAGCTCAGTTCATTAATACATGCTCAGGCTCAGTGAGAATGCTGAGATGCCACCCATGGGGCAAAGAGTCTTACGCTGTCTGATGTAAGATGTGGATCACCGGGCAGTAAGGGGTCTTTGATGGTTTATGGCACACTAAGACATTTCACCTACCTCTCTCTTCACCTTAGTTGAGCCAGTTATGTCCCATCAGAAGGGATGAATCTCTTCAGGCCACATCTGAATGCCCCAGTACCTGGGAAGGAGTTTTCACTCCTGAGTCCTTTGTGTAAAGGAGGACATGTGACATGGTAAAAGCACTATCCCACCTCACATGATCTTTATCTTATAGGCCTCTTCCCTTACCTGACTCAAACCCCAGCTTGTAGCCTCTGGTGGTGGTTGCGCACCCTCTCTGCACCTGGATGATTAACTTGAGCATGGTCAGTAAAGCACCTGAAACTTTTGCAAATGGCCAGTTGTTTTGAACCATTAACCATTTTAACATTCCAGTCACTCAAAACTGCCTTTCAGTGGGCTTTCTTTCTCAGTGTATTGACCCTGAGCAGAGGCTGAGACACCACAAGACCTCAATGGAAGAATTAGTATTAATGAGCTCCAGGTTAGTAATAAGGAGTTTGAACAAGCACAATTATCAACGTTGGCCAACAATTAATACTGATGAGCAGAGTGCCTAGAAATGCATCTTTCTCTAATACAGAATGAATTTCTGAATATCTCTCTGGGTAAACTGACTAAGAGGAATTATTTTCTTAGATGGTTCAGTTGTGAAGAAGCTGACATGTTTTGAAACTGTAAGCAAAAGCTGTTCCACAAACAAGTAGTTTATTTACTTTCACTTGGCAGATGGATGGACATTTTCCCTCTGCCTGTCTCTGATGAATTTTATATCACCAGACTGCTTGGCTGAGAGTCAGTTTTCTTTCAACTGAGTGTTAAATGCTGCTCTTCACTGTTTTGCTCTTGGGCAGACAGAGTTTGTTAGGGAAGAGTGTTACAAGGGTAAGAGAATTTTTCCTAGAATGATGGCTATGGCAGGCGGATAGACTTTTTTCTTCTCCATGTTTGGTTTCATAATGAATACTGACATACTTGTCTTCACTGAGAATGTTAGCTGCTCATATATGTTGGTATATTTGGTTAGACCCAAGCACCGTATATGAGCACTAGAAGACGTTTTACTTAATATCAGAAATCTAGACAGGAAGCAGATTTTTACTAACTAGTTGTAAATCAATAGATGCTTTGCCAGTGCCAGTCCTAGTTCTTGAAGGTGGCATTATTAGGAAAATTAGGACCTGAAGTTTAAAAATGTTGTAAGGAATGTTTTTGAGTATCTGAAATGTTTTCTGCATAACAACAAGGGAGGAAAATAGAATTAATCATTCAGAATGACATTCTTCTATTAATTGTATAGAATAAGCATGGAGATAATTTAACAATGATTCATTAAAGGAGTAGAATGGAGAATTTTTTTCTTGTTTAGAGTCTCTTGTTTTTTAAAATCTGCTTGGTTTTAAAGGTTTTATCCTAACAGGGGGAGCAAACATTAACTGCTGTCATCACTTGAATATCTGATAAGGAATAGTTGAACAAATTAATAATCAGGTGATGATATCTATGCTCTGAAGTGCCTAGGTATTTTCTCTATATTAAGGTATGTTTCACCAGTTCCCTTGAAATAATACAGGAGGGCATCTTCCTGGAAATATTCAAGATTTATACTATTGTTTTAATGATACAAGATAAATCATTCTTTCAAGCCTTATTCTCTTAGGCTTCTTGTAGTCACAACTATTGTAATGCATCAGTAGTCTGACCATCACCCCAGAGGAAATTTGTGTGCATAATGAGACATCAGCTTCTGACCAGTGTATGGAGGGTTTTTTTTATGTTGTTCATTAAATTTAAAATGGAAATGACAGAATAGTAGCAATTAGCTATTTCAGATATATATGGTGTGATTTGGAAAACTTGTATAATCTCTCTGTGCCTCAGCTCCTCGCTCAGGAAAGATTAGGGATCTGTTTTTATGTATTCATGCCCTCCCCCATCTCTCCCATTAAATGCAGATCATATCCTAAGGTAGGTGTTAAATGGGTCTGATTTAGTCTAATGGTTTTGTACTCACATCACTAACAGCACTGAGCTTATAATTGAAGCTTTTCACTGATGCCCCTTGATTAGCCAAGGCCAAACACGGCTATACAGGATTGCAGTCCTTTATAGGACTCTTTCTCACCCCTGATGCAAAGTCACCATACCCTACAGTGTACCCCAAACCTGCACATTGCTCTCCCATAATTCTCTGCCCTGAGCATTTGAGAGAAACTGGAACAGAGGCTTTGTGTCTAAGGCTGACTTTCACTGTCAACAGCTGGCTATTTGTTGCAGCTGATAATTTCCAGAAAGCAAAGAGGTATCTCCTCCAGGAGATCTCTTCTCAAGCCTTGCATTGGTGTATGTACATACACATAGTTTAAAAAGTTTTACAAAATAATCCATGACAACAGAAATGTTACATTTTTGGACTGCAGATGCAGAGTGTAACAACTGACATCCCTATTATATGAAACAGAAACATGAAATCAGATTTAAAACAGAACTAAGAGACTCAGATAGTGGAAATTTAGTCACTGCATCAGAAAGCTGTGATTTCGAAATTCCTTTCTGTTAACAAGCACGTATCACTTTCAGGACACTCCATTTACCTTAGTGCTATCCTTCAAGCCTCCCTCGCTACCTCTTTGCAGTGAAACGTGCTAGTAACAGCTCAAATTTCTGAAACTTCATTTTCACTTCAAAACGAAGCTAAAGATGAGTTTTCCCCCTCTTCCTTTCTTGGTGTAAACAGAGGTGGAACTCAAGAGCACCCCAAATATCCCCTGCACATGACTGCTAACACTAGCTGTGTTGACAGAACAAACTAGACTGCAGGGACTGTGAGAAGGGAAAAACCTTGTCCTTTAGTCACATGCATGGGACTTCACTGGCCCCACACTGGGTTCAGAGGACTGAGACACAAAGGGCTGTCGAGTACTAAACACTGCCTAGAGCACAGGCTTTATGGAGAGTGAGCAGTTCATTTCCACAGGCACCTAAACCCTGCTGAAGTAACTACAGAGTGCTCTGGTATTGTGGATATTTTTAATTACATGGCTTGCTGTTTTGATCAGCTCAAATCCACATCTGGTTTCAATGCATGGCTTTGATGGACTGAAACTATAACACAACTCAGTGTGAGAGTCTATTAAGGATGGGAAAAATGTGTTGAATTCCTACCATTCCCACTTTCCTCAATAAATTAACATATGAAGATTTGAAAAATAAAGTAAAAATCTTTAATTATTTAAAAATTTGAAATAGCTCCAGAAAATGCATATAAAGTAATAAACTTCTTTTCCCTGAAGTCAGTAATGTCAGTGAGTTATGGTGTAAGAGAAGAGGAAGAAATGTACTGCATTTTTTGAGTTGCTACCATTAATTCAAAGTACAAACCATACCTTAACCAGGCAAAATTTGCATGTTGTTTTTTCTAATAAACAGAAGATACAAGGGGAAATGAAATTTTCCACATTTAAAAAATTGAATCCTGGGCTTTTGGTCAGGTTTGCCATTATTACCATTGGATTTGAGGTTTGAAGTCATACTCTTCTCACTTAAATAAAACATACTTCTGGATATAGTCAGAGTTCTCCAGAAGCATTTACCTTCCTTTATCTTAGTTCATCATTAGAAAAATGTGGGCTTTGTACATCCCCACCATAAGATCATGTCTGATTAACATCAGAACAAGGAAACAATTGGCTTCAAGCACTTGAGGTAAAGTTGGTTTAGCCTAACCTTGAATTGTACTATCTAGCTTTAGCAAAAAAAAAAAAATAATCAAAAAACAAATGGACCTAAATATATCCTTTTCTAATCTAAGATCCATATTAGTGTATTGTATCTATGTATCAGGAAAATCTAGATATAAGTCAGTCAGAGTAATCGTTGACAAAAATATTTTATTGAAAGAAAGAGGCACCCAAAAGACAAAGCAGCTGTTTTTAATACTTTACCATTAACAACCCAAAACATTTCGTTGATCTTCTCTATAACATTTCTAGAGTTGGATTTTTTTGTTTGTTTGATCATGTATTTGTCTTTTCTTTGAAACATGTATTTTTAACACACACACACACACTGAAAGAATATATCTGTTTCCATACATAACTGTAACAGCCTCTGCCTGGGATGAGAGTGAAGATCTTTGGGTTTCTAACACTTCACTGAATAAGCATCGAAGGTATTTTATGTTTCAGCATTTTTCTGCTGTGTGTCCAGTATCTAAAGATGGGGAAAAGCAAAGAAGAGCTAGTTTCCATGCTCTGGAAAGGATCACACCAGCTAGAAAATTATAAAAGCTATGTTACTTGACCTCTCAGCCCTTTATAGAAGGGATTGTGAAATATTTTGTCCAAATTTGGCAATTTTTGAAAAGGTAATAAATAATGCAATCTTGACACTTGAAATTCATTTTTGCACCAAAAACCTGGGGTCAGATCCTTAGTGAATAAACTTTTTTTATGTGAACAATGAGTCATATCTATTCCAAGTGAAAATACAAAAACAAAAACAAACCTGAAAAAAACCCTAAAAAACCCAAACAAACAAAAAAAACCACCACAAATTTTATCCATTTTATCCATTATTGTCGCTCCAAATCCAGCTTAACATTCCTTATTAGTTCTGTGACCTTCTTTATTATTAATTTGGTGCACACTGAATGATGCATATTAGACACTAAAAACCAGCAGAACAATGGCAAGTAGGGTAGGATCTTTCTGGGATTTTAATTTCATAGGTCACACTTGAACTGTGTGATTTAATTTCTTCTTTAATCTGACTTCTTCCTAAAAGATAAAAATTTATTAAAATACATAAGTTTTGAAACCTTCATCTTCCATATAAAAAATGGGAAAAATAGTAACAGCTCTGACTTTTGAGTTAGTCATGCAGAGATGTGTCTCCTTAGAGGTCCAAAGACCTTGGGTAAGGTTCCAGTCAGCGTTTGCTTTATGCAGAGGTGTGCTTCAGCCCCTCAGTGGGAAGTGGCCCTTGCAATGGGCTTTTCTGAGGGAGTGCCTTGTGAAAAGGGAAGTCTCCTGAATCAATTTCTCATTGTAGTCCTAAATCAAGACATTCTCCAGTGCTGATCTGTGTCATTTCTCAGCCCAAATGATGCATAGGTACCTAGGATTTAACAAGCATTGAAATTAAGGTAAGTTTTGGAAAAAAGATTGTAAATGGTACTCCTCTTTCGACTCTTCAGCTACCAAGAGATTTAAACTTTATTTGACCTATTTTCTTGTTTTATCATTCATTGATCAATTTCTATATTTTCCACTATTAAATAGGGGATGGGGGTGGGGAGTGTTAAAAACCTGACAACCTTAAATTAAGTCTAAGTTTTAGATAACCTTAATCAGACAAACAGTCCTAGTGATTCCCTTCATCTAAGACTGTGCATTAGAACAATGAATAAAAGATTTCATTGTTTAATAGTTGAATTTACTTTCTAAATTTGGCATAATATAATTTTCAAGACCACCTGAAATTGTCTTTTTTGACAATTTTACTATTTATTTTTCAAATTAAAAAAATATATAAACTATTTCTTAAAATTTAACTTTTCCATTTAGGAGGATATAATAATCAGCCCCAGAAACTTTTCAAAAATAGCTTTATTCAAACACATGTGTAAGCGGATTTAAAATTAATAGTTTAATGCCCTGCCACTTGAACTAACAGGTCTTAAGTGTTGTGAAACTTGTTTTAGCTATTTTCATTTTTCTTTCTCTGTCTACTTCCCAAATTCACCAGGTGGGTTTTGTACAAACAACCTCTGCAGCTGCAGTGGTGGATGGGATGGCAGCTCCTGTCAGTTCTCTTCCCTTTCTCTTACTCTAACAATGCACTACTGTAAACCAGATATTGCTGGGCACCAACCAACAGGTATTCGCTGTAGTTGAAGCTCAGAAGTGAAAGAAATGGAACAAATGAAAGAAAAAGAAGTGGTAAAAAAAAAAAAAAATATATATAGTGTTTTTTAAGCCCCATTTTTGACAGGACATGGCTTGGAAAGAATTTGGGTTTTTTTGTTTTGGTTTGGTTTGGTTTTTTTTTTTCATTATGGTTATTTTTTTGGCTAATTTAGATTGTTGAGATAATTTCTATCCCACTGGATTAACTGGATTCTCTGCAAGTATATTTGGCTAGTATGCATTTTTTCAGAGACAAAAGAGGCAGAGAATCTTATTAGAAAAAAATTGTCAGGCAATGAATTTTATTTTGCACATCATGGACTAAATTTCAGCACCATATGCTAACTCAAACCTCTTTGTAGCACAGGATGAGAAACGCAAAGTTCTTTCTGCATATGTCTGAGAAGAAATGTTCTGTCTTTCAGCTCATCTATGCTGGCCCAAATGAAAATATTTATTCTTTGACAAGTTGTGAATCAAAAGCTTTTTATGTATGGACAGGTTTTGTTCCCTCCTGGTCACTTTGGGTGCAATTATGCTGCAGTGCTTTCATTTTGCTGTTTTTTGTGGACTAATTAATTGTATATAAACATAAGAAATATCCTGTGGGGTCAACCCAGCTGTCCTTCTGCTGTTCTGCCTGCAGCAGTGAGAACAGGAGATGTTACTCAGAAATAATCCACAACTCTGGCCACCTCCTGCAGCCCATACCCGAAGTATTCCCCCAGCACTGAGAGCTGCTGAATTAGGGATGTGAGGTTGTGCATGCACCTCTAATAATTTTTGGTAGCTATCCATGTACCTGCTTTCCATGCATTTGCCTGGTCCTATCTGCAGCCCGTCGACCATCACAGCATCAGTGGGAGAAGCTGCACGTGTTCATTGCACACAGAGTGGAGAAGTGCCTCTCAGTCCTGCACAAAAGGTACTCCTAGGAGCAACTCACCTTGGGGAAACAGCACTGGTCTCACCTGAAATGTCTTCCTTTGACTCAGGTTGGTTGGCTTTTTTCTAGGCTTGTTCAGACTTACTTTAAAAGTCTTCCTTGTCTGCCCCTATGTGTCCTCTCTCCAACTATAAATGCATTTATATTGCTGCACAAATTATGTTCATTTTTGTTTCTAACACCAAAAGTTGTTGCTACTGCAAGATTTATTTTGTTCCTTTTCCTGTTCCACATCCGCTTTTGACTTGTGTTTTCCAAAAAAAACCCACGTTAATATTAGCCACAGGTATTTTAACTTGCTTAGTGTTTTCCATCCTCAGTTTTCCCTTTCTGCTAATTTGAATAAAGTAATTACATGCTCCTAGGACTGTTTTTGCTTGCTCCATTCCATGGAGAGAGATGAGCCACTATACGTTGAATAGTAAACCATCAAAATTCCCTTGTTTTTATTTTATATTTTCCCTGACTTTTTCCTTTTGCTACACACCATACTGTTCTAGGAGCACAATTAATGGCACAGCTCACCCCTTCCCTCTCCAGACAATTAGAATTGGCTTATTACCTGGCACACCAAGCAGGACAATTTACTCCTTTTTGTCTGGCCATGTGCATAGTGTGACTTGCATACTATAGCTGCTTCTGGTCCTACGGCTGAGATCACTCCAGCATGAACCAGATGAGGAAACATCTGCCTTACAGCTTTCTGCTATGATTTTTTTCACAGCACTTCATAAACAAGGGCAGCGTTCCTTAAGTGGTCTCTTTTTCACTGCATGGTGATAAAATAGCATTATAAATTAATCTGTATATGTATGTAATTTTAAGTGTATGCATATTTATTTTTTTCCAGGAAACCTCATTGTAGATTTTTCTGATGCTGTAACATTCACACCTTTTCCTCTACATGACCAGGGCCAGCCAATGCATTGTGAACCTTTTGATATGGCTCCAAGTGCTGATCCATGAATACAATATGTCTGAGAATTTAAAAGTGAAAACAATCCGAGCCAAGATAAATCAGTTAGTGAGTGAAAGTCTCTTAACATAGGGGCATATGAACACAGAAGGTATCAAATGTTGTTTTACATTAAAGCAACCTCTGAATGAGACTCTTCAGAGAAATTGCAATGCTGTCTTGCTAAAAAAAACTTTGATCAGTCTGAATCTGTTTGCTCACTGTATTCCAAATTTAGAAAACACCTAAAATTCTCTTGCTGATATTTTTTCAAATGGAAGGATTCATCTCTTATGGTTCATATCCTCCTAAACCAGGTTACACAAGTCACAGTCTAGAAATGACAGTTCTCTAGGATCACAAGAGGCCAGATGACACATACAAGTAGAGCTATTTGGCTTAAATCTAGTCATGGTTATGGCAGGTGGGTCCTGTCTAAACACATGCAGTGTCAGTAGTGTCATATCTGTGGTGCTGGCTTGCAATCAAAGCTGCGCTGTCACACAGAACCAGTGCTCTGTGGCACACATTCTCTCTGGCCCTGGCACCCAGTTGAAAGTGGGTTTGAATACAAACATCCTGGGAACAGCAGGCACCAGTCAACAATACCTGTCAAACATATGTAATTTCATTTTTACCTTTTGTACTTTAGACAACTTTTAGGCATCTAGATGACCCTTTCCTAATATTTCACAGATGCAAAATGAAAGCATTACGCTCTACCTACTTTTTCAACCAAACTTGGAACTAAAGAGTCTCAATTTCCTCAGACCTGTGGCCCAAAACATTTGCTATGGCACGTGTCACAGTCATTCCTGTCCTGCTGATATTAAGCTTTTTCCAACATATGACACTGTTTTCCACAGTCCTGGCAAGGGAACAAGAAGACATAAAGGGTAAGTAGAATATTAACAGTTCACCCTATGCTAACTATCCCAGATGTCTAATCTGAACTTGTAAAAGCACATTCTACAGCCCATAGAGAGAAACAGAGAGCTGCAGTAGGACAGATGTCCAGGACAGGCAAAAGTGAATCAATTAATTTTGAAAGCTGCAAAGAGCAGCGTGATCCCCATTGCTGGAAGTCTTATTCAGCAAAGCTCAGAAATTCCTTCTCCAGGCAAGAACAAAGGTCCTGTTAGAACTACTGGGCATGCAAGCCTTACTGAGAGACAATTCCTTAGTGTACACAGTGGAGGATCCTCTCTCTATGTAATATCATTGTAATTGCAGATGCACTTAGGCTACATAATGTTCTGTGGGCCACCAAGGATGATACAAGAGTTATTTTGTCCTGGAACAATAACCTGACAAAAGAAGAAACCAAGAAATACACTGTGAAGTACATTTTGATTTATAAGTTCTTCAATACCACTAAGGAAAGGAAAGTAAGTTCTTTAGAGGTTGCACATAGTGTAAAGTAAAATAATATATTGTATTATTCAGTAGATGAGTTTGCATAATTTCCCTTTCAATGCTTAGAACTGTCTACCTTAATGGAATTTCTTCTTCCTCCCCCTAGGAAAGACTGCAGGAGAAGGAAAAGATAATACATCTTAAGTTACACTCTGGTTTTAATGCTAAAGTTAAGACACAACTTTTTGCAAAAGAAACAGAAGACATAATTAAGGAGAGTGACTGGACAGAATTTACTTACAAGGCACCTCCAGGTCAGCTATTTCCTGCTTGTTGTTAGGACATCCAAGCATTTATGATAATTTCCTGTCTTACTTGGAGAATTTCTGAAATCTCATTATTATCTTCTGCTAGTCTTTGGGTGGTTTTTTTTTTTTTTGGTACAGATATGTTAAGAATATGGTTCATAATACCTTGAGATATTGCAGAATTATTTCCTTTGTTAGACGTGTTCAGATTCAGAAAACACCAGCTCTGCTGAGCAAGATGTCAGTTTGACCCAAACACTCTTTTCATTTCCCTAGCAACTCATGTATCATAAAGATTGCCTTCTGTATCACATGATTTCAGCAATTCTTAAAAGATCAGAGATTTTAATTTATTTTTAAGTGGGTTAGTAAGGGTTTTGTGTCAGTAGCAGATATGCTTCCCAATTTTCACAGTCTAAAAAGCAAAAAGACCTATTTTTTCCTCACATAGAGCTTTTTCATGCTTCTAGGAATAAGCCAATATAATGGGTTTGTAAAGGCAACCATCATGTTGTTATTAGGAAATCAATGTAAAATAAACATGTCTCTTTCTTTTTACCATTTCTTTGTTGCAGTCTACATTCAGAATCTTTCGTGCATCATATACAACATTTCTTTTTTCAATTGCACCTGGCACATCAAAGCAGAAGCTCCTGAAGATATCCAGATCTTTACCTCATACAGGTAAGGATGTTCAGAACAATTGAGTATGAAACCATGATTTTGGACCTAAGTATTTGATTTAAAAAAACCTTATATTTCCTTCTTACAGACATGTAGGAAAGGTTTTTGCATGCCAGCAATATATAAAAAATGCAAGGAAGAAAAATATTGGATGCTATATGAAAGAAATACATTTCCAACCATCAAGGAAAATAAATTTAAACATAACTGTGAAAAATTTGAGAAATAGTTCAAGAGAACTGTCTTATTACAAAGCTTTCACACCTCAGGCAATAGGTAAGCATTGTCTATTATTTTATATTATGAAAAGTTTATTTATTGGTTACTTCATGAAAAGCAGAAAAAGAAATAGGCGTGATAAAGTCATAATATTAATTCTAACTATTTAAGCATTCATCTTAGTTTGAATGTTACACAAAGATTAAACAAAATGGATTAGGGCTGAATGTTTTTTCATTTTTTTGTCTGATTTAATAACATTTTTATCTATAATTTTAATTAAAAGAAAAGATAGCTAATATAAGGAAACAATATTTGTAAGATTTGCACCCTTGTTTCTCCATTTTTTTCTTTTCTATCCCTTTTTATAGTGCTGTGTGTGATTAAGAAAAAGAATATAAATAGCTACAAGCCTCATTTATAACCTGAATTTAAGAATATGAATGTTCTCAAACATTAATAGCATTTTTAATTATTTTTTAAAGTTAAAAATATCTTGACAGTTATTTTTAATTATCTACAGTTTTGAATTATCATATAAAATTACTTTTCCTAACTTTTCTAGGAAGTTTGAATTAATCTCATGGGTAAGAATTTCACCAGAAATTTAGCAAAGATTGCAAATTCAAATGCCTTTTAAGTCTTTAACATGTTGATCATCTTCCAGACCTGCAACCTGGGAATCAGTCATAACTCAAGGGATAACAAAAATATAATTCAAAACTCTAAATATTTATTTTGAGCTAGATCTCATCTAACCTTTCCAATTCTAAGACATTAGAATTGTTTGCTTTACCTAAAGTTATATACCGCAATTAGAGACAGCTATAATCTGACATACGACAAAAGGATGAAATTAAATTGCTGCCTATTCTTGACATCCTTAGAAGGGAGAATGGTCTGGCAGCAGTATTTCAGAGGCTAAACAAAAACCCCTGCTTCTTACTCTTCTCATGGCTCATGTCTCTTCATGGCTCCTGGTGTGCCCCCACCCCTAAAGGCTGTTAGAGCCAGCACAGCAGCTGCAGGGATCTGTCCTGCTGCCACTCACCCTCCCTGCCTCTCTGGCTTTTCTCACTCTGCAGCTCTGTCATCCCCAGAGCTCACTGACCCTGTCTGCAGAAACTTGCCGTGCATTTCTTCCTCTGCTGGGAGGGATTTTTCAGAAAACTCCGGCTGGAGTTCTTCCTTTCAGAGAAATGCAGCAGCAGCTGAGAAGGACTGAGAATGCCTGAGTACTGAGCACACACTCAGGAGCAGTGCTCTAACACTCGACATGCTAAAAATAACTATAGCTTTGTTTGTATGAATCCAAGGCTGAAATCCTGGGGACCCAAATGTCCCTTGCTTCCAATACTGTACTTCCTCCAGAGCAAGTGCTTGCTTGCTCCTCTGTAGGAAAGAGAGATATTTCTTAAGCATCTGCAGAAATCTTCATGTATTTAATCAGACAGATTCTCTGCGCAACAGGTTGTTCTGAGAATTGTGGATACCCCATCCCTGGAAGCGTATAAGGAAAGGTTCAATGACAGTTTGAGCAACGTGATCTAGTGGGAGGGGGCCCTGGCCATGGCAGGGGATTTGGAAATAGAGGATCCTTAAGGTCCCTTACAACCCAAACCATTCTAAGATTCTATGAATTCTATGAATTTCTAACTGTCCCCTCTGTAACTCCTCTCTGAGATGAAATTCAATTTTTTTAAAGTAATGATACCAGGACTGTGGGTAGACAAAACACATGTATCCTACATGACATGGAGCCAGTGGCAAACTCCTTAGCACCAGCACTGGCTCTGGAGAGGGCCTTCTTCTCCTTCCCACTCTTTCTGCTTTTTCTAGAAAGATACCGGAAAAACCCCAACTACGTCCTTTTATTTTGAGGCACTCACTGAACAGCAGTTTCTAAGAAAATGTGTCACTCACTAGAATGTCTTCTTTGGGTGTGGCAAACTCCAAAACACTCAGCTGTATAATTTAAGGACTGATGCACTTTCATTTGTTTTACGTCCGTTGAAATATGAGAAAGAGCATGAGGTACAGAAGGTCTCTCTCTGCTTTTTATTTTTCAGAGAAGCTGAACCCACCTATCAATGTCTCAGTTTCCCTTGAAAACAGAAGTATTAAAATTCGCTGGAAACCTCCACCTACTATTGGTTCAGCAAGGAAAAAGTGTTTTCTGTACCAAGTGAAAATAACAGATCATAAGGTAATCAGTTTCTCTGGTAGTACACTTAGACTGTACAACATAACTTCCACAAAATCAAAGCATCCCTCAAACTTAACAAACTTTAAAAAAATACCATTATCTTTAATGAAGAATCCAACTTGTCTTTTTGGTAAAAATGAAAAATCAATACATTTTATTAAATCTTTCAGAGTCAGGCTTGCATTGAAGTGAATTTGAAGTGTTTGTCTTCTATATTAAATTTGCATTGTACATTATTATCATATAGACCATATTAACTTTTTTGTTATAGAAAAAGAAGTATTGTCTGAAAGCTAGGAAAAGTTATCAAGTACAATGGGAAACAAGGTTAGAATTTGAAATGTGGGTTCAGGCAAAACTCAGGAATAAGGAAAATCCTATGATTAGGAAATACAGGTCAAATACGTCAACACAAAATAAGGAATTAAACTATAAGAGTCAACACAGAAGAAAGAAGGTCTGTGGATTGCATTGAACCACAAACTGAGTCAATCATTCTGTGTTAGGCAAAGGTCAAATGTTATTCAAGTTTCTATAACCAGCATGTCACATGTAAGATGCAGGTTGTGATTAATTTGCCTGTCTAGATGCTGAGTTTCTCCTGAAGTTTCATATTAATAGACACCAGAACTGGAAAAGCCTTAAAGGGAAGAGAAAGAAGTGACATTGTGCACAGGCTCAAATGCACACCACATCAGTCAGCACAAGGAGAACAGATCATGCTTTCCTAACACCAAGGAAACAAAGATTCCATGCTTCTCCATCTATGAGATTCATACTTTCTACTTTTTTGCAGCCTTCTAACATCAGTTTTAATTTCTACAAGCAAGAGTTCTCTCTCTTTCTTAATACTTAAAATTTTAACATTATTGATAGAAGTTTGCTTCAGTATTTAAAAGTGATAAGGTATTATTTAAAGATCCCTCTGCTTTAAATTCCACCACTCCATGTTTGTGTTTGATCTTTTGTAGTGATGTGCTGTTTTTCGTAGGCACAACTAAAGCTGTTTCAGGATAGCCACAAAAACGGTGGACATCCTTCAGCTGAAAAACGAAAGATTTTCTTGTAGCAGAGAAGCAAGGGTAGCATACTACCCACACCAAAATCTTGAAACTTGCAGTTCTATAGTTACTGTGTTCATCCTATATGTGGTGTGATAAAAAAATGAAAGGGGAATCAGTGTTTTCAAAATCCTAATGTCCTGCTATAAATGGTATCTCCTTGCATCTTATCAGTTCCAGTCTCTCTTCATGTTCAGTTCTGAGTTTTAACACACATCAGATGAGAGTCAAATTGTATCTGGACATAAGAACTTTTTCTGAAAATCTCTTCCTACTAGTTAGAGATGTAAATAGTGATATTTGACATTCCTAGTTTATATTTGTTTGAACTGCAATGCAAAATATTTTAAAGTAATCCCCTAAACCTTTCTTGATAGATTGCAAATGTCACTGCAGAGAACTATAAGTATCCATTTCATAAGCCAGCAAAAAGGTGTGCAGCACAAGTGAGGGTAAAGAAAGAGATTTGCATAGCAAACAAGATCTGGAGTGAATGGAGTGAACCAGTATTTATTCATGATGGTAAGTAATGTACTTACTACTCATAACTGTTATCATGGGCTGTGTTACTACCATTCAATGTATTTACTTCATTATTGCCTCTCTTCTTCAGGCTGCTATTGGGGCATAACTCTACCTAGGGGTCCATGGCACACACCAGGCTCACACAGCTCTGCCTCAGGGGAGTCCTTAGTCTGAGTTCTATTTTCCTGGCCTTTACAGAACTCAGGACAGAAGTTAAGTTACACCTGACTCTTGACAACCTTTAGGAAATAATAAATTGTCAGCAGCTGACAAGGTCCTAACACCATCATACCTCCACCCTGTTGCCTTGCCCTGCAAAGGACAGCCCATACATCTCTAAAAATACTTTCAATTGGAATTAGCAAGCCAAGAAATCCACAAAAGTCATAACATTCATCAAGACACATAGTCTTTAAGGATTAAGTCCAAAATGTCCCTTATTACACTGGTGGAATAATGTCTTATCTGACAGAGACAGGAAATGGTTTAGCTCTCATTTGAATGCATGGGCTCTGGCCCCAACATCTCACTTGAGTGCAGAATAAACAGGAGCCATGCAATACTTTTCCTTTAACCTCTATGAAGAAAGCACCTAACAGTGGTGTGCTTACAAGGGAAACTTGTGCTTTCCATGACGAGAAAAATGCCTCCACATGCAGAAGCATTCTGCCCTCAGGTTAGGCAGAGGGGCAGCTGTACAGTGGTGTAAGGCTGTATTTATAGAGAGAAGTTTGTGTGTCGACATGCAAAAAAAATGTACAGCACTATGGGTAGTAAAACAAAACAAGGTAAGTATAATTATTTAGCACAACAGACTGTATTTTGGAATTTTTCCTTTTGATTTTTGAGCTTCAAATACATATTTGTCTGAGGACAGGAAATGCTAGGTGAGACATTATTATTTTTGAAAAGGATTGAATGCAAATTCAATAATAGAATTTACTGGATACTGGCTGCCAGTTTTACCTCATTGTATCCCACTGGTCTGCTGAAACTTTTTTTGGCCTAAATTCATTCATTTAATTTCAAAAGTATTCCACTTGTGAAATATCTAGAGAAAGAAATCTAATTGAGCTTCATTTTCATTGTGGTGAAGGAGAGAATTTTTCAGGCCATAAAAGTCTTGAATTCTTCATTAGAGATTCCCCTTTCTTCTCACTAAAGACAGTCTAGGACCACTGCATGGCCTAGGAGGGGTCTGCCTGGTCTGTCTGCCTGGCATCAGGCCAGACACATCTGTAGATATGGAAATCATGTGTAGACAGGGGAAATCAGAAGAGGTCCTCTGGGAGGAGGCATGTAGATTTACTTGTTCCCTGCCAGCCTTTCACCAGAAGAAGGAAATGGAGTTGGGCAGTCACCCATTCTGGTTCCAGCCTACCAAACCTTGCTCTCAGCATCTGCCAGTCTCCCTTAGCTGTTTTAAACACTGCTACCTTCCCAGCTTCCTTTACAGCTGTTGCTGATGTTCAAGAATCACAGCAGGTTTCCTCCACTTCAGAAAAGTTTAGGATGGACAAGACCCCCATGGCACATAAGCTGTAACATCTGCATGTGTTCAGTGCAGCAGGATGATTTACCCTGGGGTTTACTGCACATGTGGTGCAGCAACTCCCCTCCTTCCTCCTCAGGAAGGATCAGTGGTTTTGTAAAATGAATCTAACTATGGAGATATTCCATTGGAGGGTCAGGTGCTCAGCTAAATCTCTTTACATACCTGCTTTGAAGCTGAGCTAATTTTTTCTGTCCATTTTACTCTGTATTCTGTGGAAATTATTCTATCCACTTCTAATTGGAAACATGTATAAACCAAATTATGCAAGTAACCTGAAAAGAAAAACATCCATTCAATATTTTTGTTTTGAAATGTGTTGATTTTTCTAGTGTTACAGAATCTCTTTCTACTGAAATTCTTGAAGAAGCATGGCATGACCTGCTTTCTTTTTGCTTCTCCTTCACATTCTACTGTTTCATCTAGGAAATGTGCAACATTTCTTTAAGAATGTATTTTTAAAAGGCATTTTAGCCTTCATTTAAAAAAAAGCTGAAACATCAAAATAAAATAACATAATTCAAAACATAACTAAAATATTTGTTCTGAAATGTTCCTTTGACATGAAAAGAATTTGCTAATTTTCTCATGAGGAAAACATTAATTCTCCTTTGGAATTAGCATATGCCCTTGAAAAAACCCTCACAATTGAACCTGAACTGAGCTGTTTACTATAGAAACTTTCTGCTAAAAAAAGAAATGTTTAATCAGCTTTATTCATATGTAGAAACTTGAAATAATTGGTCTAATTTTTAAAGCTGATGAACATTCATAGATCACTTTGAAGTTTGTAGTAATTCAGAAGTGTTCTGCATTTTTGCAAACCAAGGCACTTGTTTTGGTTTCAAAGTTCTCTTATTTCTGTCAAACTTAAAGTATTTGCATTTGAAAAAAAACCCACCATCAAATGGTCTACCCAAAAGAATATACGTGCTTCTTTTTCTTACTGCTTTCAAAAATGCAAGAAGTAAGAAAGCAGGAGAAGCAAACTTCTTTGTGGTTCAGCTGATGATAAGAACAGGACTTCCTCTTCTCCTGGGTGTGTGCATGACATAACGTTAGCAGAATGATGCAGAGAAATTACCACAAACTAAAAAAAAAATCTTACTACATGGTCCAGAGTTGGTTCAGAAGAAGTTTTCTGAGCCCTCATCTCAGACAGCAAGAAGAAAGTAACTTCCTTTTCATCTTAAAGTGAATAAAGAGTAGTTTTGTACTTTAAAGAAGATAAGGCATATTTGTATAAGTTCTACCCACAAGTTTCTGAGTTTTGTCTTGGTTTCGTATGAAATTTGTGGAAATATATGGGTTCAAACTCAGAACTTTTATTCTTTTTATACTTTGATTTTAATCTAGATTGATCCTAAAACCACCATTTAACTGGCCTCACACTATAAACAGCTCTATTTTAAGAGCTGTCCTTGCCTGTTTTTCTTCAAAATACTTTGTTAAAAGCAGTCCAAACTAGTTGTGGTTCTGAAGCTAGATATTAAACAAGAAATAAAATTTTCCAGAAAAACATAGTTCTGAGTCAACCAAATACATTGCTATTTTGGGTATTTTGGAGGAAGTAATGCAAAGTACATAGCAGTAGTATTCGTTGAACAGTATAAATATGTATTGATGCCATTTCTTTAGGACTATGCCAAGCAGGGTTAAAAAGATAAGTATAATAGAAACCAAATGCTACTTCTTGAATCCAAAAGAATATTTTGCTTGACAAAATGCTTTTATTTTCATTTTGCCTTAAATCAGTTACAGCTGTGGAGCAGTGAGGAAACAGAAGTGGGGGACCCATGGTGTGTGGAGATGGGAGGTAGCAGCAGTGGGAACTCGGGAGCAGCTGGATCAGCAGCAGAAGCCCCAGTGTCAGATGGACAGAGGGTTTGATATCCAGAGGAATCAAGGCTGTGTGGAAATACCCAGTGGCAGGACAGGCCATGCCCAGGCTATGAGAGCAGAATTCCAGGAAAAGGAGGGAATGGAATGAATCAAGAAGTGCTGGACAAAGTCAGCAGCAAGGCTGAGGGCTAAAAGGAGGAAGGAGAGGAAGGAACAGTGCTGAAGTCAGAAGCCCTTTTCCCCTAAAGTCTCCAGGAAATGTTTCTTTAAATCTGTGACAGTTCAGGGATAGAGCAATATTTATGAGTCCATGTGTAATTAATCAATTTATTAATTACACTAGACTCTCACATATAATTAACATTTCTTTTCCCTTTTCTTCTTTTTTTTTTTTTTTTTTCAAGAAAAGACAGTGGATATCCTAATGCTAAGCCTTGCATTGTTTTGTCCTTTGGTTTTCCTTGGAGGTCTGCTGATATATGCATGTAGAAGGTAGTGTACATTTCTGATGACTGTATAAATTTCTGGGGGAAGAGAGGTCAGGATGAGAGTAAACCATACAGTGGATAAAAGTCAAACACAGATTTTCTCAAGGAGCAGTTAATTTTGCTTTTCCAACTATTGTTCTAACAAACTTGTGCTTAATGTTATGACCTAGTGTAAGACACTGACACCTGTAATTCTCTCACAGCTCCTACCACAGTCCCCCACAGACCCTGTCTCACACTGTACTCTCTGATGTATTTCTGCCACTATAAATGACATTTTTTAATCTTACTCTGACAGCTGCCTCTCTATCTTCAGTGTGACTTTACCCCATGCTTTCACAGGTTCTGCATTCAAGGCCACCTATATTAATGAGACCAAAGATGAACTGCATGTCATGCTGTCCAATTTCATTTCAAAACCCATGGGTGTTGTGAAAGCAGTCTATCACTCTAAGCTAGAGAGTTTACTAGAAATAAAAAGGGGAAGTCAGGCTGACGGAACGAATTTCCTTTGCTGTACTATTAATACCATTAGTAGAGCAAAGTGATAGTAGTGGCTCTATACCCACCAGCAGTTAATGCTGCTAACTCTCTATGCCACTACTTTTCTGCCTGGCAATATAGCTTCTCTATTGAGAGCTGCCTATGGCAGCAAAGGCTTTCTTGAACTGAGAAATAAACTTGTCCAGGATATGATGATAACTCAAGATACCTTAATATTTGGAAGGAGCAGTATGTAAGTGGAGCCTCTATTGAAAGTAAACTTATTATTTAATTAGTGGTTAATCATTATTCCTGATTTGTATAAAAGAAGTTATCAATTTTAAATTATGGAAAAAATACATAGGAATCATTTTTAAAGCTACAGACACAGTAGCATGTCTCAAGTTCTCAATTTGCTTGGAAATAATATTAGTGTATAAATAATAGTATTTTTTTTTAATATACATCCAGTCCTTTTAAAACGCTGCAGGTTAGAAACCAGTCAGGCTAAAGAAGAGCTAGGGAAAATGTTGAGAAAAGTGTCTACAGTGAAAAGAAAGAAAAAACGGGTTAAATGGCTTTGGAAATAGTAGATGCCTGTCTTGGAACTGGAATATATATTACAAAACATTAATGTCTGATCTGTTCCTGCAGACAAGAATAGTTGCGTGCCTGTGTCATTGTCTTGCAGGTATAGATGCCTGGAAGTTTTAACCACGCCTGTTCCACATCCTTCAAATAATATCAAAACGTGGTTAGCAGATGAGAGTCACCACCAGGTAGTGTGTCTTTTTTCTCTCGCCACATTGACATGCATAATGTGACTTGCAGTTGGATGGTACAACACTGCATTTGGGGCAGCATGTAAGAAAAAAAAAAAAAAGGAAAAAGGTATGTACAGCATTTGTAGTGAAGCCAGAGGAGAACAGAAAACTTCAAAGGTTACAGGACAATGATGTCAGTAGACAGGATGGAGAAAATCCTCAGGGGACTAAAATGTCTAGTGTGCTCGAAGGTGTTTCAGCATATCCCCACTCAGTGGGCCAACATTTTAAGGAGTGGTCACTGTGAGTCCCTGAAGAATAGTCAGTTATGGGATGTTATACATGTAAACATGTCACAGCATGTAAGCAGTTATCAAGGGGAATTTCTGTGGTGATCTGCAAGTCATTGGCTATGCAGTAGTAAATGTGCACATTCTTAGAGCAGGAAGGAGGAGGCTGCACAGTGCATGCAATATAACCTACCCCAGCTATGCCCCTGCTTCAGCACAAAGCCACATGCAGAGGTGCTTGCATTGGAAGAGCTGATGCACTGTGAGTTAAGGTGCTTGCTTATCTCATGCCAGATTACAAGTCTTCAGTCAGCTTGGCAAAACAAGGACTAAATATCGACAGAATTTTGTGACTGTGGTTAATGGAGCTCCTTGCCTTGCACAGTCAATGTTTCTTACTGCTGTCATTGTGTCAGTTGCAGGGAAAAATGTGCTAGTCAGGCAGTAGTTTAGATCTGTGTAACTCCAGAAAAGCTACACATTGTACTGTGTGCTAGAGGGCTGTGTGCTTCTTACCTGGTTCTGCAACACATGAGGAGAAAGCCCAGATGTGCCCAAATTATGGTTTTTTTGGTGGAAAGCACCATTGAAATAGAAAACCGTAATGAGGATTCCTTCTGCTCTGTGTGCTCAAAATATTTGTTCAGAGCCTTTGCAGGATTTCTGTAAATTTTACTCTAGCCTGCCACATTATTGTACTTACACTGCAATATCAAAATATCTACTAGTAGAGCATTCAGCAATTTAACTAGCAATTTCCAGTGTGTTCCCATATGCTGTTTGCTTTCCCAAGAGAAAGATGTATGCCTTCCAATACTGTGTTTTGGGGCTTTTTAATATAATATATCTATGTGATTGCAAACTCCGAAAGAAATCACAGATCATCTTGATCCAGGAATCATAATTTGAGTTGTGAGGCAAGAGGAATGGGTTGTTTTGTTTAATTTTATCTTCTCAAAATAAATTTATGAGGAAAATTATGTGCATATTCTATATAATCAAATGACATATTAAAAGATTGAAGTGTTCTGAATGTGCACCTGGAGTTCATTCCACAAGCTTTGGGCTTGGTCTCAGAGCAGACTGTACTCCTCTTCTTCACTACACTCAACTTCTCAGAAAAGCTCAAGAGCTCCAGAACTGGCCTGAGGCCAAGTCTCTTATTCTCAAGATTCAGAATAATTTCTATGACACTTCTGGTCAATATAATTTGACCAAATTTGATGCTATAGGTGCCATATTGACACTGAGATCAACTGGCTAAAGAGTATATTTATCACCTCTTCTGTGTTAAGTCCTTCTCACCCATTTTTACCAGTAATAGTGAGCAAATTGACTCATAATACCCATTGTGGCTATGAATATGGGTTGGCAGAATACAGAATCATCACCATCAGCTTTATACTCTGTATTTCTCTTCACATTAGAACTCTGTAAGATGCTGTGTAGGGGTCTTTGTATTCAATATATAATCACCACAAAAACTATATTTAATGTTGCTGACAGAGAAAGAAGCAATTTCTGTCTCCAAACTATTACAAACACTGAATAAACCTTTGACAGAAGACTTCGGCATAGCTGGGTAGTTACTTTCTACAAGATAACAACAAATTACTGAGACAACACTGTGATCTTTTGATTCAAGTGATTGTTGATGGCACAATGGTCATATCAGCCTGGAGAGGAAATAACATTAAGGCTCAGAACAACGAAGCAAATTTGCCTGTGAGCAACTTGTAGATTGAGAGAGTAATTAATATAATTTCTGTATTCCAGTAGAAACAGAGTAAATAATACGTACTAATGCCAGATATATGCCAAATAAATTGAGTGCTTGTAAAAATGCACAGAATTTTTAATACCAATGAATGCAGCTTTTGTGTGTAATATAATTTTTATCCAACAGCAACATATGTCAATGCAAATGGAGATGCTCAGGGGTTACTCTGGGAATACCAGAAGAGAACAGAGATGAGAACATTCGACTACAGAAATGTTTGAAGAAATTCCTGTTAGAAGACCTATAGAGATGACATGCCTTTTTTATCTGCATGCAAATGTACCTTTCTGTGAGGTGGACAATATTCTAACAGATCAAAGAACAGCTGATGTAGGCATTTGTCTGAGTCCAGTAACTTGAAATACTTTGCACTCTTGACAAAATGCAACTCTTAAAATTAGCTTTGGATTGCAAACACAAAGCAGTATCTTGCAGTTTGTCTCTAAAAAACCTGATCCTCAGCCCAGTAAAATTAGAGCATCTCAGAAAATATGAGCTAATATCGAGGTCTATTTGTGTTAAAATGAAATTAGAGTTAGTGTTTCATAATGCTGAAATAGCTTCCAAGTACTCTCTGATAGATCAATTTCTTTTGAAGATTGGCTGTTCATACAAATCTCATATTAGTTATTAACAAGTGGCCATGAGAAATGGTAGAAGCAGTAGATGTTTCTGGAAACAGCAAGAGAATGTCACAAGTGTTCTCTCAAAAAAATCAAAGAAAATCCCTTTCTGAGTCACTGCATTGTGTAAACACACATCTACCAGAAAGAAGAGATATGCGTGAAGACAAGGTCTTTTAATGTTGCGGACTTTGCAGTTGGTAAAATAGATTTTTAGAGAAAACTTTAAACAAGGTAAAGAAAACAAAGTTTTCTGCTGTAATGTGATTTTTTAAGTAAGTTTAACTCAGAGAAGTTATAAGTTCAGAACTGACCAATTTTTGCTATTTATTTTTCCATGTCGTTTTAAAGAATCTTTCCTACTGATTCCATGAGATGATGAGCTATGCCAGTCCATTTTCAGGTACACAATCAGGGTAGATTATTCTAACTCTTAGTTGAGACAATTTTTCTTTGACTAGAAGAGATTGAACTGATTTTGCAAGGAAGACATTTCTTTTTTGAAAGTGGGAAAATCAAAACAATGATGGACATAATTTTCTGAAAGGTTTGGAAGGTACCTAAAAATTATGTGCTTTCATTACTGGTAATTTTTTCCATGTCAGAATAATAGTGATTGGAAAAAAATAACAATATAAAATTTTGTTTGTGCTTTTGAAATATAAGGTTTCTAAGATACCGTTTGGTGTTGAGTCTTGATTCACCTAACTGTGCTTTTTGTTTTGGTAAAAAGTCCACAATGGAGAAGATTACACTATTTCTCCTTTATTATTAAGAATGGCTGGTGACAACAGGAAACCTCAATTTCCTTCGTTTTCTGTAAGATCAGGTTAATGACCTCAAAAGAACAATCAGCTTTAGTCAGTAATGTTACATTTCCTCTTGCACTGTACTTTTCACAGAAGGTAAAGGTGTCCTTACCTTTGAACATCAGTGCTCTCCCCTCCATACCTGTCAGTCTGATGCCCACAAAAATCATCATGCAGAATTAAATTGGAGATATCAGTTAATGAGTCAAGTTTCAGTGGATAATTCCTGTAATATCTCCTGTGTCTTGAGTGTTGAGGGGAAAACCCTCAGTCAACAGAGTAACTTATCTTTTGGATGACCAGACAGCATGTCTGTGGGTAGACAATACAATTTATCCTGTAGTCGAATGTTCAGACTTGTTTTCTCAAGAAGAGGGGAAAATTCTGTATTTCTGATAAAAATCCTTAGACAAGGTATTTAGAAATTGTCATGAAATCACAGATTCCTTTCTTGTGAGGATATAGAATGGATAAATGAAAAAAATCACAATATAAATGAGGTAAGAGGGGTAGAGGAGAACTACACTGGCCACTCACATCTGGAACACAGACATCATAGAGTGAAATCAGGCCACAGTGAAAATTATATTGTTCCTTAAAATATATATTTTTATACATAAATTTTATATATATTGGCCTGCAGTGCCTGAAGCCCTAAAGCAGTGCCAGGATTTAAATTAAGACAGAGAATATACAGATTAAAGAAATTTTATTATTTTATTTGAAAAGAGAAGAATTAAATAGAATTCTTTCAGATTAAAATTGCTTTTATTTACAAGAGGCCTTGGTTGATACACAGAACTTGCCCACATGAACATGACAGCCTCCAGAGACACACCACATAAAACATTGTATTAATACCAGTTGTATCAAAAAATTAATCCTAAAGTGCAAATTTCATAAAACAAAAATCCAGTATCTGGAACCTTACAAGAAATATTTGACCAGCATATTCTCAAAATAGTATAACTTTTCCTTAAAATAAAATATTATTCTATACATATCCAACAGCTCTTCTCCAATAGTAGATTAATCTGCAATACATACATAAAGAAAGGTAACGATCTGAAAGCAAAATTTTTATATTTCTGGCATTAAACACATCATTTTATACAAAATACTCAGCACGTTTGCTGACGACACTGAGAGAAATGCTATGGTTGACAGGTCTGAGGGATGGGATGTCATTCAGAAGGACTTGGTTGAGCTCTAGCACCTGGCCTATGGGAATGTCATCAGGCTTAAGAAGGCCAGCTACAGCAGGGAAAGGATTTTCCCCCTCTACTCCATTCCTATGAGGTGCTACCTGAAGTCCTGTCCTGTGTCCACTTCCGAAGTCCTCAGCACAGGAGAGTCACAGACTCTCTCTGAGAAGGCCCCGAGGAAAGCCACCAAAATGATCAGGGAGAAGAAGAACCTCTCCTAAGAAGACAAGCTGAGAGGGTTTGAGTTGCTCACCCTGGAGAAGAGTTGATTTCAGGGAGACTTTATAGCACTTTTGAATACCTAAAGGGGGCTGACCAGAGAGCTGAGGAGGGACTATTCACAAGAACATGTTGTGGTAGAGCAAGGGAAATTGAGGCAGATTTAGATTAGCAATTAGGAGGAAATTACTGTGAGCATGGTGGGGCAATGGAACAATTGCCCAGAGAGGTTGTGGCTGCCTCAACCCTAGTGGTGTTCAAGTCCGGGTGGGATGGGGCTTTGAGCAACCTGGTGGAATGTGTGGAATGTGGAATATGTTCTCATCCATGGTGTGGGTTTGAAAGTAGATGGTCTTTAAGGGTCCCTTCCAATCCAAATTATTCTATGATTTTCTGAAAATTCTACTCAGCTTGGCTTGCTTTCTCCTGTCAATGAAGCTCTTGCTTCACTGTGAATGAATCTTTTTCTCCAGACATATGACGTTCCTGTGTATAAGGCTTTACCTTCTGGTACTGAAGTGGGACCTGATGAGACACTGGGCAGTGCATTGCACGTGGATTGCTCTTCATGTCCACTTATGCATGCACAGAGTCATAAAACCTGGTGATATGTCATGGCTGTCTGGTTTTATGCTTTCAACTCCAAGTCCCTGCTTCAATCAAGTACATATAGCACACAGCACTCAGGGCATATTTAGAGTTCATGTTTCTTCCTGAACATCAGCAACTATGTAGATATCAAACATACCTTACTGAAGATCCTGAAGGAAAAATAGCCCATTCTTTGCTTTTAAAGGAGAATAGTTTGAAGAGGATGATGGGAGTCAGCAAAGCAAGCTTTGGCCTTGGGACTCAGCACAAAAGCTCATCCAGTTGCCCAATGCTGCTACCTGCTCTACAAACAACCTACTTCCAGTCAGAAATGTTCCTTAAGTTTTCAAATTGGTTTAATTTGGACTAAGTCTGTTGCTTTAACTGCACTGAGAGAATTAGAGAAATACACCTCGTGCTCCAACTTGAAGACCTGTTAGGGACAAGATACACTACAAGATACAAGATTCTAATTTTTGCTTCCTCAGGTTTGGGTATCTAATCAAACAGAACCAGTCATGGCTCTGGGATATTGAGACAAAATCTCCATCAATCTCAGTCTAGAACAGGTGTCCAAAACAGGATGACCACTTCTTTCCTATTAGACACTAGATGATGATCAGACTCAGAGTACATGCCTGCATTTTCTTGACCTAGTTATTCTTTCTTTCTCTGACCTAGTGAAAGGAGATATTTTGGCCAAGGATCTTGGCAATTGCAGCCTTTGCATTTGGGAGTCTTCCCAGCACAGTTAAAGATGTCATATTTCATATATCACAATGTTTCAGACCAGCATTATATAGCCAGCAATAGCAGTTTTGATCAGAAACACCCTTGTTCAAGTTCAAGGGCAGAAAAACTTGTGCCACACTATTTAGTCTGAAGCCTGGGTTCACAATTTTATTCTTACCACTGTCAAGTAGAGAACCTGGAGGATGCAATACTTAAATGTATCAAATGCATGAAGAGCATGGGAATATGCGGGTGTGTGTATGTGGGTACATATGCACAGACAAGGAAATGCTATTTGTATGGAAAGCAGCACCAATATTCCTCAGGACTAAGTGTATGGTGCATGTAGCGTTCTTAACATTCTGCCCTGTATTTCTCCATTGCAGATGTGCAAGTTATCTGCTGGCATTTGATTAACCAGTGCCAGCTGACTGATACAACTTCCTACAAAGTAACTTAAAAGATAAAGGTGACATTGGGAGATGCTTTGGTGACTGATGCAGCACAGGCTTGTGCTTAGAGTTACATTACTGCATCTTGTCAGAATATATACATCAGCCTATTTTTGGTAATCTCAGAAAAAATTCCAGGACACAGCTTTGAATGCCAGTTGCATAAAAAGTCTGTCACCATGCTCTGGTTCCTCAGAAACTTGGCAGGTGATAAAACCCCAACCCACTGGATAAATAGTTAAGAATATGATTTTGGTATTTAGTTCAGAAAGATGCTTAGAGTGACAAAGAACAGCAAAGCAATTGACATCTTTGAGTAAAAACTACCATAGCTTTTTTCAACTTTCCTCTTAATATTCTCTAACTTCATAGAAGTTTCTAAAGAAACCACGATCATGTGTATCTAGCTCCAGTGAAATGAAAACATGCAAGGATTAAAAAATACAAAGTGTAATAGATAGGCAAAGCAAGACAACAAAGAAGGAAAGAATAGAGTAAAGGAGGGAGGATGAAAAGAATTAGTATTCCAGACCATACAGCATTATTATTATGTTTATATTAATGCACAAAATTAGTTTGGATTCAGCAAGCTGTCACTTTGCATTCATATAGATGAAAAATAATTGCATTTTAAAGCTTTTTTGGCTTCTGGCTGTCATTTGGTTTTTTAAGCAATAACAAAACTGAGAAATAGGGTGATTATATAAATATTCTAGACCACAATAGCTAACAAATACTCATTTCATCCTTGATTTTGTGCAGAAGGCTACTATGCAGGAAGTATTTCTCCAGTTTTTAAACTACTTGCTACAAGATATTGAAAGTGTACATGTTCTTAAAAGGAAACTTGACAAAACTGTGAAAAAATATCTATCAAAGACTTTTTAGATACATTGTCAACTCTTCTGACTCATGTGGTTATTTTTTCAAAAATTGCAAGACTCAGGGAGAATACTGCCATCCTCTTGTTGCTTTCTCCCTGGGCTCTTGCTACAGACACTACTTGGGAGAACATGGACCACTGGTCAAGGTCGGAGATACCTTTGGAGCATTTGGAAGGATGGCTGAGGCACTGTATGTCCTTCCAGACTGAGGGCTTAATGAGCTCACTGATAATGTTGAAATCAAGTATGCAAACTCTATCTTCAGGAGAATAGCAAAACTTGCCACTCAGCTAACACCTAAACCCCAAAACCAGCAGAACTTTGGGGTTCATAAAGTCTTCCAGTCCATCTTTGCTAATGAACTTCACCTTCCAGGCAAACTTTATTTGCCCAGACTTTCAGTGATAGTTTGGCGAGGGTCTCTATCCACTTGCATAATTTCAGTAGTATCTTGATACACAATGGTTTTTTATAGAAAAAAAATGTTTTATTTAAAACACACAGGATAGAAAAGCTTTATCCCTGATCCCTTTTGGACATTTAAGAAAAAGAAATAGTGATATATATATCGTGGCCTGTCTCAACATTGGCAACAATAGCAAGAGCTGGACACTAGCAAAATTGTGCCCATTTTCTGCAGGCTGGGGAGAATTTACAGTTACATATACTCATTATACCGTTAATACAGTCAGCTTTGATTCATTGTAAACCTTCTCTACTTGATGGAAGAATTTGGAAAGTATGAGATCCTCAGGGTTATACAGAAATTGTAAATTATTTGCATCCTTACAGGTTTCAATTTATTTTTTTGTGAAAGCCAATAAAAATAAAACAAGAGAATATCTGTCTCATACGTTGCACATATTTGGGGTTCCTTGAAATCGAAGATAGTGTCTGTTATAGGAAAGGGTTGTGCTTGGTTAGAAGGCTAGTGCTGGTAATTTGAAACTAAGTCTTCAAAATAACTTGTTTGGGGATTTTTTTTCCTGTTCCCCTCCTGCCCTAATTCTAGCCTAGGGATTTGTAATAAAAGTGTTGATGAAACCACGTTCCTGCAGTGGAAAGCAGGGCACTGCTGGGCTTTGTGGGAGCATGGACTTGCCAGGGTCACTCCACTAGTGAATGATATGTTGCTTCCCTCCCAGCTCTAGAGGAATGGGTTAGATGTACCCGCACAGGGAGGTTTGGGGTAGAGGCACACTTCAGATGATTAAATTAGTGGAAACATGATGATTATCAGACCATGGTGATTTTGGACTTAGTAAGACAGTACGTCATGTGGTCTCTTTAAATGCTACTTTTTGGAACATCTCAGCCCTTGACTTGGAGCAATGCTTTTGAGGTGGTACTTTGAAACAAACGGGAACTCTTCTTGCTAGAAATAAACCTTTCTGGTTGCTTTTTGTGTATGTATGTGTACATTTCTTTTTTAAGTGTGACTGGAGTTTAAACACTAGGTGTCAGTCAGTCACCTCTCAAAGGCATGCTCTCAAGCTCTAGCACATTCATCTTTGGCAGCAAAAACTTTTAAAGAGATAATGTACACATTAAATAATTGCAATCATGCCAAAGTCAGGTGAGGCAATTATTCCATAGGGCTGTTTAGACAGATCCCTGAGCCTGGAAATAGAAAGAAAACCTTTTTGTAGGAAGAGACTTGTACATTCTAGCCTTGAAAACTTTGTTGTGAGCATTTGCACTGTCACGATAAAATACTCGTTAATCTGTTGTCTAATGTTGCAGGTGACCAATAAATTCCTCTTTCTTTCACCCATTCTACTTCAGCTTCTGTAGCATTTCTAAAAAACTTGTGTTTCAAAGGAAAACACACCCATTCTGACCTGTGGAGGTTGTTCCCCACAAGGCATAATTGGCATATACAAACTTATGCCTGCAGCAAAACTGCTGTGACAGATGAGAGCTCTTTAAGAAAAAATGCTTATGTTGCCAACCATTTGAGTATTGCTCCTTTTGGCCAGTTCT